AATCATGTGCCAAACGCCGCATTTCATTTCCTTTGTCAATTATATACCATTGCATGAGCTTGGAAGTTGAGAGCTGAGTCGGTCTTTATGGAGGCAGATACCAGTTGTTGAATGATACCACAACGCGAACAGCGATTATTTTTGTCCAAGCCGGCGTGTAATATTCTATGCTGCTATTGTGTAAGATGTGTTGAGCTTAGGCTGTAATAGTAATTAACAAAACCGTATAATGTATTATTATTGTTAAAGTAATTAGCATTCATCATGCCTAACTGTGTGAATTGCGTGTGATCTGATAATTCATCAAAAAAGTCCTGTAGCTGCCCGAGTTCCCCCACCATGGCTGCGATTTCCGTGGCGCATTAGCTGGCGGCGCTTGTCTCTAGTTCCCTTGACCTCACTCGATCCCATCTCACCTTTTACATCCTCAATCGCCAGTGAACACTTTCAACTTTCAACATCTACACACGACGTCAAGAGAAATTCACACACTTCCCGTCTGAGCTCCTTCTATTACAACCGTCGACATATGTCTCTTCACATTTGTTGTCATTTCTGACACACAAAGAAGGCCCCAGTACAAGGCACAGAGCGCGTTCTCTAGCAAACTCTCACGTACACACATATAAAAGTGCACAAGCAGAGTCGACAATAACCAGCATCATCAAAGGGAAAGCTCAGTCGCGGATTTCTTTACCAACTATCCAAAGGACACATCTGTCCACTTTCTTCTCCGGAAAGAGTAATACAAGAGAAAGACATAAAACACCCCACAACAACAATGCTCCGCCGCCCACCGACAACGCTGCAAATCACAGCCGAGGACATCGCCGCGTACGAGGACCGGCGCGCGAGCGAGGCACTCCTGGCGGCGCAGAAGGCTCACGCGGCTGAGGTCCAGGCGCGGGCCACGTCCAAGGCAGCAGGAGGAGGAGCAGCTAACACTGGAGGAGGGGCGGAGGCGGCGACGCAGCAGACCACGGCGGCGATGGGGGATCTCGGGCTCGGGCAGGCGATGGAGGGCGTGCAGGAGGATGCGGAGGGGAGGGCGAGGAGGAACAGGGAGGAGAGGGATGGGAGGATTGGGGTGGGGAGGAGGGCGAGGTGAGTGAGGAGGAGAAAGTGTTTGTGTGAGAGTGAGAGAGAGAGGGTCAAGGCAGTATATGGGGCGTGAGGATTGAGATTTCAAGGTGGTTTGTCGTATTATAATTATGATTATTGCCTATTGGTATTAAACCCTGTGAAATATATATAAAATTGACACAAATGAGGGTACACTCCGGTATTGAATGCTTGGTATAAACCTGTTCTAGCCATTTGTCCTGATCATGCATCTCCTCCCACCCGCTTGCCAAAACACATACAAATAAATTTTCCCCATCGATAATTAAGTACCTAGTAAGTAATGCAATGCAATGCAGCATCTACAAGCCCAGTCCATATGCAGAAAATAAAATAAAATACAAGACTCGTTCATTCTATCTCATCTTTCGCCGGCCGCTCCAAGTTCCAAAATGGGCACTTTAGCCGTTCCTTATCAGGTAAATCCAAATCAGCACCGCGATCCAAGTTACTCTCCACGTTGTTGTCCACATCTCTGTGACCATGACCTTGACCGAGAACCGATCCCCCCTGCCGGTCGTTGTTTTCCACGACCTGCTGGTGTCGTAGTAGTCTTCGTTGATCGTGATCCGCGGCCACTTGCCGTCAGCCAGGCTCCTTCGAGGTCTGTGTTTGCCCTTTTTACCAGCCCAGCGTGTGTTACTGGCGCCATTGCTCGAGCTAGACGAGGGCGTGATCGGCGGCTCGACCTTGTCTTTGTAGATGGGGAGGCTAGCGCCCCTTCGTTCGGGCGGCAGGGCAAACGGGGTGAGGCGTAGGACGGGAACGAAAAAGGCTCTGACGGCGAGGAGGATGAGGGAGAAGATGCAGAAGGCGATATAGTTCATGTATTTGACGAGTTGATTTGGTAAAAGGCACAGATGAGTCTGTACCGTCTTCTCGGGTGAACCGGGAAGGGGTTTGCCATCCTTGTCGATTGGGTTGTAGAGACTGACCATGAGAAAGCCTGGGGTTGGCACGCCCTGTGACATGCTCATCGTCTTGACGGTAATCTCCCGCACATTCTCTTTGGCGTCAGAGTGTACGAGTTCGCAGTAGTCGTGGTCGTCGCCGGAGAAGGCATGAACGACGTTGCCGATACTCTTGACGAGCTTGACGGAATCCTCCTCCGAAAGCACGTTCTGGTATTGGTACCCAGCCACCACTGATATAGCATTGGCAGGATCTTTCTCGTCGGATCCTTTCTTCTGCGGCCAGTGCTCACGTTGCGGGCCACAGGGCGTACCAGGCTCACGATAGAGCGGAACATGAGTAAGGAGAAGCGTGGGGAAGTCGGCAGCGCCTGGCCCGGGATCTCTCGACCATCGGGTCAAGTCTGCCTTGTCCAGCTCCTCGACGTGGTGCTTGAACTTGATCCCCCGTTCAACGCCGTACCAGAACTTTAGCTCGTTCTGCGCCATCTTCCGCTTTGTAGATTGAACACCGTCTAGGAACTCGTGGACGGGGCCGTAGATAGACGACAGGTCATGGTTGTCTCTCTGAGTAGACGTTCCCGCGCTCAGGGAGACAGCGTCGACCGAGACAATGGTATGGTTTCCCACAATGTCAACTCGGTTTCCATCTCCAAAATATGCCTGATAGCGATCTCTTACCGGCACCTGGACCATGGCGCCGAAGCCGAGGTCATGGTTTCCGGGCAAGCTCGCCACCAGCTTCCTGCCTCTTTGCCATGGACCCGGCTTACTGCCTGCGATATTCCAGTTGTCAAAGAAAATCTCCCCAAAGCGTCGGTATTCCTGGAGCCAAAAGTCGTCGCCGTACTTTCGATGCCACGTCTTGACCCATCTCTGCTCCTTTGCCGTGCGTCCACGCACCCCCCATTTGGGATCGACAAAGAGGCCCTGCCTCGTCTTCCACTCGCGGCCGCCCTCTAGCATGTCACCCAGGAAGAACAGGCTGTCTGGGTGCAGCTTATGTAGCAGCGCATTGTAGCTCTGCTTAAGATATCTGTCGGTGATGGTGACGACGGTGGCCAGCACCGCTGATGGCCAGTCGGGGTTGGTGTGAGGATCGAGGATTTGAGGGTCGGCGATGAGGACGAGGTGATGGGGAGTTGCACCTTTAGGCTGGTTGAGAAGTCAGTTAGCCATTGTCTCTTTTCACTGCTACATCCCATAGCCATCCATATTCAAGCAAGGGGGGCCATCAATATCAAGGTACAAAACTCACCCACTTCTCCCAGCTCTTCCAGTCGCAGACGTTGACATGGTTAGTGTAGATCCAGCGCTCTCCCCACAGCAAAAGGAGCATCCAGAAAAAGGCCAGCAGATGCGGGAAGCTCAGCAGCCTCTTGGACGTCATGTTCCGCTTGACCTGGCGCATCACCGCGGCGGCGACGATGGCAGCCCTGTGCATGCCCGGCCCTTTGATCCATTTCCACAGCAGCTGCAGCAGCGTGGCGACGCCGCCGTAGATCTCCTCTGCCACGGAGAGGTTGGAGGGGGGCATTTTGGGCCCCAATTGCAGCTCGTTGACGCGTAGCCAGCCAGTTCTGCCAGTGACGGGGACGTATGGACGGGGCTGGGGCTGGTGGGATGCAGATATCCAAATGGATATAAGGTGGTATAGATGGCGCAGGCAAGATGATGACAGCACAGTCGGTGTTGCAAAAGTCCGGGGTCTGTGCAGCAGTGCCTTTGAACCCCGTGCTGGGTCTTTGAAAGGACAGGACAAAGAAGCGCTTCGCTCAATTAATCAATCAATGCAAGGCCCGCATAATAAGCACAGGCAAGCCATCTGAGATGCGTCAATGGCGATGCGATGGGAGGCAGCAGTTGAAGTTGCATCAAATGGGAAAATGATTTTGACGTCTGGTTGGGTACAGGCGCATACTCGTACATCTACAGTATAGCACAGTACTCCGTAATATGGGGGGGAAATATGCTCCGAGACACAGGCGAGTTCTGGGCCTGGGGCGGGGCCGCTAGCAACCTCTCCCTCCCCTAATCCTCCGGCGGCGCTGAAGTTATAGGAGGCTTCTGGGGGGCAACATTTGATGGACCTAGGCATTGGATACTGAGCACATGGCCAACATGTGAATGTGCTTTTACAGCACTGCACAGTTTCAATGACAAAACAATTTACTATCAAAGCATATTCGTAAGCAAATTACCTCACAAAGCATGAATTCCACATGCCATGCTTCCTCTTTCCCCTCAATTCTTGATCCGCCAGGGTGGTTGGGTAGCACCGGACGTCGATTTGTTACCCCGTACTAGGCAGGTGGCTCAAATTGGATAAAATACTCCTTGCAGCCCAAGTAAACGAGAATCAACATGGGTTGTTCGAAGTTATTAGGTATATAAATGCTAACAAGATGCAGCCTATCATAGCTCAAATTGCCCGCTTGGCTAAGCGGTATAGCGTGTCACTAGTAAATACTTGACATGACAAGGTGATCAGTTCGACTCTGATAGTGGGCATTCTTTTTTTGCATTTTTCCCCATTGCACTCCTTTTTTTTTCTCGCTGCTGTTCTTGTACTTTACGACGTACTTGATCTGGTTTAAAAGATCAATCATAGTTTTATTTCAGCTGGCATGCAAACAGTTGTCTCTAGGATGCACAATTTCACATTAAGCATCAAAAAGGCATGTATGTATGTATAGTGAATAGATACAATCTCTCCTTTTCTACTCATCCTCCACATATGGAGTCCTGTACTATCATGTCCAATAATCCAAATATCCAAGGGGAAAAAAGGTATCTAGAGCCATCCATATACTCAATCGAAAGATTCCAGAGGCTACTCATAAATACGCCAAAATGCCATTACAAGACTTTTTAAATACCCGTCCCCCAAACTCATAAATACGAAAAATAAAAAGAAGAAGAAAAATAATAAGTACCACGCTTCCAAAGTACCGATATATACCATCTCTAGTATCTATCGTCGTACATTTCACTATCATCATATCCCATCTCTTCCGTTTGCTCTCCCTCAAGCTCTGCAGAAGGGGCCTTAGGCTTCTTTCTAAAGCTAAGGAACTTCTTAATGCCAGTTGGCTCCGCTGCTTGGAACAGATCGTCCTTGGACGAATATTCATAAAACAGCTTGGGCACCAAAATTCGGTATGGGACGGTAATGCCTGTGGGGTCCTTGGGGTTCACCTCCATGTTCAGAGAAATGTCCAGACCTCCTTCCAGGTTAACCTCGTGCTTCTCGGCTTGTTTCACTTCTTTTGTTGACAGCCCGGTAGGCGTTCGATGGAAAGGGCGAGGCGCCGATGGGTCATCCACTTCGTAGTTGCCAGCAGGGCCGGCGTGGTAATTGACGGTCTGCGCTCGTCGAGGCGTTTGCGCCATGAACTGGGCCTCATCGCCCGCCGAGAACTCATCGTAATCACTACCACCACCTCCACGGAGGCCCGAAGGACGTGGTTGCTGGGCCTGGGCTCGGTGGTCTATGTATCCGCCGTCAAACTCGCCGCTCCATTGACCACTCATGTTGTTTTCATCGAATTGACCCTGGCTACCATAGTGTCCGTGGTATGCCATGTCAGCCCTTTGCTGTGCCGCCTCTCCGCGACCAAGTGACATTGTTCGAGTCACTCCCCCTCCGGGGCGTTGTTGATCAACCGAGTTTCGTCGAGAAAAGTTCTTGAAGAGGCCACCTCCTCCGGAAATAGGAGGTCGAGGTCCACGCACAGATTCCCGTGAAACATCAAAGGGCTGTTGTGAAGTAGACTTTCGTCGCCTAGAGGAAAGTCTTCGGAGTAAACTTCCGCCTCCTCCTGGGCTTCGACTTCTTCCTCGGTCAGACATGGGTGGCGTGGGCGGCGGCGTGCTGCCTGGGGTCCACATGCGAATAGAGCACCAGTTGCGATGAGGCAGGAGATTCTTGTTGTTCCTCGGTTTGCCATCGACACCGTTTTGGAAAATCGGAATCATGCACTCATCGGTCTGCTTGTCAAAGTGATGAACCTTGTTGCGCTTGTTGAGCATGTCGGCAACAATGTCCGGGGGTGGGCGATTGACGATAGCAGAAGATACAATGTTGGGCATGTACCTGGGGTCCTTGTGCTTTGGTAGGCCCAGCTTGGGGTTGGAATAAAACTGGCCAATGGCACCAAGGTGAACGTCGCCACTCAAGATGGTGATTCGAACAGATCGGTCGATAGCCAAATCTTGCAAATCCTCGATGATGATTGTGCGTTCTTTTTTATGATTCTTGGCCGTCCAGTGGTCATTGAGATCATCCAAAATCTCATACCCACCGTCAATATTGTTCATATGTTTACCGAGCACTCCTGTCCTACCAAGTGCTTTGACCGGAGTCATTAATTTCGAGGTCAATCTACAATTGTTAGTACAAGAGAGAATAGAAAAGCGGAAGGGTTTTATATCCGAGGAATTTCGGCCACTTACATATTCTCCAGCCATACCAGACGGGGATAAGCAATGGGAACGCCTAGGAGCACGAGTAAGTGCTCCACCTGTCCCCGTCTGATCTCTGCGTACATCCGGCTTGTGATCTTTTCCCATGTCTTCTCATCCAAGACCGTGTCTTCGGTTCTCTCGGTGCGGGCGTCCACAGCAAGTAAAGCAACCTTTCCACCCATCGACATATAAAGACTGCGGCTAACCTCTTGGATGTACGGGCCCGGCTGTTCACCCAAGATCCAGCTTGGCTCAGAAGCTTCCGTCTCGGTCACAATGCTTTGATGTTGAAAGAGCATATAGTATTTGAAACCTACACGCCCCAGCCCAGAGAAGACAGGCGAGCTCATGTCCGGGTGAGAGTAGGAACCGTATCCGTCAAATATGTCATGGTCATCGTACATGTTGACCATGGGGATTTGCGAGGTGGCCAATCCGAATAAGCCTTGAGAAAACCAGTTGCAATATCGCTCCAGGTAGAAGGACTCCAGCTCAGCCTGCAACTCGGGCGTGAAAGCTGCGTTCAACTTCTTCTCTGCAACGTTTATTTGCAGCCATTCGTCAAAGAGGGGGCTGTCGTAGGCCACGCAGTCGTTGTAGATCTGGTCTCCTCCGCCAATCATGGCATGGAATGGTTGTGTCTGATGTGCGTTTAAGACATCGCGCCACATGGGATCAGGCCCGCTCATCTCGTTAGAATTGACGGTAAGACTGAAGCCGTTGCAAGTATAAAACATCATGTTCATTGTTTGCCCACGTGCGGGAACCCAGAAGGCCATGGCTGGGCCACGGTTAATGCGGTATGCGATTCGCTGTTGCTGTTCCCGAAGCTCAACCTCAATGTTGAACCGCCAGAACGTACAACCTCGTTCGGCATGAAGACGGAAGCCCCTCACGTCCTTGTACTTTTGCATCTTCTCCCCATCAATATCTACCCGTCCTCGACGGCTAGCAAATGATCCGGGGTAGTCGCTGAGCCCTTGCGGCAAAGGCTCATCTGGCGGACTCCTTGTAGTCTCGAACAGTCCATCCTCGGACTCGACATGTGACAAATCTCTGCCCTCTTCAAGGTGGTCCACAGGCCGAACATACAGTGTCTCACCACGGCGACCAAGCTTGGGATGTCCAGCGATGGGATCCACATACTCGGGCGAGAGTTCGCCATCGACCTGGTGTGGAGGTGGAGGTAACAATTCAACATCCTGTACGAAGAGCCGAAGCGTTGGTGCAATTTCATAGGATGATTCTGCGTCATTGGTGACAATCATGACGCTTCCCCTCCAAATCTCACGGTCTTGAGCAGCATTTGCACCCCGAGGCCTTGGTAGAGCTTGTTCATGCCGCATACCACAGTATCTCAGAAGCGGGCCGCATTTGAGGTACAAGGGTGGTTTGAATCGAGTAGGTGCGCCATTCGTATTGTCATACTCACCATCAAACGCTTCGGCCTTGCGCGGCCTCGTCGTCATGCTGGCATTTCTTCTGTGATGACCTCCTTGCTCCCTGTCCCCCCAAGCAGTGATCTTCTCTACTGATCTAGCTGGCATACCGCCATTGAGGTCGAGAAGAGTACCGGATAGAGTACCGACAGTGCCCTTCTTCCATTCATCCAGCCACTGAGGAGAATTGTAGAGACCATCGCCAGGGTGCATATCTGCTGGATTCTTGAATACCAGTCTTGATTCGTGATGCTGCTCTGGCTCCTGTGGCTCCTGTGGCTCCTGTGGCTCCTGTGGCATGTGTGGCATTTGTGGCTGTAGCATTTGCGGTTGTAGCATTTGCGGTTGTAGCATTTGCGGTTGTAGCATTTGCGGTTGTAGCATTTGCGGTTGTAGCATTTGCGGTTGTAGCATTCGCGGTTCCTGTGGCATTCGCGGTTCCTGTGGCATTCGCGGTTCCTGTGGCATTCGCATTGCCCTCTGTTCCTGTGGCATGTGTTGCATTTGTGGTTCCCGTGGTATGTGCTGCGTTTGTGGTTCCCGTGGCATTCGCATCGCCCTCTGTTCCTGTGGCATATGCGGAATCTGTGACTCCTGGGGTTCCTGGGGCTTCTGTGTATCCTCTATTAGATCATGGTCCGTCTGATCTTCCAAGCTCTTTGCTGCTGGATTTGGCTGCGGAAAGCGTCCTCGGGCTTTTTGACTCGCCTCGTAAATGATCCTGCCAATGGCAGCCGCAGGGGCATAGTCGGCATTAAGCCCTCTCTCTTCCCGGGCATAGATGGGTTCAGTAGCCCGCCGTTGCATAGCCTGGATCTCGGCCTCGGTAGCAGACTGGGAATGCCTCTTTGTTTCTGGCCGGGCATTCGGTCCATTGTTTGCCGCAAGAGGTAAGGGGGCCGGCTCTCTGTTGCGTTCTTGTGGTAGCGGTGCTGTCCCTGCTGCGGCCCTGGGAGACTGGGCCGCGTCTTTGTATTGAGCCTCTCCAGGCTGCGATCCCGGTGGCAGTCGTCGCTCTGCTTCGACGCGTATCCGGTGCCAAACATCCGCTGGGGGGTCTTTTTTCAACTTGTTACTCCCACTGCGTGTCAAGGAAAAGCCGCTGGATTCCTTTGTCGGTTGATTCACATCTGCGTCAAGAGGCTTCGCTTCATGCCAAATATCGCGTTCGCGGAAGCTGAGATTGCGCTGAGGAACATCGGTCTCTGGAACAAACTGTCTCTGGTCCATGCTGGCCCGAGGGCGCTGAGGAGACTCTTGGCTAAAGTATCGGCGTTGATCATCGGACCGGGGGGCTTCCTGTGGATAAACTCTGCGCTGCTCATCGCGTATGGGTGGTTGGGGCAATTGCCTTGGTTGAGGATCCTCACGTACAGGCGGTTGTGGTAACTGCCTCGGCTGGCGCTCCTCACGCACCGGTGGCTGCGGTAGTTGTCTAGGCTGACGGGGGGCTGGATCCTGATTTTGACGGTAGTATTGGTCTTCGGCTATTCGTCGTGGGGGTGATATCGGTTGCGTGCCCGAATCTTTGGGAGGGACAGCATCTCGCTGGGGCGTTATTCTCTGAGGTACTGGGCTAATTGGTTCAATCGCCGCTGGAGGCTGTTGTTGGCGTTGGCTGGGAGCTGAGGGCGAGGACTGATAGTCGAGGGTTTGAGGACGGCTTTCGCCAGTTTCGGCGGCAGCCCTCTTTGCAGCCCTCGCTCTGGCCCGTTGTTCTGCAGCTTCCACTCTTGCCCTCTTTTCCTCTTTGGTCATGCTGTCGAGCGTCAGCTCAAGCCTCTGGAGGGGTGATCGATTGTCTGTTAACTTTTTGCGCCGTTCGCCCTGTCCCGTTGTTGCGCTTGTTGCGCTTCTTTGAAGCTGATTAGGCGATGCAATACTATCTGTGCGGGTAGGCACATTATCACCAAACAACAGCGGTACGTCTCGCTGAGATTCGTTTGCGTAAGGATCGCGGTAGTTTGTAGGTGGCCCTCGAATTATAGTATCCGTGGCAGAGGGAGCTGGAGAGGCGGCACCGAAATCGTCGGGAATACGATTTGATCGTCGATCTTGCCTGTCATATCCTTCGTATGTTTGCTCTTGAAACCCGAATCCACGATACGAGGCTGGTCTGGGAGCCAGACCTTGGTACTCAGCTGCCGACGTCGGGGAGTTGGGACTGAAAGTTGTGTCGGTGGGAGCCTCGGTGTAAGTTGTCTGGATTGATGCCCGGTTCGCCTTGCGTTGCGGCTGGACGTCTAGCGAGCGTCGCTGGTCATTTGGCGAGAATTCATTAGTGTAGTCTGCCGAGACTCGTCGGCTTTGGATGCCCTTGGGCTGGGGCAATGCACCCCAATATGGCGCAGACATGGTCGAGGTTCTTGGAGATTAGGATGTAGCGAAAGCACCAAGCATAGGCTCGCGCCTAACACGGGACACGGGGAGATGACGGTTACCCGCACGCTGAGCCCAAACACGACACGAGAAGGTTTATTGTGCCGTGATGGAGACTCGAAAGAGAGGATTCAAGACTCGATTTACCCGAGAAGCAACAGGCGTAGGGAGATTGCCTTGATTAGCTGCTAGGGCTCATGCAGCTGTCCAGGCTGTCACCGTGGCACTCGTACGCTACTGGGAGGAGGACGCAATGCAGAAATGCGCAGACTAGAGATGCGGGCAGATGCTGTCGCTGCTCCTTTTGTTGTTTGTGATGGATGTCAGCGCAAAGCAAGGGGAGGAAAAGATTTCCGTCGGTTTGCTGGCACAAGCTACTGCTCCCAGGTCCGTCCGCGAGCCGGGGTCTGGAGTGGCTTGGTTGCTTAGGTGCTAGATGATGTCTGAACGAGTCGACCAGCCTGCCCAGGGCCCTGCGATTGGAGCCCAATTGATCGAGCGGTGGGACGAATGAACGCAGAGCCTGCGATCGAACGAAGAGGCGGTCGGGAGCTGCAGGACGAGGTGGAGGAGCTAGTGGAGGCGGCCAGGAGCTCGCGAGAATATGGGTGGCTGGACGAGATGCTTGAGCAGCGGTACGATGCAAGGCACCGGGACAGAGGCCACGCATTTGCTGCGGCTGAGGACCAGGGAGAAACGGGGCGGAGCTGAATGAGAATGATCTTGATGGATTATAGCTGCAAGGACTCCATAATAGCAGCAGTCTCGATTGCTTTTTTGGTGAGCTGAAGCTGGAGATGGAGATGGAGTATCAAGTGGTTGGTGGCCAGACATGACAATACGTAACTGATGGTACCTATACCGCCATAGCTTAGCCGCCAGTTGGTCCAGAGCTACCAACTCCCATCAGTTAAGCCCGTCCCCTTTTTTCCAATTTCCCTCCTCTTAGAAGCCGAGCCAAATTTCCAATGCTGTCATTTATTCAGTTAGCATCTGCGGGCTGGGCCGAGCAGGAACATGCGTCTCCACAATGATCATGGGCCATTTGGCGCCATCTTTGGGTTTGTCTTACTGCTAATGCCCAATTTGATAGGCCCTAGTCAAATCGCGGGCGCCAGCCACCAGCCACCAGCCACCTGTGGTTTGGGGAGCGAACAAACAATTGCCAGCCACCCAAACAACGACAAGGGGTTTTCCCCTGCCTGGTCAATAGAGTGCTCCGTGCTTGATTGAGACTTTCCTTGGATTTTGCTTCCTTTACCATTGGATATGCAAGCAAAAAGAGAGAAAAAGTGCAAAAAAAGAATTGCTCTCAGGGCACTGGAGATTTGCTCCCGGCAGGGCTTGAACCTGCGACCTTCGCATTACCAAGATTTCGCTGTGAGGCGGAAATATTAGTACGAAGCTCTAACCAACTGAGCTACGGAAGCCCTGGATTAGTCATCAGATGACTCCAATTGTTGATTGGAAGCTTCAAATGCTATGCTATAACCTTTACTCTACTGCAGTTGAATAATGATGCTCAAAGAGAATCAACAATTGGAAATAACACAACGACTCAAAATTGGAAAGCTTGGGTACGGGGTAGATTCTGGAACGTTGGAAAGGTTTTCTTTCTGGAGCGTCGTCTAACTTGCCATTGTACTCTTACATAGCTCAGTTCTTTGTTTTGAACGACGGTTCTGTAACACCCACTTGGCCGCTAGCCGGTTGCCAAAGTTCACAGAGCCAACCAAAGAATCTCAACGTGTACGTCTTATCTGTACTCGTAGTCCAGAAAGATTAAGTCGGTGAGTATACGAGAAGAGTATAGAACAAAGGTTTATATCAAAGAAAATTCCCAAACATGATTGATATCTTTGAATCAGGTGTCCTATATACCTAGGTACAGGTACTTGTAAATCTTCATTCAATTAAGGTCACGAGTAGCCTTACTGTTACAGGTGTAATCAGCCAAGGTGCAGAACATCAAAACTCTATTGAAGAGATATCACAGCGCCGCTAATTGAGCGGCAAGCTCTCGGATTTTGCTCTTGATAACCACATGGGCTCCGCTCGAGGGCACGTCGCCCGAGTGTATAACTCCCACATTAGACAGCACTGATATCACGCAGTCTCCCTCCTCCTTCCACCACAAAGCCGCCGTGAGACCCAGCACGCCGCCAAAGTGGCCTAGCCATCCGTCTTTTTCAGAGTCCCGCATTCTGAAGAGTCCATGGCCCATCTCGGAGGTCCCGCTCGAAGTTGGTCGCCACATCTTCATGGTAGCAAGCGATTCCGCACTGAGCAACTTCCCATCTCGAATAGCAGTGGCGAATTTGACGAGGTCAGAGGGCGTAGAAACCATGCCGCCGGCTGTCCACTCGACGGAAAGGTTAGATGCCGTACAGTCAATGAGCTTGCCGTCCTGAAGCTCGGGAAAAGCTACATTGATTCCCGCCGCCTCACGATATTCCTCAGTTGCAAAGTGATAGCGCTTTGTCATCGTGCCCTGGTTTTGTTCTTCAAACCCCTCTAGAAATGTGTTTTCCATTCCGAGTGGCGCAAGGATTCGTCGACGGATTTCGGCCTCTGCTGTGTTCTGCGTAATCTTTTCAATCATAAAGCCGAGAAGCTCGTAGTTGGTGTTTGCATAGTAATAGTTTCCACGCTCAGGGGCGGTCAATCTTGGGCGGCGAATGTAATCAAGAGGCTCGATATTGGTCCGTTTATGAGCCGGATCCAACTTGCTGCCACGTCCTGCTTTAATCCAAGCTGGGTCATCTTCCCAATTGTCAATGCCCGTTTCATGACTCAAGAGCAGGTCAACGTTGGCTTCGGCCGCAGTGTCAATGTCACGGTATATTTCGGGGTCAAGAAACTTGCTGACAGTATCTGTCAATTGCAGCTTTCCTTCTTCTATAAGTTGGAAAATAACGACGGCCGTGAATACTTTGGTGATGCTACCAACGCCAAACAAGTGAGTAGATGTGATAGGTTGCTGGCTCTCCAGATCCGATACACCGGCAACAAAGGTCCAGTGTCCGCGGGATGAGGTTATTGCGGCGGAGAGACCAGTCACCCCGGCTGCGATGCTTTCCTGAAGTATCGCATCGATTTTGGCGAGGTAGTCTGCTTGAGTAATATCCTCGGAGGCCATGGACGCTGGATGTGTATCTTTTGGTATCGCTCTGGCGTTTGCTTCTTTTCTTCGCTTGGAGATAAATTAGAATATGTAGCTAGCTTCTCCTCAGCTTAAAGCTGTTCTCGAAGTGTCGATTTCTCTTGAGACAATGCATGATGAGCAAGACTAAGTCCATGTAGTTATATTTGTAGTTTGTCCCATATATGATGTAACATTATTGCGGTAAAAGCATCCTAGTGACTGAGTTATGTCCGCAACAAGAGCGAGGTCCGCAACTAGAGCAATGTATACTGTGTAGCCTCGTCAGAAATAGGTCGGCATCTGGTGATTATTAATAGCTCGTCGCTTGTGCACTTCAGCCATCTCACACATATCCACTCCTCAGTAGTTTCTGCTTATACTTGTAGAGGGCGTAGCAATTAGAACATAGCTCGTATAGGGCGTGGCAAGCAAATACTTGAGAGTATATTCGTATAGGGCGTCGCATAGAACAAAAGTCTTGTTATAACTGAAGCAACATCTACTAATATAAAATTCATACTCACATTTCAGCACCCGCACACCTCACCTAACCAGCAAGAGGGGTCAATTTATGCATAGGCACTTCATGTTGTTAAGAGGAAGGGAAAGCGGTTCCGTCAACTTTGGTGAAAAAGCAAATCCAAGCTGAGGAATATAGCTATTACTACTGTTGAGAAAGGCTTGTGCGTCATCAAGCCTCCGTTGACGTGATATTACTACCCAAAAGTTATTAAACTATCTCTTTTCCCTATGCAAACGTATCACTGTCTTCAGGAGCATCCATCTCGCGGTGGTACCTATCTTCAAGTAAGGCCATAACTTCATCGCTTACAGACCCAATGGCCGACGCAGTCTCCAACATTCCTTTTGTGATCTTGAATTCGTGGCCGCGTTTATCGAGGAGAAAAATTATCAGACCTGTCGCATAGAGCTTATTTCCCACTATGGCCTCGAAAATATCCTCTGTAATCTTGATGTCGTTGCCACGCTTGTTTAAGACGATATCCAGCCACTGAAAAGATGTCTTCTGCATCGCGGCTGTCATCAAAGACTCTGTGAATGTGATTTTGTGACCATAATGCTCGAGAAGAGCAGATATCATCTCTGTGCCGCTCCGAGCCCTCACCGTGATCAGAACCATGTCTTCCGTAATCTCTGCCTGGCTGCCTCTTTTATTCAGGAGTAACAACAGAGTCTCCGCTGACCCATTCCTTATTGTGTATTCAAGCAATTCTTTTGTAATGTTGACTTGGTTTGGACACTTAGTGAAGAGCAAGTCCAAGATGGCTGCCCCGTTATGATAATTACTTAGCGCTCCCATCAAAGTCCTCTCATGGATCTTGACCTCGCCGTTACACTTGTCTAGTAGCAATGCGAATATCTCAGGCGTTCGTCTTGCCGCCCTGGAAAAGTGCTTTTGATTGATCCTGATTTCACTATTAGTACTTAGGAGGATTTCTATCATTTTATAATTGCCTTGTGTTATGGCTGGGGCGAGCACGTCATTCGCATTGACGTCGGGATGTTCATGCGTCATCATATCGCTCACAACGGAAGTTAAATTGAAGACAACCGCTAGCCAAAGATCTATCGATCTCTGCAAGAGCGCGTAGATATCCGAGTACGCGTATGAATCGCAACCCTCTAACCAATTTCTTGTTTGCGGTGCTGATATATCACAAAGGCTGCGAGCAAGCTTCCGAGAGGTATCCGTGGAACTTGCGTCTTGTGATCGGAAGTGTAAAAACCAGCTGCTAGCCGCGTAAGAGGAAAAAGGATATTTTTCCTTCAATTTAGTCGTGTTTTCGAATTGAGCATCAAGCATTAGCAAGTAACTCATGCAGGCCTTGGCCAAGATCCCATGTGACCGTGATAAGTTTAGCCGTCCCCTCCACGCTCCTGAAGGGTTCGTATCAAGTAGAAATTCTCTAGCCGTTTGATGGATGAGATATAACTTGGAGTCGTGAATGCTAATGAACAGGCCGCATAGATTTCCTGGTGTTGTCTTGAACCTATCCTGCGGCCATAAGTTCTCCTGTAGCTTTTCATGCGACGAGAACTCATCTCCCAATGCGAGTGTAAGGGCGTAGTTAGCCTCGTCGAGAGTCAACGGGCGCTCAGCAGCTAGGACAATCTGTAGTAGGGCCTCAACCTTTCTATCGTCTTGGCTTCTGGACAGAATCTTCTCATAAGCATCAGATACTGTAGACGGTAGCTTAGACAGGAACTCCTCCATATCCAGTCGTCTGCTATAGGCACTCATATTTCTTTCAATAATCTCCAAGGTTAAGTGCAACCATAGATACGTTCTGCTCTCCATATTTTTAAGACGCTGAGAGATCTTGTTGCGGTCTCCGGCGGTGAAGCTGCTTGTTATATAATCCACTCTTACATCGATGACAAGATTTATTTCTTGGCCAATCTGACCAGATTTATCATCGCCATCAAAGTGTAAATAAGCAGGACTTGCCGTCAGTCTGTCGAATGACATTTTAAAGGTCTCATATGGGCGGCTAGTAATGAGAAACCTTAGCCGTGGCGGAGCAGATGAGTTGGTATTGAGGTATAAGTGGCACAGCTTCTTAGTCAAGCTGGTCCTACCCTCCTCTTCACATTCATCTAAAGCATCGAGTAAGCAGATAATTGGGACTGGTGACGAATCCACGCAATCGAGAAAGATTCGCCATAACTCATCGGTTCTTCGCATTAGATCCTGACTATACTTCTTGTGACTTGCAAGCGCATGTGCCATGAGCTGAGGCGTATGAATGAATAGCTGGTGTAATATTGCGCATAGAGCTTGAGCGCTATCCATTTTGCCCTCCCCGCCATCTTTAAAGAAGAAATAGCAGATGATGCTTTGGGATACAGTAATAGTTGAGGATGAAATTGTAACGGTAGTGTCTGGACTCAAGTGGCGCTCATCAATTAGGGATTTTGATAAGACTGATTTTCCGCATCCAGGCCCTGCAGAAACCCAGAGAAGGTCTCCAGACTTTTTGTCACGCCAAGTAAGAAATCTTTCATCTGTTAAGAACCACATACATGTTCCTGGTACTCTCTCTGGATTGATGTTCTTGTATCTCTCATAGTCTCCTGAGGTCGTGGCAAGATCCCTTAGCAGCTTTCGCTCTTTCTCGTCCTCTCTATCTTCTTTCAAGACTTGAAGCATCTCTTCTTGAACAATTCGCGATTTCTGGATTTCTTGGAGCTGGCTATCCATTTTGGTTTGGATGACGTCTTTGTGTGCTCTGTCAACCAGACAGAGGCAATCGTCATGCAGCTCCCTGATTCGTTTTATCGCATTGTCCCAGTCATCAGACCCCGCCATATTCTGCCAAACACGAGAGAGCTGCGCTTTTGATAAATGGCATATAACTCGAGCTTGGTACTCAATTATGAAGGAATATAGCTTGACCAAAGGATCCTTGAGGTTCTGGTAAAGTTTCGTCTCTGGCAGCTCGAAGTAGGTCTCCTCATAAGATTTCCAAAAGATTTGCATGTCGCCAATCGAGCTGAAGCCATCTAACATGCCCTCGTTATACTTCGCGCCGCATACAAGGAGCAAAGAACTGTAAGTAAAGTGTACCATGATCCTTTGCGAGGGAATGTTTATTTACTGGAAGAAACAGCGAAACACCAGACCAGGCCAAGGCAGCGTACGGCTGAGCGCTTACTGCCGACTTAACAATGGCATCGGACCAGAGCAGGAACTTTGCCAACTTCTCAATCTGTTCTCGCATTGTAATATCGTGTCCCATGATCGAGACCTGTATTTCCTTCCTCTGCCGTATTTCTAGCAGCTGGTTTACATGAACTTTGACATCGTGTGGAGCCGAAAAGCTCTTGCTGTCGACGGAGACACCTTCTAACGAAGCTATGTGTCTCTCATAATCATCCATAAGCTGTTTATCGCGCTCCTTGGCAAGCGTATAAGCCTGAGCCCAGAGCTCATTGCCTTCGCCTGACAAGTTATTGGCCGTAGACGCGGCCGTGGTATGGGGCAAGGTTGGATTTGGATCCTTGTCTGCGGGTACAGGTACAGGAGTAGGGGGAACGTCACTGTCTCTCTTCAATATACGATTCTTGAATTTTGAGAAGATTGGCATCTTTGCTAAAGGAGCCGCGAGGAGTGAACTGTCTTGTAGCGGGCATGTGCAGGCATTGAATGTTGTGGTTTTAGCAAGAACGGAGCTGACCTGCCCACAAGTGCAATCAGTGCCCAATGAGAACATGCATGCAGGGGGGAATATAATAGCGCGTGGATGCCCACATACATGTATTCAACACACCAAGTTTACTACTCAGCATCTCGTGTTGTAAATAACACCGAATGCTAAATAATATATCTAGAGTAGTAAATACTGACAAAACTCTTTAACGTCGGTGTTTAAATCTCTCTAACTTTTACTTTATAAACTCCTAAACTCCTAATTGACATTATTGCCCACCTTCGCACTCTCAACAGGGTATTAAATCGACATATCCGGTCTGTAACATCCTCTTCGTCCTTATCCAGCTTCCATTTTCGCCAATTTAAAACATATTTCCAAATAAAGGACTCTACGTCCAAGACCAACTAGTATTCACAACTTTAAACTGAGTGTTAACCTCACTATGTCGAAGAATCATATTGAGCCACCACTTCAAACTTCGAAATGACAGTCGGATCGGCAATAATATCAGTTCACCACCAGGAAGACTGACCCCGGCGCCAAACACCATCAGCCCCAAAACGCCGACGAGAGAAAGTAGCGCCACGAGTCGCACGGCGTTCATCACCAGAGATAAGAGTCCAATCGAGGACCAAGGGAATCTGCTGCTGACATGATTTTGCAACGGAACTTCAAGTCTGTCGTCCCAGTCGGTGTGACCCCCGACATATGTGACGACATGTGGCTGCATGACCTCGTATGTCGCTGTGCCAGTGAAATACCCCTTGGCCGCATGCGCGTGTCTCGAGATTTTCGGCGCGGTCGAGATCATGACGCGTGTGCGGCTTCGAGTATCCTGGATGTTGCCATAAGTCGCTGAAGAAGGTGTCTTGTCTTCGCCAACGCAGAGATGGCTGTGTCGATATGTCTCGCCGGGCTGGACCCATTCGAAAACAGTAATCTTGGGAGATAGCCGAATCGCGAGGTTGAGCCACCCAGCAAGCGCAACAATGTCATGTAAAGCCTGATACGACGATGAAGACGGCGCGTCTTCTCCGAGGGCGGCAGAGAGAGGGGAGAGCAGTGTTACGATTTGAGCAGTGATTTTGTCTACGCGTTTCCAGAATAAAGGCGGAACGCCGCCCGTTGCTTCAAGATAGACGCGATTTGTGTCTGCACGAAGGGCTGTGCGTCGAAAACCTATAGATTGCGCATCTATGTTAGCCAAATTCGTCTCTAAATCAACAATTCGAACCGTGTCATACCTTCAACGTTGATCATCGAATTGTCTTCCATCCTAAGCAGTTCCGCATGCTCCGGTCCAGCACCAAACAAGAGATCAGAAAAGACGTGTTTCTCCAGCATCATCATCATCACACCCGACAAAAGGGCACATCGATATGGCCGAGACCTGAGCAACTTCTCCCACTCCCCATCAGCGCCAGGCCGAGCAACCATGCGGGCAAAACTCAGAAATTCCTTGGGATGCTTCAGCTTCCAGAGCGACTTCTTCGAGCTGGCCGCCTTTTTGCAGATTCCATCCTTGAGGAATGTATTGATTTCGGAATGAAGCAATTCGAATGTTTCTTGGTGGCCTTCATCGGGTATGTCTCCCTGAAGCTCGGAGAAGGGGAGCTTGCGCTGGCTTGGCTGGAAGGTTTTGAGTTGGCGAGGCATTCTTGCAGATAGTCTGCTGCTGTGTCTGGCAGTATGGCCGATCGGCATTGTGAAATGTGAATTAATCGCAGTTCGGGTTCAGATTTTGACGGTAATTAAAAAGGGAGTGAAAATGAGTAGATGCAGACCTCTGTTCTTATCCATTCGTAGGATTGTGATATTCGGTGACATGCAGACTAGCGGTCAGACGTCCTGCATCTTCTTATGCCGCTCTATCTAGGGTCTACCGGCAGATTCTCAGAGACAGCGTCTTTCACTGGTCGACGCGTTCAATCAAACCGTTCAGAGATGCGTTCAATTCACGGCCAAGTATGCACGCCTCTTTCATCTGACTGGGGCCTGTTCAAAGCGTGTCAATCAAAGGGGTCGTGCACAAATGAACACAAATCATTGTTCACATAAAAATAGAACGTCAAGAGGGATAAAGCCGACCGCTATGCTTTTGAAAACAATTGTCATGAGGACACACGTCTTTATTTCAATAAATCTTCAACTAGCTTTTAGCCACCCATGATGCTGCTGCTCTCCAACTACTGCTAGACTGAAAATTGCCATTTGCGCTTCCATAGACTCAAAACTCCTACGAGATCCACACATACCATCATACTTGATGTCAATCATTTGTAATATATGAAACGGAGGAAAGAAAAAAGAAATTGGTATTGTCTGGTATACAGATATTGGGAAAATTTTAGGCTTTGTAGATTAAAAGTGCTCTTTCCAGAAGCGGAACTCGACTTCGCGAGCCGTGGCAGCCTTGCAGGCAGTCTTGATATCACGAGCTGGAGAGACGACATGTTAGTTTAGGATAGACATAATGGGAGAGATGTTAGGAATATTGGTACATACCTGCAACAGAAGGACCGCAGAAGTAAACACCGACCGTCGTCTTCATGCTACCCTCGAGACCGCCGAGATAGGTCCTGTCGAGGATACCATCACGCATAGTTCTGAAGAGGCGGGCAAAGTTGGGTCGACCAAACTGAGTCCGTGACTTGAGCTCAGTGAGGGGATCCATCTCGGCACCCACACTGTTCAACACAATGTTCTGGGCGGTGTCCATGTCAAGTCTCTGGGTGAGGTAGGTGTGGATCTTGAGGAATTCAACACCAGAGCTTCCAGGGACGCGAGCAGCTTCGTTGGATTGCTCCTCGAGAGAAGACAGCAGTGTCTGGAACCATTCAAAAGAGCCAGTATCCTTGCAGACCCAGATGAACTCAACACGACGAAGACGAGTGGGAGGGTTGGGAGAGTTTCGGAGATGCCAGATGTTCTTCAGAATGGAAGCCCAAGGAGTAACACCAATACCAGTTCCGATGAGGACAGCAATTTCGTTCTCAAAGACATCCTCAGCCGGAGCTCCATAGGGGCCGTCAATGCGCAGAGCAGGCATCTGCTGGCCGTTTTGCAAAGCGACTTCGTACATACCCATGGGGTCAACACCGTCGTAGAACTTGGCTTGAGCGGCACCGGCACCAAGGGCGTCTCCCAGCTGGCTGGTGAAGTCACCGACCTGGCGAACGTGGACGGAGACATAGGGATCGAACGGGCACGAGGTGATGGTGAAGGGGTGCCACTGGTACTTTGAAATGGATGGCACCTGAAGGAACAACCACTGGCCGGCCTTGTACTTGAAGGAAGGCTTGTTGAACTGAATCTCGACGACGTCATACGGGTGTCTGATGACACGAGTAATCTTGGTCTCACGACGGGCACGAACCTCGCGATACAGACGCTCAATCAGGTAGAAGCTACCAGTGAAGAGCTCCCATCGCCATCCAAGATAACCAATGCAGTGCGACCAGTATTGCTCACCATCAAATGGAGAGAATCCATTGGCGGTATCACGAACGAAGCAGCCGACAGTGTGGGTGTAGAGAGCCAAGAAGAAGGGGATGAACAGGTGGTGTGTGTACCAGAAGGTCTCGAAAGACTGCTGACGAATACGAGCATGGGCGGTAGTATACATGAGCAGCATGCAAAGGAGCATGACGTGACCGGTAATACCACCAGGCTGAGCGTAGTGAATCTGCAGAGCGGTAACGGGACGAATCTGCCTCTTCTCGACATTGTAGAAGTTGACGTAGTGGGCTGACGTGTGGCAAATGCTGAAGAATAGCAGAGAGTAGGCAATCTGGCGATGCATCCACAGATTCTCATCAAGGGGGAGGAAGCGGATCTTGGGTCGGATCCATCGCATAATGGTTCGGCAAACGGGGAGCAGGATCAGCATGCAGTCGACGCTGAGCACCAGACCAGCACCTCGAGAAATCCACACAGAGTATTTCAGCGTGTTAAGACCTGCCAGCCTTGGATCGGCGGCTTGTTTATACCTGGAATAATGTTAGCTGCTTTGAGGATAACCAGAAGTCATTTCAGTGTCGAAGCTCACCATCCATATGCGAAAATGCCGAAATGAAATCCCCAGAAGAGAATGTGATAGAAGAACTTTTGAATAGTGAACTGCTTGCGAATGAGTTCGCCATATGTGAGTTGGCCAGCCATCTTGGATGATTGGTTTCGAGTCTCCTCCTCTTAACAGTTGAAGCCCTTTGAAATTAAAATGTCGACCCGCGACAATGCTGAAATATTATAATAGGATGCCCTTGGGATTACCCAGTGCAAGCGGTTTCCCGACTCTAAACAGCGATAATACCCTCCCTCGACTTTCCAAAAATGACACCGATTCCCAAGTCGACTTTGGATCCGCCCTAAGTAGGTCGTTCAAGGCAGAATAAGAAAAAAATACTAGTCAAAAATCGGACACGCTGGAAAACGAAGGTTGAATAAAGAGTGTAAAGAGTGACCTGAGCCAGCAGTGGATAGAAAGGAAAGGCCCAGAGGGACGTCCGTAGAAGAGAAAGAAAAAGATGGCTGCTCTTTTGGCCCGCCTAACGACAGCTGAGGGAAGAAGGAAAAGAAGAAGCCAAGAATATGGGAGTCGCCGAGTGATAAAAGAGGACTCCTGGTCGACCTAATCGGCGTGAAACACGGACAGGCTGGAGAAGTCGGGGATGGATCCGAAATGGTGGCTCTGTCTTCCTTTGACTTCGGATGTTGAGGTTCCTTGTAGCATGAAACTCCAGACCCCTGCAGCTGCGAAGCGATCCGCCAAATGACACGGTGAGGGCTTGCGGGCCGGTAGCATCGGCCGCTGCAGCAGACGCCAGGCTATTCCCTCTGCGACGAGCACTTGCGAGAGCTGCGATTGCAGTTTAGGGCCTGGTTGAATTGTAAACTGTAAACCCAGCGAAGATCACGGCGCAGAAAGTGAGACTCTCGTGGAGCGGATTGTGCGACGGCGAGTGTGAGAGCAGGGCCGAGGGGCAGGTGTAGCGGCGTTTCGAGCGCTGGCTCAGGGGGCCTTTGGGGACCTTTGGGGAGTGTTAGAGGGGCGTGTGCGTTTGAGAGTCTGGTCAAGCAGCTCAAGCTTGTCTGCACTTTGACGATGCTCCGAGCTGTAATGTTTCAAAAGGATTGTCTGTGCAAAATGCAAATCTAAGTGCAAGTGCAGATGCGGAGTTGGAGGTTTGCAGATGTAGCAGAAGCAGGAAAGTGGAAGATTTGGATAAGACGTGGTACAAGTACAGTAGGCGGTACAGGCACTCTTTGGTTTGTGCCTGGATGGATTCGATGAAGTCACCTGCAGGGCCCCAATGCCGTTCCCCCGCTTCTCCGCTGCTTTGTGATGCTCAGATTCTGCTCTTTTGCACCCATAAATAGGAACATTGATATCCATCACATCCAAAGCCGCCGGCCTTCTGTGCACTTGCATTCTCACGATGCGCTCTGACTGGTCTGACCGAGTTAGTCAGGGAGTAGCAAGGCGCGCTGCCAGTCCTGATGAGGCAACGGCCCTGAGGCTCGGCGCTTAAAACACAAGATGGCTGGCCAACAAGAGGCTAGATTTGTATCCCCTGAGCTAGCTGCACGGTGATGGGACTGCTAGGGCACGCGGACCCCTGTCTGGTGTGGACGCCTTTGCCTGCCACGAGGTGGGTTGGGATGCCTCTATTGAATTATGGAATTTGCTCTTCTGGGCGACTTAAAACAGCATATCTGGTGATATCAGTTACTGAACGGGTGACTTGAGCTGTCAAATCGAACCATTTTGCGATGCTGTAACGGAAGTGCATCTCCGTCAGTCGATGACATTGTCGCCAAGACCAATCACCCAGACTCTAGAGTAAGCCTGATTTAGCTGACACTTGAGTTCCAATCTTAGACTGCCTTTGTCTGCATTGTCGATATATTAATCAATTCGATGATGATTGGTCGCAACACCTACCAGCAAATACACTATGGATTAATCTGTCCGTGCTTTTTGCCTTAGTAATTGCCATAACCAAGCTCGGTATCAAGATTTAATAAAGCATTGATCCATCGCTACCGGCAATCTGGAGTGTCACAGGTTAGGCTACTCCTGATATCCATCCCTCCCTTCCCCATATGGGCCGGAAACGAACATGTAGAGATTTAACGCTTCCATTTAAGATTATACACCTTGCTCAAAGTGCAACGGATGGCTTCTAGCCAAGTTCTGGTTGTGTCTCTCCTTGCTGTTTGCCTCCTGAAGCATTGAAGAAGGTGGTGTTTACAAAGATTAGCTACTCTCAACTGAAACGAGTAGTATTAGCAACTTAAAACGTTAGCGCTCGTGATAGATGGACGCCCTGCACCTTTTCCGCACGGAGGTTTGGGCTTGTCCCTTGATTTTAGCGCAGCTCCTGCGGCCCCTCCCATCCCGGCGTGAGGCCTTCATGTTGGTCTGTTGGTCCCTGCAAATGAACCCGGCATTGGCGAGGCGGCTGTTTGCATTGGCAGACGTAGTATCGAGATTTTGACGGGAAACATTCATGCTATGATGAAAGAATCGTACGATTTTTTTTTCGCAAAGCTCCCCAAGACTCTCACGTGGCGGGATCCAGCAGTTTGGCTATAAAACAGTTCCTTTCGCATGCTTAAATTCGTTCCATTTTCCTGTTTTACGACTTTTGGCCACTCTGACTTGCTTTCCCAGACATATCGATCGCCCAATGCTACTCAATGCCGCCCTGCTCACGATGACAAACCGAATACGAAGTACAATGTACAGGTTATAGCGCGTAAGAGAAGGACGAGGAGGAAGCGTCAAAACTTCGTGCGGCATAACGCAAAACACACCCCGATATGCTCGTCGCCTACTAGGTAGTAGACCAGACGCTGGACCAGACGCTGGACACGACTTGGTCACCCTCGATGCGCAGCCGGTCCACAATACCGTTACCTTAGTAGAGCAATGCCTGTCGACTCGAGGATCATCAGGGCGGCTTCAGGGCGGCTTCGGCTCAAAAGGCCTCCGTTTGCGACGACAAGGATGATCAGCAAAGCTACCAGATGTAACCGATGGAACGTGCAAAATTATTGAGGGGGAAGCGAGTTCAGTCCAAGCGGTGCTTTTTGTTATTTTTGGCTCTGCCTACCTCCCACTGGGTATGTGATGGCCGTGGCTTCGTATTCGCCGCTACTCTGCTTGGAGGATCCTGACAGCGCATTGCGGGCGGCAGTTTGACCTCCAGGCGTCGCATGAATGAATGACGTTCCCCCGTAAATTCAACGTCAATGGAAGGCCAATTGTAGTTTGCTGGCTCTTTTAGGTGTCTCGGCATTAGCCACTGAGCGGCAGCACAAACGTAATTGCATTGAGCAGTTCCCGGTCTGCGCTGTGCGACAATGTGGGGAGTGGTCAGTCTTTAGAGGCGGATGACGTAGTAGTGATAAATGCCCAGCCATGTCCATCTTTATTCGCCATGCCGTCATCCAGAGTCAAATCGGCGATTTGAAAAGTACGGAACTCAATGGCATGTAGTTATAAAGTAAATTCGAATCAAATAATTGATCATTAAAAATTCATCTCATGTATACGCGTGTGGTTTGCACAAAGAAATCTCTCCCACCAGCTGCGATGTGTAGAGCTTCATAATGGCTGGCAAAGAAGATGTGGAGCACGCCCGTCGCTACGAAGCTCCATATAGCGAACGACACCCGATTCCTACCATATCGAAATACAGAGAGGAAAGGGAGGCGAGACAGCAAGATGCATTAAACAGCGATATAGACGGCCCGGACCAACGTCCTTCTCAGACCGAAGAAAGAGAAGCTTGGAGTCCCGATGACGAAGTAGAAGATCTTCAGTCTGGCAACGACGAGGCATCTATCCAGGATACATCGCAAGTTGATCCTGCCGCAATCAATCCACGAAAAAAGAACAAGGATTCCAAGAAAGAAAGGGCGGAACGCGAGGTCACGGATCCCGTCACTCATCTCCCTGTGAAGATTCACGACTTCACTGACAGTGCCCTCAAAGAACTGGACGTGAACGAGGACCCATTTGAACAAGCAAAAAGAACATCGAGTGGTATAGATGAGAAGAACAAGTCTGATGCCGAACTACGCAAGGAACAAGACGGTTCACAAGAGAAACACCATGCTTTGATGAATCAATTCCCGCCACCGGACCTCGATTTCTTACGCAAGGAAGTCGTTGCTGCGAGCAGCCGCGGGTTTGCGATTTCTTTAGCCGGTGCATGCGGCATCTTGGTTACCGCCTTCATTATTCGCGAAGTAATTTTTACAAATGCGCATCAAGATGGAGGATGGAAAGCTGTTGCTCAACGGTTTTTACCGTGGCTTGCTCTGGTTACTGTTAGCGCAGGGATATTTGGTGTCTTCATCTTCGGTGTGAGGGATTGGACGGCCAAAAAGGTCGACAGCGCAATCCAAGACGAGATCTGGCGCTCTCAGCGCCGGCAGATGAACCGCGAAGTCAAGAAATACGAAAGGGAGACTACCTTGTGGCTCAATTCCTTGCTGAGCTCAGTATGGCCGCTCATCAACCCCGACCTCTTTACCAGCCTGGCAGACACGCTTGAAGATGTCATGCAAGCCTCCTTGCCCAAAATGATACGCATGGTCAGCGTGGAAGATATTGGCCAAGGCAGCGAATCGCTGCGCATCCTCGGCGTTCGATGGCTGCCCACTGGAGCCGCTGCACAAGCCGTAACGGAAGATGGGAAGATTATCTCACACAAGGATAAGAACAGTCGCAGCAACTCGGAGCTGGGTGAAGAGGAAGAGCCTGACAGCAAAAGCGACAAGTCCACTTCTCGGGGCATGGCAGCTGAGGAAGGTGATTTTATCAACCTGGAGGTCGCTTTTGCATACAGGACTCGATCAACCAGCAAATCATTCAAGGAGCGAAGCAAAAACATGCATCTCTACTTGGCCTTTTATCTGCCTGGAAACTTGAAGATACCCGTCTGGGTTGATTTGCATGGAGCAGTTGGCACCATGAGGTTGCGCCTGCAGCTGACGCCTGATCCCCCATTTTTCGATCTCTGTACTCTAACACTGCTCGGGCAACCAAAAGTGGATTTGAGCTGTGTGCCCCTGAACAAGCATGCCTTGAATCTTATGGATGTACCCTTCATAAGCAATTTCGTGCAGTCGGCGGTTGACGCAGCCATGGCGCAGTATGTCGCTCCAAAGAGTCTCACGCTAGATCTCAAAGATATGCTCGCTGGTGATGACTTCAAAAAGGACACATACGCCAAAGGTGTTCTTATGGTCAATATCAAGGGTGGTTACGACTTCAAAATAGGAGATTCAGGCATACCACTTATCAAAGACTCCAGTTCAGATCCATATGTGTCTGTTGGATGGGCGAAATTTGGCAAGGTTCTCTGGAGCACGCGCATTTTACTATCTGAAATGGAACCATACTGGGATGAGACTTGTTTTGTGCCAGTCACCCCTGAAGAGCTAAACATCAACGAAAGACTCCGCATTCAGCTTTGGGACTCTGATCGATTTACGGCGGATGACGACCTCGGGAGAATCGAGGTTGACCTCAAAGAGCTGATGCAAAACGAAGAGTCGAACGGGCGCATGTGGCAACGTACAGATGGATTCAGAGCACTGAAATCTGGCCACGACATGCCGGGGAAACTCGAGTGGAGTGTTGGATACTTCTCAAAAGCAAGACTTCAAAAATGTCAATTTGAGAAGCAGACTCACGACCCAGAAGTCAGATCAATGAAGCAGCTTGAAGAAAAAGTCAGCAACAGCTGCGAGCGGAAACTTCGAGAAGCCATGCTCAAGCATTCATCATCTGATCGTGATGATAGCGAGCTAGAGCAGCAGAAGATGCAGGAAATGAAGTCGGAGCAAGATGCGATGATCATATCGGCTCCGCCGCCAGACGGATATCCAAGTGGCATCCTCAGTCTGCAGATTCACAATATCACCGGACTCGAAGTTCCCTCACTAAACAAAAGTTTGAAGGACAAGGATGGGAATGCAAGCGACGAAGAGACTGGAGAGGGCCTGCCCAGTGCTTATTGCACCGTAATTGTTAACCACAAGAAAACCTACAAAACGCGAACCAAGCCGCAAAACACAAAGCCCTTTTTCAACGCAATTTGCGAGCGCTTCATTCGAGACTGGAGGTCTTGCGAAGTCTATGTCTCCGTGAGGGATGCCAGGTTGCACGAGGACGATCCACTATTGGGCATCGTCCATCTGCCTCTGAGCGAAGTGTTTAAGGAACGCTCTCAGAGAAATGGCTTCTGGCCCATATCCGGAGGCATTGGCTATGGAAAGATCAGACTGTCCATGGTATGGCGCAGCGTCCAACTTCAAGCGCCGCGCAACCTCATCGGATGGCAGTATGGCACAGTGAATGTGCAGCCTGTCGCAACGAGCTCGGATTGTCCGGAGGACTTGAGATACGCGAAACTGAAGCTGAGAACTGACATCAGCACCGGCAAAATGTATTCTCGCGGATCTGGAGAGGCGACGTGGGCGACGAGCAAGGATCGGCCTCTCACTCTGGCTGTCCAGAAACGATACAGCGGCTGTTTGTCTATTGCTTTCAAAGACAAGAAAGTGCTGGGAGACAAAGTGTCCGCTTTCAGTGTGTGCTGGTTGAAAGACATTCCGGATGGGGAGAATTTGATACTTGACCTGCCAATCTGGAAAGGCGATTTCAAGAGGGCAACATCGTGCTGCCTGGACCAATGCGGAGAAAGAATTGGGACGCTCAGTATCAAGGTCACATTTTGGCCGGGGATGGTAAGTTGATACCCTGATTTCAAACTACCCTGTATGAGAAGAAGAGATCTCTAACAGTCTAATAGGGCGCTGCGCATTCCCAATGGGCTAATAGCAGCGAGCATATTCGAGATGTTGTTGAAGTAATCGATGCTGCAAGAGATAATCTTAGAGACGACGACATGGAAAGAGCCGCAGGGATTGTGGATGAAGAAATCTCAAGTGATAGCGATAGCTCTGATGAGGATGAGTACATACCGGATGGTAGCGCGGGCCATAAGCAGGGCCCCATAGACCAAGTCCGGGATTATAAAAAGAGAGATAAAGCCCTACACAGACAGCATCGGGGCCTTATGCAATGGAAGGTAAGACAAAATCACCAGAATATGCCAGCTTCAGAGGAAACGATTAGCTAACCCCCTGGTACAGGTGCCCCGAACTGCGAAATGGGTGAAGCACAAGGTGGACAAGGTGGAAGATAGTGTTACTTCTTTGCTTGATCACAGAAACAAGGAGGCTGGGATTGAGACTGAGGTATAATAATAAATTCGGTCCAAAAGAATGGATATCATATAATTTTCTAGCAAGCAAGACCATGGTCTATGAGGAAATGACGGTGGCTAATCTAACTAAGGTATCTGTAAAAATGATAATAACTCCCTCAAACGAATTGCGCCCCAAAGGATTCCCATTCATAAGAAATAAAACTCGTGAAGTAAAATGCAACCACAGACGCAAATGCCATAGCATGACGGTGACCCCGGGAATATTGGCCACTGTCTTCATGGTAGATCCTGCTGCGTTGCAGTGTTTAAAAGTGTTGTCCTTGATCCAGGTTAGTTACTGCTGTCGAGTAAGTCCCCTGTCGTCAGGACGGGTTCCAGGGCTTCGTTGGATGGTGCGGGAGTGGCGTTGTTCTTACGGTTCCTCTTTGATCGCACCTCAACTGCCTCTGGCTGCAGCGGAGTCACGTCGTCTTCAGGGTCGTCGCGGTAGCGCTCAGGATCGTCTTCTGCCAGCAAGGGGGCGAGCAAGGGTGCATCACTACGACGCCACGGAAATCTTAGACCCAAGTTCAAATTCTTAACGCTCTGGAACCAAGGAATCTCGGGCAATGAGGAAGGTCGCAGGTGGTGCTCGCAGTTTGGACAATCTGGAGGAAGAATTTGCCAGGCAACCCACTGTAAGAGGCCGTGAATAGCGAACCCTTGATAGATGGCTAGAGCCGCAGCGAAGAGATGGCAGAAGCTGTCCGGCACATGTTAGCTTCGATCATGCAAAGAACCAGCCAGATACGGCTATGCTAGAATAGAGATTCAAGCATTTTGAAAGGGCGTGGGACATACAAGCTTGTCAGAATAGGCAGCGTAGCATAAGCAGCAAGCATACTTAGTGAAGCCGAACGGCCGTGATGGGTCCATGTAAAGACGAGAACGATCATGAGGGCAGCAGCAAGCACGACATCGTGAATAAAAACAACGATGGGATGAGTTAGGACAGCGCGAATAGAAATGCCGCTGTGGCCTTCAGACTCGATGGACTCGACATCAGCCTCCTGTCTGTGGCCTGCGGTGCGAAGAAGCGCGATCGAGGTGACGACAGACACGGCTTGAGGCACCAGGCCAACCGCCGGAACGGGATTATGCGACAAGACGCCGTGGGCGATGCAGAGAGCGAAAGACGGGACAAAGGACACGACTGCGGCGATGCGAAGCGGGCGGGCAGCCGCGTCAACAGTTGAGTCTTCCATGATGAGCGGTGCTGGTGAATAGCGGCTAGGCTGAAGGTGACTGAAGCCGTGAGAAATCGGCAGCGAGTATAAGAGGACAGCGAGATGCCGTCAGTCAGTCAGTCAGTGCCAGTGCCGACGCCTGTGATTTTTTATTCTTATTTTTATTGGGCTCATATTGTCAGGAGAAGCTGCATTGGGCAGAGAGATTACCATAGTGGAAAGCGCGGCCCCTCACTGAGACCCCTGTTTGTCTGAGATGTACAAAGTCAGTTAGTGCATTGCCAATAGCCGGATCTGGTATCTTGACGACAGGAGCTGATCAGGAGAGTGGGGGTTACACAGGTGCGAGCTTGATTCAACGACATGACACGCAGATTGACGACACAATTGGACGGCATTGCAAAACTATAAAATATTGGGAATTATGGGATGAAAAAAATTATACTATTGAAGGCTTAGAGGATTCTAGGTGAGTCATTGAATTTTCTTGAATTGCTCTATTTTCATGGCTGTGTTGGATATGAGTGAGTGACCTGACAGAACATCTAGAGTCCAAAACACCAAGCCTTAGACGGTGGTTATGCCGTCTCGCTGCCACACAAAATTTCAACAACACGAAAGAGCGCGGACGCGGTGACGTTGCCTGGCCATCAATTGGTTTTCGTCTGATGTTCTCGCGTCAGTCACCGCGTTTGGGTTCACCTACGGCCAGCTGTAGTGAGGAAAAAGTGAGGCCATGCTGAGCTTCTGCCCTATCGACTCGCCAGCTGGCGAGCAGTCCGCCACGCAAAATCAACAACGAATTCACTGCAACGCGCTCAATTGGTCAGAAAAAAGTGAAATCATGTGCCCACAGCTGCCTAGAAAAAAATAACAAAACCCCCGCCCCCCAACTTTTCTTTTCCTCTTCTTCTCTTCCTTCTTCAAGTTACCATCATCACATCAAAGTATCACACAAACGCACACAAAGCGAACGAACAAACCTCACAATTCTGACAGACAAGATGGAGTTTTCTACCATTTTCACCCTCGTTCCGTATCCCAAGTCCCCCTCCCTTGGCGATCCCGCTATCTTCCTGCCCATCTGGGCTTCCCTCCTCATTGTGTGCTTGTTTACGAAACTGGTCACCGCCTTGTGGCCATCGGTTCTCATCTACCTCTCCTTTGTTGTAGCATTTGCCCCGGACAAGAACTTTGTTGTCGCCGCCATGTCCTGGCTTTCACTGCTTTGGCTTTGGAAGCCCTGGGCCGCCGCGACAGCTGACCTACGTCGCGAAGTCGATCTCGCGATTGACTTTGCATTTCTCGCGTGGTTCCTGATGGCCTTCCCTTTCATTGTCTTGACAATGTGGGTCGGACTGATGGGGGTTCTTCGTCTTGCCGCCAACGCCATAATCCGCCGAATCCATGATGCCATGGAGTTCGAACTCGACCTGGAATATGTCGTCAAATGCTACTCGCCCATGCAGCTAGGATCACCCGGCGATCGCGCCATGATCCGGCTCCTTGCCGCCTCCGGAAACCCGACATTCATCCTGAGACTATCTCGCCCTCCTCTCGGCATTAACCAAGCTGGAATTGAAGCTATCTTTCGGGATAAGCGACCGCGCCGTTTGGTGAAGACCTCCATCGAAGAGCAGGAGCAATCTCGGGCACGATTGAAGAAGTTTGTGAAGGAGTGCCGTGCAGAAATCATGGCAGCAAAGGAAGCAGAGAGAATCGCCGCTGCGCAGCTTAACGATCCAAAGCCAACGCCATTCGACAGCGAACCAGTGCCTCAGTCAAGAGAGACCCCCACCCCGGTGGTTCAGGTTTCTGCTTGGCCCACTGTTCCCGAGTCGGACAACGTCGCAGAAGACGTCAAGACCAAGACTACCAGCGGATTTCTAGTCGGAGATGAAGAAGACAGCAAAGCGAAGGAACCCGAGTCCTCATCTGAGGAGTACGGTGAAAGCTTGGCCCAGGAACCCGAGATCGCATCTGTGGTTGACGACGGCGAAAGCCCGCTGTATATCGACACCCAAGCCCAGGAACCAGAGATCTCGTATGAGAAGTATGGCGAAAGCTTCGCCGAGGATCCCGAGTCCACATTTGTGGAGGACGGCCACGGCCCAGTGTCCGAGTCGAGCGCCACGGTACCCGAAGCGGCCCAGGAACCTGAGACCTCTTACGAGGAGGAAGGCAACGGCCTGCTCAACATCCACGCAGTCCAAACCGACGAACCGGAGGTCTCATTTGAGGCTGACGAAGGTGAAGGTTTCACCGAGGAACTGGAGGTCTCATTTGAGGCTGATGAAGGTGAAGGCCTCACGGAGGACAAGACCTCGTATGAGGAGGAGTTCGACGTTGAGATGACTGACGCGGATCCCCTTGAGGGAATAGTACCTGGCCTCTTTATTACATCTACATGTGGCTACTCCAACCCATCGGAGCCTATCCTGCCATTGGAAGTTTTGGCCCCACGGTCTCCTGCTTGTCAGGAACCTGGTTACCATTACGATACCCGCGGATACTCCAACCCACCGGAGCCTATCCTGCCATTGGAAGTTGTGGCCCCACGGTCTCCTGCTGGTCAGGTACCTGGTTGCCACTACGATACCCGCGGATACATGTCATTGTCGCCTGTTGTCGAGAGTGCTCAGCCTGTTGTCGAGGCCCAGTAGGATGGGCACGACTTTCAGCCTGACCTCTTATCAGTCGCTGACTACGAGACACTCCTGGGGGATAATGAGTACGCCAACATGGACCCCGACCTCCTAGATCGCAAGATGGACGATCTCCTCGCCGGCGTCACCACCCAAGCGGACCAAGCCTTCACCACCGATGCTTCTTTTGAGGAGTTCGAGGCGTGGCTGGATACCCTTGTTGTGGACGCCGAAACAGCAGTTCCCGACGCCAAAGCGTTGGACGATGACGAAGAAATGCGAGACGCGGATTGGATCCCGACTCCAGCTTCCGATTCTGACGACGACTCGGTCACCATCGTGGAGCCATTCTCCATGTTCTTCGATCCATGCGTCCTTCGGGATTCTAGCTTGGATGAAGACATGATCTCCATGGACCTGAGTGGCAGCGGGTCCGACCCCGAGGTAGAGTTTATAACTGCAGCTTTGGCTCAGTTGACTCTTACTTTGGATGTCGGCAACGTCATCATCACGGACCAGCAACTATCCCAGGAAGATGTCGCAATGGTGGACCTCCAAAGGCCAATTCCCCCTGTCATCGTCATTGACATGGCAGAGCCGGAGGAGTCAACTCCCCCCACCGACAACACGATGGAGCTCAACGGGCCAATCCCCCCCGTCATCGAGATGGCGGAACCCGAAGAGCCCGTCGACGACATTGTTCCGGATGCTGTTCCGGATACTCTCCAGCATGAGGCATTGCCCCCGCAACTGCCGTACATGGGAGACGATGATGAAGATTGGAATGAGCAGGGCGTCGTGTCTGACGGTTTGACGACACGCAGCATGTCCCCAAGAGGCTCGGAGGGAGGTGAGCTACTCGTGGTAGCCTCGCCTGGACCTTCCCTCGAGGATGAGATGTGGGCCGCCTTTGAAGAAAGGGATTTAATGGCCGCCCTGCTCGGCATGTCACCAGACCGATTGTCACTTTCCTCGCGATCGAGATCGACTTCGCTTGACTCGGGCGACGTGCCCTTATGGGCATTTCCCCCTGACATGGTGAACGCGTCTGACTCTGGTGCTGCCACCAATCTTTCGTTGAACCAGCTGTTCGACAATTCCCGGACAATCGAAGGCAATCCTACGACCGAAAGCGCCGCTGACGAACTTTCGGAAGAGGATCCAGCCTCAAGAGATTCTGTTTCTGGACCGGACTCAGTCACGGAGGCGCAAGAGCCAGCTCCAGAGGACCATAACCAGGCGGGTAGTTCCGAGTCCCCCGAAGACGACACCACCCTGGCCTCTGGAGAAGTTGCTGAAGAGCAACTACCGACGACTGAGACCCCGGCTCCAGACAACGTACCGGCGATTGCGATAACCCCCGAGCCAAACCGAGTGGTTCAGGTTGAGGTCGCGCCTATCAGGATGGGAGGACTTATTCTCCCTGGCGGAAATCTTGTTCTGCCCGCGACTCCCGCCCCCATGACCCCGTTGCCGCAGCAAGCCAATAATCCCGACCCAGAGGCTGTGAGGAAGCAGAAGGAAGAAAGCCTGGCAAGGGATCTGCGCAACGTCATGAGGAGGCGCCAACCTGCTTCCATTTTTCACCCCAAGCGACCGCAGAAGTCTTCGGCTCTCATTCGCTCACCAGACGCCGCGGAGAGAGAGAGTGTTCTCCGATCTCCGCAGTCCTTCCATGCCATGTCTCGCGCTGGAAGTGACGCTGATGGTGGAGTGGATGCCGAAGATGAAGGAGCGGCGAGGGTGATGCTCGCTTCGCCTGCCGTTATGAAGGCGATTCGAGACAGTGAGGCTCGGCGAGGTTTTGTGCGTGAAGGCAACGCAGACGAAAGATGAGCATGGGGCTCATTCTTTCCGACTAATTTTTAATATTAATTTTTAATTTTTAATATTCGATGATACTACGATGGACAGCAATTTCGAGCTCGACGACTGCTTTTTTCTTTTTTTCTTTTCTTGTTTTCCGGCTTTGGGCTCCGACTGCTTTCTTTCGTTTCAAAGTTTTGAGAATCTTGTCTGCGCAGGTCGAATCACTCCTCTTCTTACTTTTGGAGCTGAGCGCAACCGTGTCGAACATTCTTTTTCTTTTTTTTGACACACACAAGACAATCATATTGGAAAACAACCGGGAAAAGCAGCTGAGCTTGGCTCTCTTGAGGGATTCAGATGGTTTTTGGGCACCGAGCAAAATGTCTTCTGTCAGAGACTTGGACGCGAATACTCTTGATTCATATTTCGCCGACCAATTTGCTTCATTCGCCCTCTGTCAATCTACACATATTGTGAGGATATGTTTCGGCACTTTCTTTTACGACCATCACCGAGAGCTTTAATTGCTATTTTTGGACAAGCGATTCAACAAAAACACGCACACTCATATATCACTTTCTTTGCTTGTGGTTTTTGTTGGAAACGTTTCGTCCATATTGATGATATGTAACCAGAGCCCCTTCTTTCGAGGACTTGTTTCCGTTGGGACCTTATTCTTTCTTCTTGACGAGCAACATGACATATACCTATGCAGCATTCTTGGCTTTGCTCACCTTTGTCATCGAATTCATTGCTCAGTCAAGCCAAACGGAAAGGGGCTCGCCACTTCTTGGGAAAGACGCAACCAATCACAGTCGGCACAGATGATCTTCTTTATATCCAGTCGTCTATCGCCGCAGTCTTTCCCAAGACGTCTAAAGATGTCGACATCAGTTTACACCATTCGACATCTAGGACAAATTCGGGGATCATTACAATAGTTGGAATCGCAAGCGAGGACAATCCGAATTACTTATTCGCTTGCATTTCACTTTGTAATGATGTCGAAGCACGTCGACAATTTTCATTCTACGATGTGCTTTCGACGAACATTCAGTCAGCACCGCGATCGGGAAAGCGAAGCAAAAGCAGAAGCCAGCATCAGCTATTTTCTGATACATCTTACTTCGTCAATCCAACTTCAGCTGAAGCTTTGCTTTCCTGTTCGCATTCATGTCTCTGTCCATCCGCAACTCTTCAATTCATATCGCGTTGATGACAGGGACATGAACACTCTTGAGGGCAAGATTTAGGAGGATTATTGGGTTGGTTACGGTTTGGTCACCGTTTGATTACACACAATTTCGAAAGCTGCCGCCTTGAACAACGCAGCTACTTCACACGAAATGCTCCTTCGCATGGAGCACTTCCACACAAAACAGCCGCTCCTTTATGGAGTATTTCCACAATCACATTACTATACATATGGGGTATTGTGGCGACTCTTCATGAAGACTCTTTCCACAACCACAATACCACTTCATATGGAGTAATTCTACAAACAAACAAACTACCACTTCCGAAGTGTTTCGGCATACGATCCGCGACTTCGAGCGAAACACTTCATGACACAAAATGCCATCTCACATGGGATGCCTCTTTAATTGGAGTTTTTCTCCAATTCACACACACAAACAAAAAATCACAGCTTCGTATGAAGTATTTCTTCTTTATACATCATCTTCTTCATACATCATACTTCTTCAGTACTTCTTCAGTACTTCTTCAGTACATCTTCAAACCAGACCAGACCAGACCAGACCAGACCAGACCAGACCAGACCAGACCAACCAAATCACATGGCGACTGCAAAACCGCAAGGCTCGCAGTTGTGATCCGACGATGATCTTGTTTTCGAGAATGAGACATGGAATCTGCACATGATAGTGACAGGGGATAAACGCAAATATTATCACTATCATCAGGCTTCACTTACATCACCCAAGCCTTGCAAGATTCCTGTCTAGTGTGTCGAGGGCCAAACCAAATATCGCTCTCTCGCCCTTGACGCACAAAATTGGGGAAAACATTCGCATTCGCACATTTTTGTCAGAGGGTATCACGATTCATTTACCTTTCTACCCTCTGACAAACAAAACCGGAGACATTTTCATACAACTTTATCGAGGAAAACCGTGCGAATCGAACGAAGAGAGATCGGGCCCATCCATTATTCTCATGGCCTGATCCTCCTACAATCACACATATTGTCAATGGGGAACTTGGGAGGGTCAGAGATTATATCAACATCGAATCGATATTTCGCATCTGACCCTCCCAAACACTGAGAATCATCAGATATCACGCAATCATCTGACTTCAATCACATTCATCTGCACGATGATTCTCAGCTCTGTGTCGAATCACATATCACCATACGACACACAAAAACGGGGACTTGCCAGAGATGAAATCACACTCTTTCACATCTCGGCAACAAAAGGAAACTTGGAATACCAGAGATTAGAGACGCCAAACTTCTCTATATCATGAGCGTCATCTAATCTCTTGGGTTATTTTTCACACGGTGGCGGACATCGACCTCATACCAGGACTGATCCTCTATGGACACAACTCAAAACATGTTTCAACTTTCTAACCAAAGTTCACTGAGTTACCATTGAGTTGAGCAGACTTACTTCATTCTGGTCTGATGTCTGCCACCTCCAGCTGAACCAATCATTACGCTGGGAACCAACCAATCCAAGGCAACCAATCTTTTGCCTTGCGACTTGGACAAATCAGTCGTGACTGCCCTCCGCAAGGATTGGCACCAAACGGGAGGATAAAAGAATCCCTCGAATTGGTAACGAGTCACACATGGCTGCCTCTTGGATGATTTCACCGATCAAGGAACTTCGCACTTTAAGAATTACGAACAATCTGGAGCAAACGCCACAGCCCGCCCTCCGAAAGGACCGGCCCCAAACGCGAGGGAAAAGAATCTCGCGAATTGGGAGCAGGTTGCTGGCACTCCTACAACCTTTCGAACGAGTCATCATCCGAGAACAACATTGCCTGGGGAAAATTTGTCTGGCTGCCCTCCTTTGTGAAATCTTCACACTGGACTGGCCCCAAACGGGAGAAAACATAACCTCGCGAATTGGGAGCAGGTCATGACAAACAAGTGTCTGGCTGCCCTCCTTTGTGATAGCCTCACACTGGATTGGCCCTAAACGGGAGAGACAAGAATCTCGCGAATTGGGAGCAGGCTATGACCAACCCCATGGACAAACCAAAGACGACGAGCTATGGCAACCACAAACAAACCAAGCTCGCTCATCTGAACAAGAGAGAAAACAGGACCAACCAACCAGCCAGCCAACCTGCATACGCTACCGGTTGGGTCCGGACTGTCTTGATGATAATATTCATCATCTCTCTCGCTGCCGAATCATGAAGACAAAATACAAGATCTTCATTCGGATACAGCCTAGCAATTGATCAATACCAACCATAATTGCCAAACGACATCGACAAAGAGTCGCAAAGAAAGCGACACAATCGCAAATCCACAGATACGAACGAACACACATTCACACACCACGCACCACACGCCACAAAACAAGGTTGAACATAAAATGTTCAATTATTTCTCGCCGAAACAGAGCAGCACAAAGATGACGAAACAAACAAGAAACTGAACATAAAATGTTCAGTTACCCAGCCTCCGAATGACCGCAATAAGATGACGAACAACAAAGGGAATAACACGTTGGACATAAATTGTCCAACCGCCTTTCTGCTAAAAAAAGTAGAATGAGTACAAAAACGAAAAGCAAAAAGAAGTTGAACATAAAATGTTCAGCAATCAGCACGCTACCACAAAAAAAAAAAAAAAAAGGTGGCAAAGCCAATATGGAGAATCACAGCCAGACAAGGAGCTTTGGAGTGGGAAAAATCATCCATTTCATACTGGTCTAGAGTCTATCATCTACTCTTCACCTTCATCCACCCATTCGAGTTGCTAGTCCGAGGCGAGTCTTTCACATCAGCAAGACTGCCATTCTTGTTTCCCAATGCCTTTGGATCAAACGCCCCGTTTCCAGCCAAGCCTTCGTCCTTCCATTCGTCATCGCCAAGGACCTCCCAATCAGGCGCGGGCGCGTCTCCGAGAAGCTTCTTCTTCAGCTTATCGGCGAGTTTCAAGGGGTTGGGGAGCTTGAAGGACTTGATGAACTCGGTTCCTTCGTCGTTAGTCAGGGAGTAGAAGGTCGTGCCATGAGCAAAACGGCCGATCCAAGTTCGCTTTTCGTCGGCATTCTGGCCTCCAATATGGTCATTCGTTCCTGGAGAAAAGTTGTTGACGCCTGAATATTGGTTGTTCATCAAAAGGTTATACAGGTTCCGGCCCATGTTGCAAATATCCTCAAACGAAGTCCTATCACCAACGGACACGCCTTGCGAACAGCAAAGCCAGGCTACGTCATAAGCCAGCAACGTGGCGCCTTCAAGGAACAGGGAATAGTGTGCGGGATCTTCCTTGGAGAGCTGCGGTAGTGGTTTATCCACAAAGAGAGGGCGAGGTCGAGGGATGTGGGAGTTAGCAAAGGGGGTATCAGAGAGGGGAGCAGTCACGAGACTGCCGGGGAAGGAAATACTATCGCCATGGCGATATGAGTTTTGGATGGTGAACATGGTTGGTCGGGGGTAATCGCGGTGAGGGAGGGTGATCTCGGCAGGGAGGCGGATGGAAAGGTAATGGGAGACCAGCATGAGGACGTGGGCGACGTGGGAGAGAGAGGTTGAGATGACCTCGGGCGAAAGGGCTGCGGAAGAGTTAGCAGGTTTCCTGGGGCGGGTTTTTCTTCTTCTTCTGTTCTTGTCCCTTTTCTTCTCCTGTCATTTTTTCTCTTCTCTTTTTCTGTCCTGTAATTTTCTCTCTCTCTTCTCTTTTCCTGTCCTGTCATTTATCTTCTCGCTTCTCTTTCTTCTCCTGTCATTTATCTTCTCTCATCACTTTCTTCTCCTGTCATTTATCTTCTCTCTTCTTTTTCCTCTCCTGTAATTTTTTTCTCATTTTTCTTCTCCTGTCATTTTTCTCTCTCTTTCTCTTGTCTTTCTTCTCCTGTAATTTTTTCTCATTCTTCTTCTCATCAATTTCCTCTCATGTAATTTTTCTCGTCTTCTGACTTCTGAGTATATATCTCTCCTATTTCCTTATACTCTTCTATATAGATGGACAAGAACAGAGAAGTAGATAAAAGCATGGAAATAAAAGGAAACATGGGGAAAACTCACAGTCCATACTAGTAAGGTCCACAATGGGAACCCTGCCGAGACTATATTCGTAGCGCCCCGTGATGCCTTTCTTCGCGACTCTTTTAAGACCGTAGAGCCGAACGGCTTCCGCACATAAGAAAGTACGAGTAGAAGCCGTATCCTCGGCAGTTTGAGACCATCGGAATTTGAGCACTGAAATCGACTTCTCTACGTCCTTGAGTTGCTTGGTCCTCCGCTCTGCTAGACCGGCCGAGACAGAGGCTAGATCGGACTTTCGCCGAGCAAGCGCCGCCTTCCGGGCCTGGATCTCGTCCCTGGCAGCCTTGATGTCACCGCGAAGCTGTTCGGCGGCGGCGAGGATCTGGTCAGTCTTTTGCTCAGCGGCCTGCTTGTGTGAGATGACCTCATCCAGGGAGTGCTTGTTTGGCCGGGTGTCAGCCAAAAGCTCGTTAATCTGCGCCTTGAGCGTGTCGTTCTCAATCATGAGCTGTAGGTTCTTCATGCGGCCTTCGTAGATCCTGTTCCGAGCATCTACAGCGCACAAGAACGGCCGGCGCTGGGCGTCATGCGGGCGGTGGCAGATGTCGCATTCCATGTCGGAGGCAGTTGGCGGATCCTACTAGAGCTAGAGAGTGAGATGGCGCGCTGATTATATGCAGTACCAGGCAGATGGCGGGATGCAGACGTGGGAGCATACAGATAGGTAGATAGATGGCTGAAGAGAGAGAGGCTCCGATAGAGGCGCCGACAGTAGGGACGATTAAGGGAGCAGGATGCGTGAACAAGTCGTCGGGTTTGAACGTCTCTAGATATAGGGTAGCGGATTATATGAAAGAGAAAAGGTTTAAAATGCGAGCGGCCTGCTCTGGGCGATGCTTGGACAGATGACTGCGTGTGTCATGTCCTTTAAAGAACAAGATCGATGAGATCACGGGGTGCGATAACGAGGTCGACGGTCCAGAGCCCGGAAGGCTAGGGCGGCTCTCCACTAGCTTCCAGCTGGCCCGCCTAGGCACCCGCCTGTATCAGAGCTTACAAGCCCTGGAGAGCCTTTGGCGCCTGTAAACTTCACCCTCAGCAGCTCCACCGCGGTGTTGTTGATTGGAAGTGCTAGCGCTGCCTGGAATTTCCACATCCTGATGTCAACTGGGCTCCAGGCATTTGCCTTCTGCCGTCCGGGACTTTTCTGTTCATCCAAACGTTAATTGTCCAGGCTGACGTCTATTTCAGCAACTAGCTGCGCCTTGTCACTGCGATATCGCTGCCCGTCATTTTTCGTCTCTGCATTTCTGTCTTGCAGTGGATTTCCTTTGTTCGTTTGCTACGGCTTTAATCTGAATCAACTTCAGGGCAGCTCTCGCCACCCGCGTGTAGCGTCCAGGCTTGTGTCGAAACCGGTGGCGGCCTCGCAAGACGCGCGACTGGCAAGCGTCCATTCAAGTGAACAGCACACCATCTGCGCCTCTCCGGACGGGCTCCGCACTTGATTCAGTCTCCCTTCCAGTTACAGCCAACCCAACACGGAGCACAAGCCCCCTTTCTTGGCCCTTCGCAGCCGCGCCAGAGAGGCTGTCACAGGTGCAAGGATCATCACTTCAGCTCCACCGCAGCGCAAGCATCGCCATATTCCATCATGGCTTCGCCTTCACCGAGATCGCCCAATGGCGAGGACCGTCTACCCGTCTATGGGACCAAGGTGGCCGGCAAGGACGATACAGCCGTGTTGGACGTCGAGAAGCATCGCCGGACACGCACGAAGACGCCTGAACCCGCTGAACAGCGCAACGGTACAGCGACGCCAAATCCCCCCGCCGTTCTGGAGCCATTCGACTGGGATGATTTTGAGGCGCGGTATGAGAAGGCGCTGGCGGAGGCAGAGGGACAGGAACGAGAAGTCCTCAAAGAGGCCGAAAGTCTCTTCAGGGTGAGCCACTCTGCCGTGTTCTTCCATCGGTTTGACATGACTTATACTAAACAAAACGATTATGCATATACAGTACTTTGAAGCGTGGTCCTCAGCTGCATCAGCTCATGATGATAAGCGCGCGGTGAAGCGGCTTCAGACGCGACAACGGTACATTAACATTTCTGAACAAAGAATGGCTCAGAAGCAGCAGCATTGTGAGTATCCATAGGCTCCCATCATCTTGATTCCATCATCAGGCTAATGGCATAACTACTACCTAGATGATGAAGTTATGCGTGCATTTGAGAGTGCATTGGCCTTGCTGCGATCTACTTAGACTCACTCCGCATGAGCCGAGTAAAGTGGCCTAGCTCAGTCTAGTTCTTCTTCTCCTTCTTACTTTTCTCCTTTGGCGTATGCGCATGGCTCAAACACTCTTGGTTGCTTCGTCAATATATCCATGGACCATGTTGGGCTGCAAGGCGGAGCACGTGACCACGCAACAGCTTGGTTTTCTCAATCCCGCGTTTTAGTCGTGGCCGCCTAAACCATTCTTTGACCTATGGATACGCGTCAAGATGTCGATTAACGAGCTTCCGTTCAAAATACCACAAATAACAAGCGACGAATTACTACAATTCCAACAGAGGCATTTTTCAAGCGAAGCCACCGCTGATTTCGGTCAAAGTTTCACAAACCTTCCACCTCAAGAGTCCTCCGAGGCTCATTTATACGAAGAATGGGAGGAAGAAGAGGAGGACGATGGTCTTGGCTACTACGAAGACGGTGTGAAAAGAACCCTTACAGATGAGCAGATTGCCATATTCCGACACTCGGAACTTAGAGAGCTCCGCAAGCAACAAGAAAAGCAATCGCAATCTAAATCAGAGCTGCCACGAGATGCTTCCGCAAATGAAACAGACATCGCCTCTCCGCATGGATCAGGTGCCCCTGCCGGATCTCGAAACAAGAAGAAAAAGAAGAAATCCAAGGGGGGGAAGCAAGAACCCAAGCCAGACTTACGGAAGCGTACCTGGGACGTGGTCGAAGCTGGACTCGACACCCTCGATTACGATTGAAGCCATTTTAATGGCAAAGCTCATGGCAGGTTTAACGAGCAGCCATGCATATTTTATCCGGTTAGCGGATATTATTGCATCATGTTGAGCAATTTGCAATTTATTTCTTAATAACGCGTTCCCAGGGCATCTCGACTAGTAAGTAAGCACATTTTCTACTTTTGCTATTCAACCCCTTACCGCAATATGATGAGAACCTTTGTATCGTCATCCTTAGTCAGATCGCGCATGGAGGCCCGAAGAACCAACGACCAAATCTGGGGAGGGCTGACAACAGCGGCGTGACGAAGACTCTTATAATCTTCTCTCTGAGGCTACACAGCCCATTCTTCTTCATTCTTTTGGCATTTGCTTATTTTGGGGTTGGCATCTGGACTAACATGAAGACTTTGAGTAGGGATTGTTTTAAATTTGGGATGGATTCGGCGTCTGGCAAGATATGATGAAGTGGCAGGTAGTAACGAATGTGTGAAGTGGTTACCTATTATGATACCTATGATGATGTTTCTGGACCAACATGCTGCTTATACTAGATGTCTCTACACTCTCAAGACTTATATAATGATGAATCAAACACATGTCTGTGTCAAACTCGAGTTGTGTTAATGTGATATGTCCGGTCGTTTCCCAGAGCAGCAGACTGGTCTGGGCGGCAACCGGAGTAAGCATCAGGTAATACCTAGAACTGGCTGCATGCGCCTAGCAGTCCATTCTATGTGATCCATCGAATCTGTAGCTAGCATAGCACTGCTGGAGCTGATCTGCGGTGCTAGGCCTGGGAGAGGCCTGGGAGCCACAAAACCATTGCCGCCATGTTCACATGCGGCGATTGAGTCCACGGAATCGCAGAATCCCAGTGCAATGAATCCTGACTCAGCGTCAAAATTCTGCCCGTAGCAGAATCGGCTAAGCGATAAGCGCTGCAGCCAATGGCTGCTCGTAGCTGGCGCCGGTGTGGGGACTGGCCGGGCGGCACATCCCACCTTTGGATTCTCACCTCTGTCGCCAGAGATCAAGAGAGATCCTCGCCTGAAGCACCCGCGCGGACATCGCCAGCATCCTTTTTCCTTTATCCTCATTGCGTCGCTGATCCGCGACAGAGCCTGCCCAAGATGGCGCGCGTCTACGCCGACGTCAACCAGAACATGCCCCGTAGTTACTGGGACTACGACAGCGTCAACATCAGTGCGGAGTTGCCCCAAACCCAAACCCAATCACCCCGCGAGCGATGCGGGAGGCGCTAACATGGACGGCAGGCTGGGGAGTTCTCGAGAACTACGAAGTCGTTCGCAAGATCGGTACGTTGTGATGGCCTCCGGGCTCTGGATCTGTCCCTCTGCTGCCGCGTCGGCACGCGTGGCTAACCCGAGAATCTACGCACAGGCCGGGGCAAGTACTCCGAGGTCTTTGAGGGCATCAACGTCGTCAACTATCAGAAGTGCGTCGTCAAGGTTCTCAAGCCTGTTAAGAAGAAGAAGATCAAGCGAGAGATCAAGATCCTGCAGAATCTGGCGGGTGGCCCCAACGTCGTTGCGCTGCTCGATGTCGTGCGAGACTCTCAGGTCAGTAACCTAATGAGCACAAATTGCCTGCTATGCGTGTTGCGGTGAGCTAACGGGAGACGCGGGAATGCGTCCTGGTGCCCTGCAGAGTAAGACACCATCTCTCATTTTCGAGTATGTCAACAACACCGACTTCCGAAGCCTGTACCCCAAGTTCAACGACCTTGACGTGCGATTCTACATCTTGGAGCTGCTCAAGGCTCTGGACTACTGCCACAGCAAGGGAATCATGCACAGAGACGTCAAACCTCATAACGTTATGATCGACCATGAGAACAGAAAGGTACCTCAGCGTTGCAATTTCCGGTTGAGCCAGCATCAACCAATCACTTTTGTGCTTATCCGCGTCTGTATGTATATATGTACTAACTTGTGGGGTACCAATAGCTGCGTCTGATTGATTGGGGCTTGGCTGAGTTCTACCATCCTGGAACCGAATACAACGTGCGTGTTGCATCTCGTTACTTCAAGGGACCCGAGCTGCTAGTCGATTTCCAGGAGTACGACTACAGCCTCGATATGTGGAGTCTCGGCGCCATGTTTGCCTCCATGATCTTCCGGAAAGAGCCATTCTTCCACGGCAACAGCAACTCGGATCAGCTGGTCAAGATCGCTAAGGTCCTTGGCACAGACGATCTTTTTGACTACCTTGACAAGTACGAAATAGAGTTGGATGCACAGTATGATGATATTCTGGGACGGTTCCAGAAGAAGCCTTGGCATAGCTTTGTCACATCGGAAAACCAGCGTTTTGTCTCTAACGAAGCCATCGACTTCCTTGATAAGCTGCTACGCTACGATCACCAGGTTCGTCTTATTCTTTCTCTTCTGGCGCTTTATGTCTCTTTCTTCTTTTTCTTTCTTCTTTCCTTTGCAGACTGTAATGCTAACTCTCTCTCAACAGGAGCGTCTCACGGCAAAGGAGGCCCAAGCCCATGCCTATTTCAACCCTGTTCGGGATCCTGAAGTTTTCAAGCAGAACTTGATCGGCGCTAACGGAGGACCGTACAAGTCCTGAAGACACAAATGACCCCATTTATTGATTTATTTTTCCTATTTTTCCATCTCGAGTATCGCGTTTCCTTTTGCTCTTCTGCCCCTCATCCATGCCATTTGAATCATTGCCTCTTGAAGATAACTCTAGCTATTTGGCCGTACTGCCTAATAAAGCTTATGTGTTTTCGATAAGACAGAATATGTGCAAGGAGGGACTCGCCATGGGTAAAACAATGGGAAGGGCAAAAGGACTACGATGGACGGCAATTGTTATGTTGACGTTTTTGCGGAAGTGTGACAGGAACAACAATATTCAGTGCTGGATATGAGAAAGAAAGCAAGCGGCTAGGAAATGACTACAGCGGACAAACCTCTCCATCCCCCCCCTTCCCCCCTTCTTCCCTAACTCACCCCCTTTCCCTTATCCCTTTCCAGTTCATGAACTCTGGAGCTGTATCTCACTCAGTCGGTCAACGGCGTTTCAGGAAATTCGGGCATTTGACAAACTCGGGTGCGAGGCAAGAGAGGGTAAGGGGGGGGATTCTCATCCATAGTTTCTCGCTTCTTGTTAACGACTTGGAACACTTGATTTGATTTGCGGGTACCTAATATGAGGTAGCGGGTAATATATTGCCATTTCACACTGCCTTTTTACGTCTCTTTTGTAAAGAAGAAAAGAAGAAAAAAAAAATTTTCCCCGATATATGTTACTCCATTGCGCCAGCCAGTTGATTTCCCATGATTCCCTACCCACTCGCTTGTTTTCTCAATACCTCGCATTAGCTACGCTCTATAGACACGTAAAACAGAAATCTCGTCCACATCTATATCCATCCAGTCCGCACGCCCTCAGTGTGCCACCAGGCGTCTTGATAATGCTGCCAGGACTGACGGGCTCCGACGGCCTTTTCTTGACCGGAGTATGGTATACCTCTCTAGTAAGGGTGCTGGACTTCCACACTTTGCGTGCAGTCGTCTGCGCCGCGGAACTCAGCAACTTGGGAACCGCAGTCAAGTTGCGACCTAGCTCGTCAATCCCCTCGTCTTCATCATCAGACAGCAAAGATAGGATGGAATGTCGAGAAGAAGGGACTTTTAAGGAGCGATGCCGACGGGGTGTCTGGGGCGGATTGCTCAACGATGGCAAGGGTCTATCGACCTCCGTGGTGGAGGTTACCTGCGGGTCACGTTTTGAAGGGCTCTTCGAGGGGGACTTCGACGGAGCATTTGAAGCTCCTTTTGAAGGGGATTTCGACGGAGAGTTTGAAGCTCCTTTTAAGGGAGATTGTGAGAGTGCCTGATTTACTGCCTCGGGAGGCGAGACAGTGCGTCGGGGAGATGGAAGAGCTGGCTCGACGCGCAGAGAAGTCTTGGCAAGTGGCGAAGATTCGGTATGAGAAAGATCGTCGAATGTTTCGTAAGAGCTATCATCAATGACGGTGACAGCAGCGATATGTTTCACTGGCTGCTTCGAGCAACGTCTCTTCTGCGTAGAGGCTATGGCCTTCAGGCCTTCACTAGCAGATGAGCTCGAGTTCGGAATAACCGCAGACTGATTCCTCGCCTTCTTTGCTGAGGCTTCTAAGAGCTGAGGCGTATCATCTAGGGACACCTCGAGAGTGATTCGAGGCAAAAAGTGAGTGGGAGAGGAGGATAATGGTGCCTCGCCGCTAGATTCTTCGGATGGAATGTCAAGGCGTCCGATGCCTCCCTTATGCGCGGTGGGAGACGAGTTTATAATGGCATTTTTCGTGCTCATGCGCTTTTTGAGAGAATAGCCTGACAACCTTTCTTTACCAACATCTGAGGAGCTGGCTTCAGCTCTCGAATTAGCCTCGACATCGTGAATTTCCCGCAAGGGAAGTGTACTGGTTGATACACGTCGGGGGGCAGATTTCCTCGTCTTAGACAACAAAGTAGGGGCTTCGTCGTCAGAAAGAAGGCAAGCAGAATCGACAGGCTTGTGGAGAAACCCAGCTGGTACTTGCGCACGGGAATGATTAGCAATTTCCGGTTGCCGAGCTTCGCTTTCGTGTGAATTAGGCAAATCAATTTGGCGGTTTGAATCGCCATCCTCTCTCTCTTCTCCTTCTTCCTCCTCCTCCTCTTCGTCAGCCGAGTCCGGGATACAATCAGTCTCTGGCTCTGACGAGGTACGATGCTCTTCAAATTCTGGGACCGATCCAGGCCCCTCAGTTTCTCCACGTTCGTGATATAAGTCGTGTTTTTCGGCACTTCGCTCTGCCAATGCTTCAGCCCAAGAAATCTTGTTCAGGAATTCAACCTGTTTCCTCGTCCGTCCAGAGCGCCTTCGTCCATCGGTCTCGTCAGGTAGTTCAATAAGCGATGCCTTTTGGTCTGGCTCTTTGATTTTGTGTGAAAGCTTGTTGGGCTGTGGATTAGAGGCCCTCTTTAAACTCTCAGAGGGTGTAGCTGAAGCCTCATTCCTGGTCAAGTCTTCGCCTGACCTCTGTTTTCTCTTCCTGCTTCTCCGAGCGCTTCCCACGGACTTGTAGCCGCTGTCACTCGAAGTTCCTTCCCCTCCCCTTTCTTCAACCTCTTTCCTCGCTAAGCTCTTGGATGGTTGCAAATTACTGCTCTGCCTAGCAGGCTCTGCTGAGGTGTCATCGGTAGTTTGCTTCTCTTTATATCTTTTCCCGGTCAGAATCACATCTTCATCTTCCTCCTCTTCCTCCTCTCCTCTCCTGCTCTCATCATCCACAGGCTTCGTAGGCGGCAGCAGCAATGGATGTCTGATAATTTTCTTCCTCCTTGTGAGCAAGTGCTTCCCAAAGGTGTTTGTGAATGCAGATTGAAGGGGCTCATCTTCATTGTCTCGAAATTTCGAATTAGGCGCCCAGATTGAGCTTTCGCCACTCTGCGAAGGGAAATTATATCGGCTAGGTTTGATCGGTAATTGTTGCTTTTGTGGCTGATGGACTGCAAATAATTCGGGTTGGTCCCATAATGGATCAGCGAACTGGCCAGGGAAGCCCCAAGGTTCCGTGGCAAATGGTGATCGGTCAAACGAGAATGGAGAGGAAGCAAAGGGTAGCTCCGTGGGAGACGCAAAACCTTGCGCCGCATATAGCGAGCTGCGTGCGACTGCTCTAGAAACGTCCAGTGCGTTTCTTGACGATGATCCCAGCACAAGGGCTGTAGAATGTGAGTCGCGAGACGCCTCGCGGCCTTGTATTATCCGATCTTCCTCGTCGTCATCCATATCGTTGATATTCTGTGATTTCGCTCCAAAACCACCCTGGCTCTTTTCTTGTCCCCTAACGTCGTCTCCATCTTCCTCCTCGTCATCAAAAAGGTCCTCCAACAGAATTCCTTCGTCTTCGTCATCCTCCCCGTCCGCGAGATCGCCTGCCAGACCATCTCCAACGTCTCCTTCGTCGCGCATATTGCGAATATGGCCATTGTTGACGACAATCTCACCTGTCACAAGATCGATCTCGTCGCCAATGCCGTCGAAGTCACGGCCATACTTTTCGAAGATATGCGCCATGGTAATCTGGAATCGCTGGTCTGCGTAAGCTCGTTCGACGGAAAGCTTGTAATCTGGATCTCGCTTCGCCTCGACCTCGAAAGGTTGAGAGGCGAGCTCATCGTCTTCGTCGGCATTTTCTTTGTCCAGCAGCCACTGGCTCATGCGGCGGCGCTTTGCCGGCGGTTCCATAGCTAGAGTAAACCCAAATTGCGGTGATCGATATGAGATACAGAGAGAGAAAAGGTATTGTCAATTGATATAAAAACGATATTGCGACTGCGCCAGTCTTGGGCGCTGCGGACTGCCAACTTCCTGGCGACCTGACCTGGGGCGTTGAAGATGGCCGAAAATGCGGCACTCGGAGCTTGGATAAAAGATGGTTGCGGGAGCAACGAGATGGACGTTGCACAAAGATGGAGTAGCGCATTCGCGTCGCGATTCCGTGCAGCGGCGCGTTAAGTGGCTGCACCTCTGGGAAAGCTGCGATTACAGTGCAGTGAGGCCACTAAATCACGCTGGAGCTAAGCAACTAAGCTCTAAATGCGCCAGTGCTACAGGCAGTATAGCGGGGCGTGCAGCGCCTCAATCTCCATGGCGTCACAGGGCCAGAGAGCCAGACCCTGATACTTCAAGCTTCCACCATGTACTGATACAACTTATCTAGACTCAACATTAGCATTTATTCTTCCTCGAATCAAATCTTTTCCACCTCAGGCAGTTTTCCTTCTCTCTACCTATATACATGACAGCCAGAGCATGAAACGGCACTTCGACTCGCAACCAAACGAACCTCTCCCATCTTCTCCGCCACCAAGCCATCGAAATGCATTGCCAAAAGTGCCGCCAGCCGTTGAAGCTGGACAGCTCTCTCGACGACCTCAACCCAGCCGCATATGATCTTCTTGTTTGTAAGTGTCAAGGTCAGTGTCGCTGAGAGCATGCGCAGTTGCTAATCGGGTTGTGCTGTCACACAGCAGCCACATCGTCTTCACAAACAGCGACCAAAGCCTCAACCCCGCGACCATCAGTACTCCAAGCTCAAGAACAATCACGAAAGTCACTCTACGATAAAGTATCGCAGAATGCTACCGCGCCGACCTTCAAGCGATACCGGGGCGGCCAGCCCCGCGACGCTACAATGTCCTTCATCTATCTCACCGAGTCACAAGTTGGGCATCCTCTATCACCTCAGCAGCAGCAGAAAGAACGAGCAATAATCCCCCCGCGCCGACGAGGATCTAGCACAAATGGAGCCCCAGAAGACGAGCCCCAGGCAAATAAAGGAGATGACTTGGACAAGATAAACCGGCTATTCGAAATATTGTCCGCCAGGTCCGACATCGATCACCCAGTCTGTGTGGACTGTACCGAACTACTAGTGGAAGGCCTCCAAAAGAAACTCGATTCCGCATCCAAGGAAAGAGACGCATATGTTCAATACCTGAAAGATGTCCAAAGTAATCGACCGAGTGAAGAGGACGTCAAGGCTTGGAAAGAAGCTCTGAAGAAGGCAGAGAAAGACAAGGCCGCTGCAATGGAGGAGCTGAAAAGGCTGGAAGCTGAGAAGGATACCTTGGATGAGGAGATATGGGCATTAGAGGAGGAGTCTCGACAACTGGACAAAGAAGAGGAGAACTTTTGGAGGGAAAGGAACGCCTTTGCCACCAAAATGGCAGACTTCCAGGCTGAGCGCGACAGCATAAATGCGAAGTATAACAATGACTCGCAGCTGCTTGAGAAGCTACAACGATCCAATGTCTACAACGACACCTTCTGCATCAGCCACGACGGGAGCTTTGCTACCATCAACGGCTTGCGCCTAGGCAGGCTCTCCAATAAACCTGTGGATTGGCCAGAAGTCAATGCCGCTTGGGGCCATGCGCTGCTCCTGCTGGTGACAGTTGCTGATAAGCTTGGGTATAGATTCCAAGGGTACGAACCGGTGCCGTTGGGGAGTACCTCCAAAATCATCCGATACGAGCTGCCAAACCCAGCATCCAGTAGATTAGGAGGCCGGGCGATGCATGCGCCCCCAAAGAAACAGGTCCTAGAGTTGTACAGCTCAGGAGACATGCCGCTTGGGCTCACGTTTATGCACCGCAAATTCGATACTGCCATGGTTGGTTTCCTCGAGCTAGTTCGGCAACTGGGTGTCTTTGTTCAACAGCAAACAGAGTCAACCGGCGTCCCATTGACTCTTCCGTACAAGATCGAAGGAGACAAGATTGGGGATACCAGTATCAAGCTCGGCATTGCGCAGGATGATGGATGGACAAAAGCATGCAAACTCACGCTTACATGCTGCAAGTTTCTGCTGGCCCACGCTAGCAATGTGACTTCAAATGCGAGAAACGGCACTTAGCAAGATAACAAGATCCAGGTGATTGATTCATGGTATTAGGGCATCACACTACCTATGGAAGATTGCAGCTATGTACAAACCGCGGCATGGCCCGCCTCACAATCATACTGGAAGCGACGTTGGGTGAGTTGCCATCTTGCTCAACTTCATTGTACCCTATCTGCTGCTTCTCTCTGCCATGATTTTTTTCATCTTCATCTTCTTTTTTCCCCCTCAGTTAATGGCCATTGAGGCGCTAATCCGAACATCTAGACCTTGGCTCCTACAAAGCGTCATGTGGTGGGGGAATGGCATATATCATAAGTATATCACGGCAGATCGTGCAGACAAACAAACAAGAGCCACGGGCAGCGTCACAAGAGGTACCCCAGATTTCATAGTCACGAGGCCCAATAGAACTTCCTTTCACCACAAAGTCACGTCGTACAGCCCTATCTCTGCCGCCTATAACCGTTTTAATCTAGCGAGTTGCTCCGTCTGACAAGGATTCCTTCAGATGCTTATTAGACGTTTATCTCAGCCCCAGTGGGCAAGCTGCATGACAGTGACAACACAACGCTTGTTTGGACCAACGAGCGGTGCAGTTCACAGCCTCATTTTAGGCTTCCCCTCCAGCCCTCCCACCGACTTACATACACCCGCCGGCACTCATCCATGCTACAGGCCTGCAAATCGTCCGGCGGTTGCTCTGCATAAGCCTAGTCCAAATTCATACTCGTCGCATTGTGCTGGAGTGTCGCAATGACGGTCTGTGGGCTGAGCGCCAGGCAGAGAGCCTCACTAGCTTGGGCAGACCGAGATCAGGATGCTGCTGCCTTCGGTGTCACAATGCTGGCCCAGCTTTTATTCGATCAGCTTAGATTGATTAAGAGCTTAAGAATCTCTGCCTGCCACTGCCTTGCCCGAATACCACTTCGGTCCGTCACATTTCTTGCGTTTCTCATCCAACCCATTTATAACCATTCATTCCATATACCACCTGTTTCTCTTCTTCGCCTTTGTATTTCTACCCCTAGCCGAGTAATTCCACGTCGGCATCATGGCTGAACCTCGCTTCGTTCGGGACTATGTGCCTCGGGACTATGATCGCCGTAGGCCCATCGTTCGGGATTATGACCGCGAGGACAGCATGAGCGATGGTTTCGAAGAGCTAGGACCGCGTAGTTTGTTGCCTAATCCGCGACGACTCAAGTATGCCGTCGACGGCGAGGTTCCTGAGATCCTCTATACCCTTAACCATGTTAACCAGAATAGACATTTCATTGGGCGTAAGTTGAGAACCCCCCTCTATCTTAATAATTCATTGCTGATACCTTGGGCTGCCAGGCTTGCGAAGCTCCAAACCATTTGAGAACGTGACTAGCTACGAAATCAAGGACGATGAAACCGACGAGGGTGGCGAACTTGTCAAAAAGCCCATCTTCGAGATTGTTACCAATGTGTGCATTGAGGGGAGGAGCATCGATAACAACAGACACATAGCTCATCCTCGTCGCGTAAATCCTAACTTGGATCGACCCATCACAGCGGCTTTTGACAACGTCGACTATCGAAGCGATGGCTATTATACTGAGGAAGAGCAATATTATGACCCGCCTGGAACCCCTCAGGTAGAAACGCCGCTCATGGTTATCTATTCAAATCATCTCCTCAATGCTCTCAGAGCTGTCATCCGATACTACCCGAACATCAACCTCAATGGGAAGTCGGTTCAGATCAGCGCACCCTATCGTGTACTCTACCATCACCGCTATGAGCTGTCCGAGTATCGTGATAACCAGCCTGATGAGCATAGCGTTGAGTATGCTGAGACCACAGCGCACCACATCGATGTTCTTCTCAAGTTTCTTGGTGAGAACTTCAAAGATGAGATTGCCAAAGAAGAAGAGCGTCACAAGCTTGAGACTCCTACAGCCACATTTGACTATTTCTGGCTCCTTCTTAAGCCGGGTCGAGTCATCTACGTGAAGAAATTCGACATTTGGACCCCCTTGGTTATTAGCAGTGTCAGCATTGGAAACCGTCTCCACGGTGGCCTGGACAACTATAGACTTAGCTGCTGGTCGCTGGAATCCAATGGCGCCAAGGTCAGTCGATTCATGGAGAGCGTCATTGTGACTCCGTGGCCAGGGGAACAAGTTATCAGCTCGCTGTCTGTTATTCCTGCGGACTTTTGGAAAGATGACCTTGAAGCCCAGGGTGGCCTCCCAATGCGTGAAAAGATGATCGAAGAAGGCAAGCTATACTGGGAGCTCCTGAAGCGACCTACCTACATGGAGTATGATGGCCTTCTCGTCAACTCTGGCTCCGGCAGCAGACTTCCTGGTGGTGCGACTGGCTTCATGAACGGCCGTGTCATTTGCGATGCCTCGGGTTTCGACAAGTTCTTTGAGTCATCCCCGGATTGGGATGGAAGGCGATATCCTCAACCTCATCGCCGCCGTGTGACTCAGGGCATTCCTAACAAAGATTTCCTTCCCCTGAATCTCCCAAGATGCGGCTGCACTGTTTGTGATAAAGATCGATCTAGGGAGAACGACGGTTTCTTTGTCGGATTTGAGGATCTCGATCCTCTATGCGACACTCCTCCCGACAACGATCTTTTTTACTTTGTTCTCAGCAAGACAATTCCAGGCTTCATCCTTGGTACTCGCCGCTGGGGAAATCTTCATGTTGCCAATCTCAGCCCAGTTAAGCCCGACAAGGAGGCTTTCAAATATCTCGTCTTGGACGATGACATCAAGATGACCGTGAGGGCCCTCATCGGCCAATACACCACCGGTGTTGATGGCCAGGTTGCTCCCTGGGGCAACGACTTCATCCGCAACAAGGGCGAGGGCCGCATCTTCCTGCTCCACGGTGCCCCAGGCGTCGGAAAGACATGCACCGCCGAGTGTATTGCCGAGCTGACCAACCGTCCGCTCATTTCGCTCACCAGCGGCGATCTGAGTGTCGACTCGTTCCGTGTCGAGTCCAACCTCAATTACTTCCTCGAGCTGGGCCAGCGCTACGGCGCCCTCGTCCTGCTCGACGAGGCCGACGTCTATCTCGAGCGCCGCCGCGCAAAGAACATTTCCCGCAACGGCCTCGTCTCCGTCTTCCTCCGTGCCCTGGAGTATTACCGCGGCGTTCTCTTCCTCACCACCAACCGCGTCCGCTCCTTTGACACCGCCTTCCTCAGCCGCATCCACGTAGCGCTACACTACAAGAACCTTGGCGATGAGGAGCGCGAGCGCATCTGGACGCACAACTTTGACCGCTTGGATCGCGATTCCCGCGGCAAGATCCGCGTCGCCATTGCGGCCCGCGAGTTCGTCTGGTCCAGCCAAGAGGTTCGCGCGCTCAAGTGGAACGGCCGAGAGATTCGCAACGCGATGCAGACGGCGCTGGCGCTGGCCGAGAGCGATTCCAACGAGGAAGGTCTGCAGACCATTACTATCGGCGAAAAGCACATTCGCGCTGTGGTCAAGATGAGCAAGGGCTTCAAGGACTATATCAAGTCGGTGGTGCCCCTGGACTCCGACGATGCTGACTACGATGGAGATGGTGATGATGAGACTTTTAATGAGTGATTTGAACGAGGTGGTTGTCCAGATTGTTCCATGTTTTTGCCGGGTCGTGATATTGAGGAGGAATAGGCCCTTGTTTTTCCTCAGTTTGTGACTTTGATGATTTGTTTCCCTTTATGACTTTAATGCAAGTATCTACAGAGCACGTACTCAGATAGCTACAAATGACAAGACACGAGATCATGACCACTCAAGAAGTATTTTGAGGTGACTACCTATTACAAGGCTGCTACCTTGTATGCTTGCAGCAAGTAACAAACAATTGTAACAGTAAAATAAGACAAACAAGTGAAAGCCAAGCCAAAAACATAGCAACTCTTTTAACCCCATTTATGTATCCTTTTTTTTCGCTTCTTTTTCTCTCCTTCTAGTTCACCACCATCCTCCGAATTCCCATCTAGTTATTTCCCAAGATCGTTTCACGTAGTTTATCCTTCTCACCACTGTGCTCACACATATCCCTAAAAATACTCCCTTCCTTCTCCCAAAGCTCCTTTGGCGTTCCGAATTCCGCCACAGTGCCCTCACTAAGCACAAGGATACGGTCAAAGTCCGCAATCGTGCTAAGACGATGCGCAATCACGATGAGCGTGCTGTCCGTGAACTCCTCACGGATGCTGCGCTGGATAAGAGTGTCGGTCGCCATGTCCACGGCTGAGGTAGCCTCGTCGAGAACCATAATCTTGGGCCGTGAAACAATGGCGCGGGCCATACAGAGGAGTTGGCGCTGTCCTTGGGACAGATTACCGCCAGACTCGGCAATGCCGCTCGAGAGATCACGGAAGATGTTGGCGTTGACTGGAGACGCGGTTGAAACGGCAGCGGAGGATGGCTCGTTGGCTGGCGTGACTGGTTGAGAGTCGACCAAGTGAACACGGTGAAGCGACTCGCGGAGTTCCTCGTCAGTACGCTCATTGAAGGGATCAAGGTTGCTCCTGACAGAGCCAGAGAACAATACAGGGTCCTAAACATATTTTAACCCATTAGCAAACTAAGATTACTCAAAATAACAACTCGACGGTTATTTCATTTCTTACCTGAGGAATGATGGCCAGTTTGGAGCGGAGGCTGTGGAGGTCAATCTTGGAAATGTCTACGCCATCGATCAAGATAGTTCCAGATCGAGCCTCCAAGAAGCGGAAGAGGGCCAGAGTAAGCGATGACTTTCCAGCGCCAGTACGACCAATAACGCCAACTCTCTCGTTGTTCTTTACGTTGAATGAAACATTCTTCAAGACAGCTGGAAGGTCTTCAGCATAGCCAACTTCAAGATCCTTGACCTCGATGTCTCCCGATGTAGGCCAAGCCGCAGAAGCCTTCTCCCCGCCCAGCGGCTCCGTCTTGAGGTCCGCGTATTCGACAACACGCTCAGTAGCATTCATATCCAGCTCCAAGTTGGTATAACACCAAAGGGTCATAAGAATATTACCGGAAAAATCAACAGCAAACGCCAGAGTGAAACCAGCCATGGCGGCGTCAATGTAGGGAGACAGAGCAACGACAATGCCGACGATAGAGCTAAAGGCAGTACCAATCAGGGCCATACGGAAGGCCATCCATCGGTTGAATAGAGCGCCGTAAATACTTACAGAGTCCCAGGTATCGAGATGGCCGTGCATACGGTCCACATATACCTGAGTCTTTTGATAGGCTCGAAGAGTCGCAACGCCCGACAAAGTCGCATTGAATTGCTCAAAGACGGGTGACTTGGACGTACTTTCAAGTCTCTTCATGGGCCTAGCGCCAGCCATGTATCGTGTGGCAACCGAAGTAGCGAAGAAGACCAGGACGAATGCCATGGGAAGGATGTAGGGCGAAACCAGAGCAGCAGCAACGCAGATGCCCACGAGGCCCAAACCACGCCAAAGCACCATTCCAAAATCAAGGTTGAGGCGATTGTCGATGATGTCAAAATCAGATGTGAGGCGGTTAAGAATCCGGCCGACAGGGACTGTGTCAAGCCACCGCAAAGGAGTTCGGAGAACCGTAAAGAGAATTTGGTTGAACAAGGTCCTGCTAGCCCTGATGCTCATGATGAAGGACCAGACGAATCGAATTGTTCCCAAAATGGCGCTGGCGCCTGACAGAGCAACATAAACCAACAGGTAATAGGTTACGCCGTGCTCTCCCGACTGGGTGTTCCGCAGGTTGGAAGAAGTAACATGGAAAGGGCTATGCTCCAAGGTGAGACCATAAGCAAGGCCATGTTTCTGCTCAACTTCAAATGTATGCATCACATCGACTTGGCTTTCACTTCCTGACGTCCAGATTTTCACCCACCAATTGCGAGCGAGGTTGCTCACCTCGAAGCTGGTGAATAGCAAGGCGAGGACGATCCAAAATATCCAGCCTCCACTGTGCCGCAGATAGGTCAAATAGATGCGGCTCTTGACTTGTCCTTTATCACGAGTCTCTTTCTCAATGAAGTCTTTGGCAGCCTTATCTTTGGCCGGTTCTCCTTCTACAGTGCTTTCAGTTGAGATTCCATCCACACCAGTAAGAGATCCGTCTTCCGAGTTAACCGCGGTTGAGGCCTCCGCAGCCGCTTCTTCCCTCTGAATCTCCTCTGGGGCTTGTTCATGGGTCTTAATTCTTTCGAGAGTACCATCCTCAGCAAGCTCAGATGTCAAGCCAGCTGCTAAAATAGTGCCCTCGCCAAGTTCAACTAGGTATTTGGCCTTTGACTGCACAAGCGCCACGTGGTGGGTAACCAAAATTCGGGTGCGTCCTTCACAGATATCTCCGGTAATACACTTTTCAAAGATGTGTCGACCAACATGAGCGTCAACGGCGCTAAAAATATCGTCCATAACCAGAATCTCGGCTCGTGAGTAGATGGCTCGGGCCAATGTTACTCTCCACTTCTGGCCGCCACTCAAGTTGATTCCATTAGCTCCAAGCTCCGTCTTGTCACCATCAGGTAAGATTTCGAGATCCTTCTTCAGTGCGCAAATTTCAAGGACTTTTTGGTATCTGGGCTCGTCAAATGGGAGACCGAACAGGATATTGTCTCGGAAAGATGCACTTTCGAGCCAAGGCGTCTGAGCCACGTATGCAATGCTGCCAGGAAGAATCCAGTTTCCAGGATGAGCTTTGTGGTCATTACGCTCAAGAGGTGCTGCAGTTGGTGGCGCATAGATGGCTCCGTTTAGAAGATCAACCTCACCGAGGATGGCGGAAAGCAGCAGACTCTTTCCTGTTCCAGTTTTGCCAGATATAACGGATAGTTCTCCAGCAGGGAAAGACAAGTTGACATTCTTGAGAATGAAGCGATCTTCGTCGGGGGTTTCAGCATCAACAGGCCAGGAAACGGTAGCATTGTCGAACGCCACATCTGGTCCTTCGGACAGAATTTTCTTCATCTCAGGGCCGCTAAGGTATGTGTCAATTCTCTTAATTGAGACAAGTGAATCAACAGAAGTGGTAAGGAGTTCCGGCAGAGCTCCAAGAGTGACTTCAAGGCTCTTGAAAATGCTGATACTGACAAAAGCAATCGACGGGGACAGGTCACCATGCAAAATGGCGTAGACGACCAGCGAAGCGGCGGCAAGGAAGATTGGGCTAATGACCCAGCATCCGAACAAAACAGAGTCAGCGATGAAGGTGTTCTTCAAAGTTGTAAGCTCCTGCTCTCTCATCTCTTGAATACGCTTCTCCCATTGACTCTCCAAAGCCGAAAACTTGATTTGGCGCATGCCCAGCAGCGCCTCGTTGACAACAGCTAGCTTGGCATCACGATCCTTCATGAGCTTGGCCTGGCATTTCATGTACTTCTTTGTGAAATAAGTGTTGATTGGCAAGACGAGGGCCCAGGCCAAAATACCAGCAGCGAAGGGCAAGAAACCGATCAATTTTAGGAGGAAGCCACAATAAACGAAAAGATTTGCGAAGCTGCTGATGATGAAAAACTGGAAAGCGGCGAGGTTAGATACATGTCGAACATCGACACCGACAAGGTTCACAATGGCCTGGCGCGACTTCAAAACGGTATCTTCTTCCTCGGATCTTTTGTCATCTTTCTGGGCCTCGTCGTCGTCTGTCTTTGGCGGCTCCTTCTCCGCCATTTTGACATTTTTACGTTTCAATGACTTTTCGAAAATAAGAGCCGAAAGCTGGCCTCGAAGAGGGATGGACGTCTTGTACATTGAAAACCAGTTGACCCATCCTTGCATCCACTACAACGTACGTCAGTCTGTATATTCGACGGTAAAGAGGAAGAGAGCATGTGTTGTACCTGTCCAAGGAGAGAGAAAATGGCAAGGGAGAGAATATACGCCAATATCTGGCCCATTGGCCGTTCCTCTGATCGCCGTTCTAAGAGCTCAATCACTCGCAACATGGCCCAAAACGGCCCAAGGCCAACAACAGAGCGGGCAACTGTGACAGTCCATTGGAATAGGAAAAGGGGCAAATAAGCTCGGAGAAGGTTCTTGAGGAGCGTGCCCTTGAATTCAAAGCTGCGCCATTCGTCGACTAGATCGCGGGCTCTGAAGTTGTGATCCGGCCCCGGAACATCCTTTTCGTCCAAATCACCCTTCTTCGCAGCCAGCTTTGCTATGGGTTCTCCCCAAGACCAAGTGTATCGGCTCAGGACAGATGATGTGAATTGTGCGTCCACCGGTTTGTCATGGTGGAAAATATCCGGCCGTCGCGGAAGCGAAATGGTAGCAATTAGCAACGGAATGGTAGCCCCCAGGCTGACCAGCCGAAGAATGAATACGGGGTCGTTCTTGGAAGCTCCCAGCTGCAAAGCGTGGAGAGATTGGAGAATAAGGACCGCAGTGCTAAGCCAGGTCGAATGGAATGCCCAAATGCCAAGATCGTGGGATTTGACCGGGGACCGATGAGCAAAGATGCAAATGGCCTGGATGGCAATTGTGGCCTGTGGAGGAGCGCGTTTTCCATCAGCTGACACGCCCGAGCAAATTGCGACTGGAGGTGCGAAGCACGATTAAACTTACAAGAGCAGCGGTAATCAGCCAGTTGGAAACAAACAGATCATCTTTCTTTAGGTGAAGGCTGGATAGGACGGACAGGGCAAGGGATGGACCAAAGCTTGTCAGGGACAAGAGGAGAATCGCAACTTTGGGCCATTTGTTGGAGAAAGAAGCAACGGCTTCAGGCGTACTGGTACCATCGATATCTTGGTAAAAGTTGTCCTTTGGGGTTCGATTGCGAATCTGAGCAAGAAGAGCAAACACAGCAGGCAGAGAGAAAAGCCCAACAACAGCTGAGCCAGCAATGGAGAGCGGTAGCACCAGATGGCCCAGGGGGTCCGGATTGGCGACGACGCCGAGCACAAGCTGATGCGACATCACGGCGAGAGAGACTCGCCGGCGCACCGGTGGGAGCTCAAGTTGAAGATGAAGTTGAAGCAATCTACAAAAGCCGCCAATGGCAGCATGGGTGCACAGACACAGAAGCAAAGGAAGCGCCTCTTTCCTCGGGAGAAGAAGGAGAAGGCAACGCGACGGGATGAAGAGAAAGGAAACCAGAATCTCGGCACCGACAAAGGCAAGATGCGATGTAGTTATCAGGGTCGGCCGGCCAGACCAAAAGGGCTATCGCAGGATCCAGAGCTATCCACAAAACCCGCAGAATGCAACCTCCATCCTCCCAGTTGCGAGCTGCATCTCCCAGGATACCCTGGCCGGGTAGCGCATCTCAAGTGCCTGTCTAAAGCAGCAGCAGAAGACGGCCGTGGTTCCGTGCCTGTCCAGTTGGTGGATGCTGGTCAATCGTTGGTTCGATCAGGATCAGTAATGGCCAGCGGCACGAGTTGAGCGGTACGAGGTAGCCTCAGGTAGGGGTCCAGGGGCGCTTGTACAGACGGAGAAAAGCTTCTTGTCCACGCCTCAGGCACTTTTGATAGCCCTTGGGAGTCATCGCTCGTGCCTTGCAAACAAAGAAGATCACCAGAGCTACCTGTGATTTCCAAAAGGAGCTCCTGGACTTGCTAGCTCTCGCCTTAGGCTGCCTTAGGCTGCCACTTGCGTACATGTGTATCAGGTTTTCCTCTATTTTTTTTTTTTTTCTCCGTAGACCCCCAAGGCAGCAACTATACCCGAGCAATAGCTGCAATTTTATGGAGGTGCCTGAGAAGGCATCAGCATTTTCACATACCTGGGTATTGAGCATCGGATATTAAGGGAGAAAGCAGAAACAGCTCCATCTCCATATCTCGGGCTAACACAAACCAACACCATGGTGATTTCAGGCTTCTCTTTTTCTTTTTCTTTCTCTCTTTTCTCCCTCCGCCTCCGTCTATCTTGAGTGAGATCCCAGGAGCTGGGATGTGAGATTACATGCTGGTAGTACCGGTATATCCATCAAATCCGTAGCTCCTTGTAACGCCATCAGAAATGCCACCGATTGGCTCAATGCGTCCGCCACGGGCACTTTTACAGATGCTAGGCAGTGACCAACAACGCCATCGAGCGGCTTGCGGGGAACTGTTCGTGTGAGCCGAGAAATCAACAGTTGATGGAATTATGTATTCCAACGCCCGCCTCTCGCTAGCGGCCTGTCGCAACAGTGAAGTTTGGTGCTTCTCGCGTGTATAAGCCTCCAAAGGCGTTGCTGATCGATGCCATTCCCGGTACCTACAGTAGTAACCTACATTTATGTCTCAGCCTTTTCACAATCGCCTTGGTTTATGGGGTTCCAAGACATACACCGAGCAGACACAAAGAGCTGGGCTATACGGTACTTTACATGTAAGTACGACTACAGTCTTGCACATGCAGATGCTCGCGAATGTTCATACATGTTACCTGGCGTAACAGTTAAAGCTCACCGCTCTCGCGTTATGAGGTCTGCTTTACTCATCCCTCTCATGCCATCTTTGCATCACGGGTGCCCATATGCGAGGCTCCTTTCCAACAACTCAGCTTCATCACGGTAGCTGCATGTATGGCTCGTGTGTCTGAGATGCAATTTGCTTGTGACTCTCGTCGCCGTGCCGTTATGGTTATGGAACCCACACTCTCAGTGCTAAAGTCTTTAGTTTGACCCACAGCTCACCGACAGTCATCGACCTGGTTTGAAGATTTCCTGGGTGCAGTACCCTCAGATATCCATTTTAGGACAATTATCAAGACCTTTATATAAAAATCAAAACCTCCATACATCACAGGCCTCAAAATCATATTCGACGGTGTTTTTTTTTTCCTCCTTCGCGACATGGTAGGTTGAGGGCATCATGGGCACAACGACATGAAATAAGAGGTCCAGATAAGCACACACACCCGGTTCTAGCGGGACAAAGAGCAATATAGTTACATGCGCCCCGGGGGGCTTCCTAATTTGTCCGGCCGCGCAGTGACTCACCGGATTTCATGCAGTCACCGCTCAGCAGTTTAATTAGATGTGTTATTACCAAGTTTTGGCTTACACCAGCTGCGATGTTGAACCAAATGGATGGGAATACCTGTGCTGTATGAATGGGTAGCACCGCATCGATAGATGCCATCAATGGTTTTGTATCCGCGATTGCTCGGTCCTGCGGGGACAATGGATGCCTGCTGTATATAACCTGACCACCACTGGTATCTGGTGCAGAGATGGACATCTTTCACATTGGTCATGATTGGCTCTTTGCCATGCCGCCCATCCAACCTTAGTCCAAGAAGTTGCTGAAGGATCAATGGTGGTGTCTCGGGGGCCAACAGGCGATAATAACCCCTCCAGAATCGTCACCTGACGGTTTAAAGCACTCTGGTGCCGAAACCCAGATCTAGGTTGCCTCCATCTTCTTGAAGAGAGTTCGCGCGAATGGGAGGCTATGCTTGAGCAGCCGTAAACTATTAGGAGGTAATATGCGTCTAAGATACAGGCAGCATGGAACAGAGAAAGAAGTAAAGGGAATGAAATGAAGGAAAAAATATGAGAAGCAAACGGCCAAGGTTGCTTCCTTTGCAAACGTGAAAAATAGCAACCTGATGTTGAGCTGCTCAGACGCCAATCACCAGAAGAGGCACTGCTCTCTTTCTTTCGTATCGAGATCGATCTGCACCTCCAGAGCCATAAGGAGGAGCCCTGCCAACTCAAACAGCGAATGTTTTCAATCCCAAGCGACCAAGGTCAGTGTGATGTACATATACGTGCCAGGTTTACTGAGAGTCGTACTGTAGCGTAAGGCTATTAGCTAACATAAATACGTAGCGATGATCGACAGGCATTCGGTTACGATACGATACGGACAGTCATCATCTGTTCGGGTTGGTCAAGATCACGCTCCATGAGCAGGGAAGGAAAGACAAAATAGGACGGGAGGGCGGGAACATGCAGCAGTCAGCTGGGTAAGGAAAGTCGTGTCTGAGAGCATGTATGTATGTATCATGTAATGTTAACAGCAAAAAGAAAGTAAAAAAGAAAATCCCCATTGGTAATGCCAATCACAGCCGTCTTCGGCTTCTGTAGGGTGTAGCCACGACGCATGGAAAACGTCAAGCATCCGCCCAAAGCCAGCGGACGTCTGTCTGGTATGATCCAGCGCCTCAGTCAGATCAGGCGAGTGCCAATCGCGTTATTCATTTTGCCCGGGTGATTGCAGAGGATTTCTGCGGTGTCATGCAGGGCGTCGAGGCTACACGTTGGACGTGGACGACGGGCCAATCAGCTCGGGAACAGCGCATCTGGCTGGCAGCTTTCTGACACAGGGCCTTGGCTGCTCTCTGCCTTGCAGGTATAGGGCCAGTATCTGGTTGATTCTGATTGACTGACAACGGACAGAGTGCGTGGCATCCAGTCTTTTTTCTGCGGTCCTCGCATGAGGCTGCTGCAGGGCAATGGAAACAACAGGGCGGTCCGTTGGCACTACTGTAACCTCACAGGGCCTGTAAGCAGCGCAAGCAGCGGAACGAAGACAGCAGCCCAGCCCAGCCCCCCCAAGGTTCAATCCGTCCGGGCTGTTAGCCGCCTCTAGCCCGGTGGCCCTTAGCCCACCCAGTGCGCTGATCACGCTGCTGGCGCCCCTCGATTTCAGCCGGGTCCTTCCATGCCCCTAGCCTCTAGCCTTTTAGTGCACCTCAGCCATAATATTTCCAACGCCGCACCGAGCAAAAGCTGGACCAGCTTCTTTGTCGCGGTCGAGCCTCTCCATCTTTTAACTTTGAACTACCACGAGCTTCTGTCGCCCTTCCCCCACGCGTTAACTCGACCAGCTGCCGGTCAGGCCGAGCCATCGCCATCCACGACGGCCTCAATCCTTCCTCTTCCTCTTCATCGTCTTGTCCAGCCTTGCATCGAGATCCATCGAACGAAACCGCCATTGTTGGAGAGACGCTCTCCATGCAGCTTGTCCGACAGCCGCCCTAACACGCAAGCGTCAAGATGAAAGCCTCGCCGCTCATCATCAATTGGCACGACCAGAATGCCCCAATCTACTCTGCCCACTTCGAGCCAAACGGCAAGGGCCGCCTAGCCACGGCTGGTGGTGACAATCATGTTAGAGTGTGGAAGGTCGAAGCCGATGGGCCCGAACGCAAGGTCGAGTATCTGTCGACGCTCTCCAAGCACAACCAAGCTGTCAACGTCGTACGGTGGGCTCCCAAAGGTAAGCATTGAACACCATGTACCTGCTGCTCTGCTCTGCTATATCGTTTCCCATGGGCTGACAATGGCTGTCGAATGAAGGAGAGACACTCGCCTCGGCCGGCGATGACGGCAATGTCATCCTATGGGTTCCCAGCGAGATTCCGACTACCACCTTTGGATCCGAAGGCCTAGATGATAAGGAATCATGGAGAGCAAAGCACATGTGTCGCTCTAGCGGGGCGGAGATATACGATCTGGCATGGTCACCAGACGCTGTCTACTTTATAATCGGCAGCATGGATAATATTGCCAGGATCTACAACGCAAGCTCAGGTGTGTGCTCGCAATTATATCATTATCTCTGTACTGCATGTGCGAGGGCTAACACGGAAACACAATAGGAACCCTCGTAAGGCAAATTGCCGAGCATAGTCATTACGTGCAGGGCGTTACTTGGGACCCGTTGAACGAGTACATCGCAACCCAGTCGTCAGATCGATCCGTCCACATCTACTCACTCAAAACCAAAGACGGGCAATATACCCTGAGCCAGGACGATAAACTGCCACGGCTGGCAAGCCATATCAAGGCCGATCTACCCCCTCGACGAATCTCTTCGAGCAGTCCCGCACCACCCGAGTTCGGCCACCGAGCACAATTAACTGTGGACTCTTCTACATCTGTGGGATCGCCGGCTCCCTCAGCACCAAGCACGCCGACTTCAGCTCCTCTCCCCATGAACCCGCCGAGCGTAATCAGTCATAGCCGTCGCTCCTCGTTCTCCTCTCGTCGCTCCGTCTCGCCGGCACCTTCGCTGCCCCTTCCCGCTGTCATGCCAATGGAGACATCGCCGAAGCCTCATCATACCCTCAACTCCAACTGGGCCCTAGGAGTGAAGAACGCAAGTCTTTACGCAAACGAGACTCTTACATCTTTCTTCCGACGACTTACGTTTACTCCTGATGGAAGCCTCCTGCTCACGCCATCCGGGCAATACCAGAACCAGCATCAGGCGGACAAGGACGCAAAGCCAACTTACGAGGTCATCAATACAGTGTACATTTACACTCGAGGTGGCATTAACAAGCCCCCGATAGCTCATTTACCCGGCCACAAAAAGCCGTCTGTTGTTGTCAAGTGCTCTCCGATTTTCTACACGCTTCGCCAATCTCCACCAGTGACTAAACATGTCACGATTGATACATCTTCCGCTGAAGATACCATCCCCTCCCTCCCAGAACCAGTTTCTAAGCCAGTAGCTGCCGCATCCGTCATGGAGCCTCCGCCGCTCCCCACACCATCCTCAACTACCGCTGCACCAGCAGCTGCTGCTGAGGGAACTGCTTCATCAAAGGGAGCAACAGCGGCCGAGAATAATGCGTCTACGCCAGGCCCCAAGCCGGCTTTTGCCCTTCCATATCGGATGGTGTACGCTGTCGCCACACAGGATTCCGTCCTGTTGTACGATACACAACAGAAGACCCCGATATGCGTAGTTAGCAATCTGCACTGCGCAACCTTCACCGACCTTGCTTGGTATGTACATGCGGCTTCTTGATTTTGAAATGATGTAAGCTAACCTGCATTGTTTAGGTCAACTGACGGACTCACCCTCATCATCTCGTCATCAGATGGATTCTGTTCCACGTTAACCTTTGCCGCCGGTGAGCTCGGCGAGGTTTACAAGGGTGAGGTCGGTGCAAAGGCAGTTTCATCAAACCAGAATGCGTCCACTTCGACTCCCACGTCCAGCTTTGCCTCCCCATCGCCGTTCCCCAGCGGACCACAGCATCAGTCTCGCAATTCGGCGAGCTCTTTCACAGCGCCTTCTCCTCCATCCACCTCCGCAGGTCCATCTCATCGCCCGTCATCGCCCACAAGATCGAATTCTACGTCTTCTGTGGCCACACAGCCTTCTGTGGTCGTGAGCAACCCGCCTCTTATTAGTGGTAATGTGCCATCGATCACAGCCACCAATTCAGGCAGGGTGACGGGCGTGCCGTTGACAACGCCTCCGGAAACACCCAAGGTGGTGGCTCCCCCAGCGAGCGCGGGCGTAAAGAGAGACGCCGATGAGGCAGAGAAGGAGGAAGGGAAGGAGCCTAAGAAGAGAAGAATCGCTCCAACTCTCGTCACGAATCCAACATGATGGAGTTTCATCTTGTTTGGGTTATTTTTACTATTTTTGCTTTATTTTCTTTGTGGAGCGAGTTATACTGTGTCTCGTCTTCTTTCCCGCAGCGAGACGGTCAACGTCACAAGATGGGGAACGCGGTTTAAGCAATGAACTATATAGATGGATGACGGTGGGTGCCAAATGTCACTGGCATAGACTGGCGTTTTGCGGTTTGGCGTAGTATGTTTCGATCATATGGCGGCAGCTGAGCCTGCGTAAAATCACGCTGCTGTTTGTAACTAGGTTGCCATTCCTCTTCTTTTTTTCTTCTTTCTTTCTTTCGGTGGTCTGTTAGGTACAGGCGATTTGCTCAGTGCCAAGATCAAGCAGACCGAATCGGGTTGGGCAAAAAGGTAGCAGTTTCGTGGTTTAGTCAAATAAAAGAGAAATCCGAATGACTCCATTGGCGCATGGGTATTGGGAGCTTAGTAGTGTGTGTGCTCTTGGTGCTGCAAGTCATGTCGATGTTTACAATATTGGTGGTAGAGCCTGTTCTTGGCAACATCCAGACAAGATACTCGGCAAGCAAATAGTTTACATGATCTACGAATTCAATGGAAACAGCGGCGTCTCCTCGCAGACACTCACTTCATCAAAGGCATCCAACCTTTCCTCGCGATAAAGGTAGTCACGCCTTCATCCCGCAGAACGTCCTCTCCTCTTCTCCCCGTCACCACGCTCTGTTCAAACTGCGGCCCACGGACGTAAAATGGGAACGAGAGCCGCGAGGGTCCTGGTTCTGAGGTTGAAGGTGACTCTATCGGAGGAGACTCCCATAAGCTGCAGCGGCCGCGACGCCGCTTTTCTGTAAAGCCACATGCGCGGCGATCAAGGGAGAGGTACCATCTTCGTTGGTGGATGCTGCCGATGGTGTTTGAGGCTCCGGGGTAGGCGTTTGTGAGGCGGACTTGTGCGTCTTGCTGTTCCCTCAGGGAGGGGTCGTCAATGGCTTCGGTTTGGGGCTCTTTGTTATCCAAGCCATGGCCATCGCCATTGTCATCAGCCTCGCTGCTGGAAGAAGAAGAAGAAGAAGAAGAAGAAGAAGAAGAAGAAGAAGAGCTAGTTTCCCGCTCTTGCAGCTGGACCCGTGTCGTTCTCCCTCGACGCCTACGAATAGTACCTGTAGCCCGTCTTTTCAGGCCCCTAGACCGCCCTGCGGCATCCTCCGACTTGGTCATGCGGAGATTGATGACGTAGGGATCGGGGAGCTTTGCTCCGTGGAGACGCAGCCGGATCTTACGGTCCTGGAAGGCAGCGTGAAGCAGAGATTGGGCCGTCTGGGAGGGAGACGGAGATGCAGATGCAGACTGAGATTGGTGAGAGGCTGGCGGTGAGGAGGGGTCGAGAGTAGGGGCATGTTTGCTGGGGCGTGGGAGAATCGAGTACGTGCCCGTGTCCCAGATGAGGAGGGAGCCCGTCTCTGGAGACGCGGTTTCGACAAGGTGATTCTGCGTACATACTCTCGGCGGTCAGCAGCAAGCGGCGCCTGTATATCGCAGGGTAAGGTAAGGTAGAATCAGAAACAGCATCAAGATCAAGATTTTGGAAAGTGAGACTTGCCCAAAGACAGTGGATGCGAGTCTCGGTGGCATTGCGGCTCTGGCGGCTGCTGTTGGCGTCACCGGGCAGCCCGTACATGATGGCCCAGCTGACGCTGCTCGTCTCGTTGATCTGAAGACGCAGGTCGTAGTGCGGACCGGCCACGGGATGGTCGTGCTGGTGCACCACAAAATGCGCACCATGGGGGCTCCCTTGGCAGCTATGGTAGAGGTGCGAATAGGATGCGACAGATAGCCGAGGGACGCCAGCCGATGTCGGGCGCAGATGCGAGGAGAGAGTTGATGAGAAGCGTGCCAGATGGTCGGGTATCTCGACGGCTCCGGACTCGATCTCGGCGGTGGTGCCGGCGGTGGGTCTGCCGGAGGGGATGGAGGCGGTCGAGATGCTGGGAGAAGCAGGACGATGGGGATGGGGATGAGATGAGGGAGAGTCGATGGACCAGGTGAGGTTGCGCTTCTTGATGAGGGGATTGGGCACGAGGTCGGGGCTGGGAGGGCGTTTGCGTGATTGCTGCATGATGATTATGAGTAGATATTGATACAATCTATGAAATGTTGAAAGTTGAGAGGAGAAAATAAGCCATCAAGCTACATGCCAATATCATCTCCAGCTGTATATTGGATATGAGATGAAGTGGTCACTGGGCTGAAAAGTATGGGTTTCATCACTACAGCTCGTCTTATGTAACCAATCCATATTCAGCATCGACAAGTTATTGGATTTAATCGAAGCTGCCTCTTCGTACCTCTGTAATTGCCATTTACTCATCACCAAACGCCACAGATCGAATAGAACATCTGTCTGCTTCCCAATCTCCATTTCTTCCACGATTAATGCCCAAATGCAACCTCCCGGCCCTTTGTGCACCAAAGCCATCAATTCGCTCGAATCAGATCCCCTGCACACGCTCGTGCCGTATCAGGTATCTCACCCGCCAAACTTGCTAGGGAATCTACATGCACCCGTACATAAGCCGCTCCACTGCCCAACCACAGCGACCGAAATGAATGAATAAACAAAAAAACAAGCCGCGGGGTGCATGCTAATGATTATCTGCATAGCCATGGATCTATGCGTGAGACTCGGCTCATGCACCTCGCAGCCACTCACAGGTCGCGCTCTGGTCGCAACGTAGCCGCGGCCATGGCAGCTGAAAGCTGAGCCTGTGTGTGTCTGTGTGGCTGTCTGTCTGCCTTGGGACCCAAGATGCACAAAAATCGAGTAAACATTCGGCGGATACGAGCCGCCCAGATTTGTTGATCCGGCCAAAACAGCTGCACAGCGCTGGAGACTCGCACCCAGGCCAATCAACTTGCCCGCTACAGTACGGGTACAGCAGTCCACTGCCAGCCTCCGCTGCTCTACAGCACCAGGACAGCACCAGGCCGCTACAAAGTGGCGACGTGCAGCGCGCTTCAGCAAATTAGCTGGGCGTGCTGATCCATCCTGATGCGTCTGGTGGAATTGCAGTACCACACAGCGATTAGCCGTCGGCCAGCCGTCGTCATGGAAATGCCGAGGCAAACAAACCACTAACCACGGCGCCCCGCTTTTCCCGTCCCCCAGAAGGGTCAGCCGCAGCTCCGCCTCAGTGGGAAGATGCAAGGGAGATACCTTTTCGGTACCCCCTGCGCCGCGTCAGCAGGGATCGCCTCGCAAGTACTGCCCTCGTACCCGGTGCGAAACCACGCGAGCCCCGGGATTTCCTGGGCCTCGATTAATTACCAAGCCGGGGGCTTGTGATTGCATCCAGCCATTCGCTCTCCCCTCTCCATCAACCACAACCTTATCGCAACTCTTCCCCTTCTTCTTCCAATTCCACCATCTGACCTCGCGCTGTGCCTGTCAGAATCGACGCGTCCATAGACTACGGCCTTACGCCCTCTTTTATTTCTTCCTGTCGATACCGCCGTCTTGTCGTCGCTTATCGCCACACCTGGGGCCTGTCGCAGCCCCAGCTGAAAAAATCATAAACCAATCCTTCGGCAGCTCCCAGCCATCCGGTTTGGTTCCCTACTTGCACAGCTCCTTGTCCACACCATAGCGAGATTCGACCAAGCGCACGCGCTCCTCGGCGGCAATTCCTGTACTATTGTGATACCCCGGTTGTTGTTTTTCTTCTTCATTTCTTTCTTATCCCCCATAATGGCTTCGCCACCTAAGCCCTGGGAGAGAGCTGGCGCTGGCTCAGCACCTTCACGTAAGTCCCCGACGCGAAGCTGTCTCTTTGCTGCAGTAGTTTTGTTTGCCTCTCTGCTTCGACCCAGAGCGCGCTCGCCCGTGACCTTCACATGCTGACCAGCCTCCCTCCACAGTTACCATCCCATCCTCACCAGCATCAGCATCATCAGCACCCTTATCGCCTGCTTCATCTGTCGCCTCCATGGACGCACCACCGATACCTGAGCGCCCTGCGTCGCTCGCTGCCTCCATCAACCAGAACGCCGCCGCTCACACCCGCGTCGGTGCCATGGGTGGTATGGCAGGCATGCCAGGCATGGGAGCCTCGCCATATGGTGGTTACAACAGTGCATACTCATCGCCCTACTCAAGTCCTTACTCACGCTTTGGAGGTGGATATGGAGGATACGGCGGCGGCATGTATGGCAGTTACGGAGGCATGGGCGGTATGTACGGCGGCGGCATGTATGGTGGTGGTATGGGCATGGGCGATCCCAACAGCATGGTGAACCGCTTCAGCAACGGCACCCAGGCCACTTTCCAGATGCTCGAGGGCGTTGTCACTGCCTTTGGTGGTTTTGCGCAGATGCTTGAGAGCACATACATGGCCACACACTCCTCCTTCTTCGGTAAGTCTTGATTGTCAAACATCCAACTCGGTTGCTCTTATGGATGGCTAACTCATTTTGACAGCCATGATCTCTGTTGCTGAGCAGTTTGGCAACCTGCGTGACACCCTGGGCTCCCTGCTCGGAATCTTCACCCTGCTTCGCTGGATCCGAACTCTCCTCGCCAAGCTGACTGGCCGTCCTCTGCCGGCCGATGCCGCGTCCCTCAATCCGTCAGATTTCGCCTTGTTCCAGGGTCGATCTGGCAGCCCCGGCGGCGGATCTTCCCAGCCTCCCAAGGCTAGCCGAAAGCCCCTCCTCTTCTTCCTCCTCGCCGCCTTCGGCCTCCCTTACCTCATGTCCAAGGTGATCAAGAGCATCTCTGCCAACGTCGAGGAGGAGGAGAGACGTATGGAGCAGCAGGCCCTCGAGGCTCAGAAGCCTGTTGATCCCGCTAAGCTGGAGTTCTGCCGCCTCCGCTTCGACTTCACTCCCCAGCAGCCCAACGGCATGGAGCTCGAGGGAAAGAAGGGCGACCTCGTCGCTGTCTTGAGCAAGAATGATCCCGCCGGCCAGCCTAGCGAGTGGTGGCACTGCCGCAGCCGCGACGGCCGCCAGGGATACCTGCCCTCGACCTACCTCGAGGTCCTGAAGCGATCTACATCCGAACCCAAGAAGCTCAAGGCTGCCCCCGACAGCAGGACCAACTCCTTGACCAGCTCATCCTCATCCGAGGAGGGCAAGAAGGAGTACGCCACTGCGGACGGCATGCAGAGGAGTCACTTCTACTCTTAAACGACCAAGCTTTTCTTTTCCTGTAATGATGAAAGTCGGCCAACCAAGGCTTACGCGATTTGATGCTCTGGCATAGCATTTCTCTTTTTCTTATAATTTCACTGGGCGTGCACACTTTTTATTTTCTTTTGTAACGTGTCGTTATTAAACCACGGGAGTTCAGCTTTTTTGGAAACGTACTTTGCTACCACATTAGCCTCATGTGTTAATGCGCTTTTTATAATGGAGATGTGGATGAGTCCCTCCATTTTTCTTGTATAAAAGTCGGGCGTGTCTACTATTTGTATCATCAGTTTTTATACACTTTTTTAAATCTACTTTATGACGTTTGGAACCGTGTCAATCAGCTCGTGTGAATCTTATTATTCTTATGTCTTGAACATGTATTGCTACGTAGCCCCGGCTAACGAGCCCAAAATTTTAAAGCCAGTCTTTGATCATCATATATAGCACGTATAACACCACTGCACGTTACGTCGTAGGTCTAGATTACGGCGAGCACCAGCACTAGCCTTCAGCTTCGTAAGAGTTCGACTTGTGCTTGGGCTGGAACTGGAATCCTGGGTGAACGGGTCCGAGGAACATTTCACTGTGAAGCACACGTTAGCTCATGATTTACAACATTGCATACATACAGATAGTCTTGCAAAACCAAGTAGAAGAAATGGGGGTGTGAAGAGAAATGACAGTTTACGTACCTTATCTTGATCCAGTCCTTGTAGTTGTCAGATGCCATCATCGTCTCCATCTCATCTCTGCCCTTGTACGCCGGTGGCCGGTCGTTCAGTCGTGGAGGCAAGTGCTCCAGCAGACCAATTGGCACGTAGCGGTGCGCGAAGCTAAGATACTCGAGGAGGAAGCGTCTGGTGTAGCCGATGCCCAGTTCGTCCGAGCCCCACGCCTCGAGACCATATTTGACAAACTTTTCAATGTAGCCAAGGCGTTCGGTGGAAGACTTGTCGAGGTATTGGCCCTTTTCGATTTCCTCAAAGATCCACGGCTTGATGAGGGCTCCACGGCCAATCATGACGGTGTCGACGCGAGCCTTTTCAAGGTGCTCATAGTAATCGACGTGGGAAAAGCAGTCGCCGTTGCCGAGGAAGTACATGCGTCCGTCCTTTGAGTTGGCTAGGGTGCTCTCATCTGGCTCAGCAATGGTGTCGGTGATCTTGGCCTTTTCATCGTTGTATGTCTTGATGAGAGCAGCACATTCGCCAATGTAACCCCAGTCTGCCGTCTTGGTATACCGTTGCTCGCGACTACGGCCGTGAAGAGTAAGTGCCGCGCACCCAGGAGCACCAAGTCGTTCGCGATGCTCGCGAGATCCAAAGGCCAGTTTGCCGATGATCTGGGTGGCGGTTGAGCGGTCCTTGCGAACTCCGGTCCTGATCTTGGCGCTGATGGGAATCTCGCCAGACACAGCATTCATGCCTCTGATCATACGCTCCATTTTGCCACTGGCATCAAGAAGAGCAGATCCAGCACCTGACTTGAAGACCTTGTCGATTGGGCAACCGCAGTTGAGGTCAATCACTCGGAGATGAGGGCAGTAGCGGTTGAGAACATCAGCAGCCTTGGTGACAACCCAGTGAGCACTACCTGATATTTGGGCACCAAACTTGAGATCGCGCGAATGGTTATAGTCGTCGAACAAAGGGATAGCTCCCGGATTCATCTTGGGCGGCGTAATCTCAGACCTGTGAGCGCGCATCAAGGTCCAATCAGGCTTGGAGCCCTGAAGCAGGGGCATTCCCAAAGCCATTTCTGAGTAAGTCGCTTGACAGCCGAGTTCTACACATAGACGTCGAAATGGGAGGTTGCCCTGAGTTGTCAAAGGAGCAAGAGTCGGGGTCTCTGCGCCAAAGTACAGGCGGCGCTTCTCGGATGGCTTGAACGGGGGGTCGACAAATCGAGCCCGAAGGTCTTCGAGGCCCAGAGCCGGTTGATCTTTGCGACGGTGATGAAAGTCCTGGCTGATGCCGGCCTCGTGATTCAGCCATTTGATGTATTCGTCTGCCTTGGTAAAGTCGAGTCTCTTGCGGTTCAATTCAATTTTCTGACCCATAGTCACAACGTTGAAGATGCCGGGTCGCAGTTCGTCTTCGCTTTTCCCCCTCTCCTCAAACTTTGATCCCTTTTCTTCCGAAGTCTCCAGAGGAGCAGACTCTTCTTCCTTGGGCGGCTCCTTGTGCTCCACCTTGGGCGGACGGTTGTCGCTCAAAACCAGCTCTTTCCTACCATCGGCGTGCTCAATTTCTTGCATGTGGCTCTTGACAAACCGGCACTTCCAGCCTGAAGCGCAGTAGCCATACGCCTCGAATGCAGGGCATTTCCCGCCGAGAGCCTCGACATCTTCGCGACGGCCCTCGCTCAGGTATTTGCGTAGATCGTGGCACATCTTGCACCCATCACCGTACTGGCATTCCTTTGGCGAGAATTCTGCAGAGTAAGCCCTGCTGTTGCAGAGGGGAATAGCATCGTCAAATCTTCCAAATGAACGATCAATGTTCTGGCCCTTTGCCTTCTTCTTCCCCTTCTTTCCTCGATCTCTCGCATCTTGCCCATCTCTCTGGTCTCGGTCATTAGAACCTCGACCCTCAGCAGCGTCGTCGTCCACAGCAGCAGCACGTTCACTCTGGTTCCCTGACATATCGATGAGGTATCTGTGAAGATCAAGTTAGGGTCATATGCGAGTTGTTGCTGAGATAGGACTCACTCCTTCTTAATAGGAGCCATGCCCTTGACCCGATCTGCGGGTTCACCATTCTCCTCTGATGGTTTTGAAGTCTCAGACACCGGCTGGGTTTGGTTGTCCGAACTCTCTACATGATTGCCGTTCTGAGGAACTTGAGCCGTCTCTTGGTCATTTTCTCCCTTGTGGTCCAGAGCAGCACCTGCGTCGTCAATCTTAATTCGCTTCGCAGCTCGCTCCTCTGGTTGCGAGTCAACATCCGGATGTTGTCCATCCATTTTGATGTCGGATTCTGTAGCCATAGTGTACCAATGATGCTGTCAAATATCTTGATATAGATGATAGTCGGTTGGCTTGTTCAGAATCTCAGGATGAGAGTCTCAGTTGCGGAAGGGAAGGTTTTATCGGATAAGGTGTACAGCAAAGAATTTTCAAAGACTTTGCTCAACGTACTGATTAAAAATAAGACAAAGGCTGTTTCCCAACTGAAAATCAGCTTCAATTAGGCCGGCCTTGCGGTGTGATGGTTTGGAGGAAGTTGAGTAAACGCAGTGGAGCTAGAAAATTCTACTGATAGTGAAGTGAAGCAGTTGCACACCTTTGGCGCTTGCCGTACCAGTGGCGCTGCGCTAATACCGTACCGTTTCGAAATATGCACTGTAACTTTGTTCACTGTTCCCAGCATTGGAAAACACGCCTTGCGCACTGTAAGGATATCCACCCAACCACCTCTGTAAGACCTCATTTCTAGAAGTGCGAACATGCACTGCAGTCCTATATCTCTGGCAATGATCTCTTTTGCTTATATTTACTTGTAAAGTTGGATTAGATACGATGGCGTGTGATTTAATTCTTACGACGATGCTTTTTAGCATACTGGAGCAGGAGAGGATTGCTACACACTGATGAGTTAAGCAGCAGACTCCAACGCCTCACAGCGATCAGTAATCTCGTGTCTAAATCAGAAACCCCGATCTTTTGACTGTGTGAATTTACTTCCAAATCTCGGGGCAGCTTGGCAGATTATGTATACACCGAGTACAAACATTCAACTCGCAATTGATCTCTAGCTTTCTATTCGCTCATAGAAACTCCAACTGCAGCTGGCGGAGGAAATTTGACCAACAGCTGCTGCAACATCTGCACAACCTTCTGATGATCATTGATGAGATTCAAAGCCTTTTGCTCTTCCTGCATAGAGATCAAGATCTTTTTCTGCTCCTCCAATGCTCGAATAACTTGGTCTTGCTTCTTGTCGATTTCACGAAGTCGGAGATGGGCCTGTCGCAGCTCTCTCCGATGAAGATAATCCACCTCTTTCATAACTTTCTGGGAAGATCGCCGGATCCTCGCGATGCTGTCTTCCAAATCAGTTAGTTTTGATAGCCCATAATCTGACACTCTCAACCTGGGCCGCAGAGCATTGAGCATCGCTATCATCCCCAAAAAGCTTTCAGTATAGAGCTCCACTATTATGAACTTGAGCTTGGGTTCTGGGTAGAGCTCGTACTCTCGGGTACATGTCTCAAGAGCATCTTGCATCTCGTACAGTACTTCCCCGATTATTTTGTACCTTTCCGCCCATCGTCCTACGGCCTTGATATCGATTAGCTCATCTCCGTCCAGTGTGTGATTGTTATCCTACCCCAAGTATAATTTTCACTCCGGCATTTACCGGTGTAACGGCCGTCGTGGTATCCAGTAGCAAAACCTTTTGGGTCAATTTATCTTCATTTTTTTCAAATGTCCCCCCAAATCGGTTGTGCCATTTAGCCTGCAGTTCTTTAGCCTCTTTGTGTTCCCGCAACCCAGGAGCAGGAGGTCTTATATTCTCAAAATCATTTGCAGCCGCTTCCCATCGTCGCATGACATCTTGCAACTCCGTTAACAGAGGGTCTAAGTCTTCCATGTCCTTCTGTTTAGCTTGATCTGCGATGTTGGCTTGCTGATTTTCCAACGGGAAATCAACTAGGCCGATTTCTGGTGTTCCAGAACTAGAAAGTACAAAATCCACGTTGCTGTCAACCGACTGTACAATCAGTTCGTTGTCAGTTCGTAGTGGTTCAGTTGGGGTAATGCTGTTGTAAAGTTCTGTGACTCGGAAGTTATTTTGCCCATGAATCTCGGCTGCAGCTCTAGAAAGAATGTCTATTCTTTTCAGGAACCTATATTCGGACTGTTTCAGCTGAAATACGATCCGTTTATGAACGTCATCAAGATGAGAATTAATCGCACGCTCGTATTTGTCAAGCTTAGTGTCGACGGATGAAATTTCATTAAGAACGACCCTATCAATTCTCCTAGTTGGGACGGCATGTCAGTAAGCAACACATGGCACGTAGCAGCTCTTTACCAGGCGCAGAACTCACATTCCAGCAAGAAACATGGCGAGAACCAAAGTCTGCTTCGCCGTCTCGAGATTCTTTGTAAACTTTTCGAGCTCTTCGGTCTTGACGACCCATTTGACGCTAGCTGCAATTTTGTTCAAGGCATCGCGCCAAATGATACCACGTTTCGTACGGAGCGGCTCGACAGCCAAGCATAACGTGTTGAAATCTGTCTCACATCCTTTCAGGCATGTCAGGATTGTTTCCAGGCTCAGTGGCATGGCATGAACGAGGTCAAAGGCTGCTCGCTCGATCTCTGGGAGCAACTTCTGAAGAGATTGCAATTGCGCACACATCTGACGCACCTCTTCTGGTGCGTCCTTGACATCGCTGAAAAAATTATAGATTCGACTCCCCAACCCCAAAACGTTGTTCACCGCACCAAAGATTTCGATAGAATTAGCCATTTGAATCTTTGGACGAGATGGTTATAAATAGAAGACTTGGATAGCGAGTGAGGATCATAGAGTCAGAACGTCATGGAGTGAAGAGATGAGGAAAAGGAAGCCCCCGAGGATACTTGTAGGCAGTCAATCGCTGGCTTGGGCAGCATCAGGCTGCCTGAACTTGTCGCCTATCATTTTCAAAACTTTTAAATGGAAGGAGCCTTGTGTGGAAGGCCGTCAGTCATGCAAGCGGCTGGAGAGCTTTCTAGGCCAGCCATTCAAAATTACGCCTTGTTGGTCTCAGCGCATTCAGTGTAACTCTTGGTCAACAGGTGTTTGACAAAATGTTGGCGAGAAAAAGATAGGAATGTAATATATTTGAAGAGCCGCCAGAGTGACGGATTACACCAACAAGCTCGTACAAACAAAATATAGCCCGCAACCAAGATAGTCGCCTCATTGGCGATGCGTTTGATGCTCCCTTGCCCCTTTGTTTGCAATGGGAAGCTGGAGGAGATCTCAATTCCACATGCAACCTGGAAGTTCTCTCCATATTGGCAACATAGCGGTGCTTCAACGACTGAGCCCAACATCAGCACCCAGCCCCACTATAGAACTGCTGTGGCTCGACATTTCAGCGCTCAGACCGCTATAGCAGTGGCACTAAAGTGGGAATTCAGTGGCCGCTGCCATTGACCCCACCAAACATACCAGACCCCCTCAACCCGCCTCCTCATCAAAGGAGTTAAGCTCCTCCTGCACGCGTCCCTGTGAGACCTCGCGAATTGTGCTGCCGAAACTCCATTGCCTGCTCTCCGTTAGGGGGCAATGAGGAGCAGTTGGCGAGACCATGGAGGATCTGGGCCAGTCGTCTGCTAGTGCGACCCGATCTCCTGACAAGTCATCAACCTTGAGCTCGGGACACGCCTCGCGGTCCCAAAGGACTGTCATCGACCCCTCCGCTACTAGACGGCCTCCGATGTTCGACGATGACGATGATGATGAAGACGAGGAAGAGGAAGACTTGGACGGTGTAGACCGGTACGAGGGGCGCGAATTTGACGAGGTTGAGCCACGATATGTCCCGGTGGAGGACGAAGAGCCGGTAATACCATTGCCTAGGAGCCACACGCCAGGCCAGCTTGCTGCTAGGAGTAATCTGCCAGGCGAGCCACAACGCGGCAGCAAGGGAACCGCCGAATTGCCTCTTCGCCAACGGGCAATTTCAGCTACACACTCACATCCGCCGCCCCCTCGCCCGGCCACAGCTCCCGGGCAGAGAAAACCGACAAGCTCCTCCAACAGCGTCCCCGACAATCCCCCTCCCCTCCCTCGCGATGGCGAAGCAGAACAAAAGCCGGCGGCGGCACCAGCTGCAACTCCATCGTCGAGAGCAACATCCGCAGTGTCAGCTCGCCAAACGAGCACCATCATCTCTCGCCCGGTGTCCGGCAAGCACACCACTTTCCCCCCCTTGCCGAAACCCGACGATGGGCCAGACGTCCAACCCGCCCCAGCATCTGGCATGTACTGGTCTAAAGCCCCGGTATCTGGATCACCGCACTCGAATCTGCGAGCTCATACGGTGACGCTCATCGGCTCCAACGTATACGTGTTTGGAGGCTGCGATGCAAAGACATGCTTCAATGCCATGTATGTCCTCGACGCCGACTCCTTCTACTGGTCAGTGCCGCACATGACGGGAGATATCCCAATGCCCCTTCGGGCCATGACTTGCACGGCGGTGGGGAAGAAGCTCGTGGTGTTTGGAGGCGGCGATGGGCCGGCGTATTACAACGACGTATACGTACTTGATACGGTCAATTTCCGCTGGTCTAAGCCTCGCATCGTGGGAGACAAGCTTCCCTCGAAACGTCGTGCCCACACGGCGTGCCTGTACAAGAATGGCATCTACATCTTTGGCGGTGGTGACGGCGTTCGTGCCCTCAACGACATCTGGCGACTCGACGTCAGTGACACGACCAAGATGTCGTGGAGGCTGATATCCAGTGCCGAGAAGCCGGTCCCCGGGTCCAGGGACAGGCGGCCCAAGGCTCGCGGCTACCACACGGCGAACATGGTCGGCAGCAAGCTCATCATCTTTGGCGGGTCGGACGGCGGCGAGTGCTTCGACGACGTGTGGATCTACGACGTGGAGAGGCACATCTGGAAGCTCGTCAACATCCCCATGACGTTCCGCCGCCTCTCACACACTGCCACCATTGTGGGCTCGTACCTGTTCGTCATCGGCGGCCACGACGGCCACGAGTACTGCAACGACGTGCTGCTGCTCAACCTGGTCACCATGACGTGGGACCGCCGCAAGGCGTACGGCCTGCCGCCCAGCGGCCGCGGGTACCACGGCACCGTGCTGTACGACAGCAGGCTGCTCGTCGTGGGCGGCTTCGACGGCAGCGATGTGTTTGGCGACGTTATGCTTCTGGAGCTGGCGGTCCACGCGTATTATTCGCAAATCAGCCATTTCACGATTGATGTATGATGATGGATTTTTTTTCCCCTACCATGCGATTATGAAGAGACAGCAAAGACCGTTGGACACTCTATTCTATACCTATACCTATTGACCTTTCTTTTTTGAATTTTTTTTCATCTGTGTGCATAGAGAGTAAAACTGATACGGCTGGTATTTTTCCTTTTTCCCAAATGTACAGAAGCAAGCAGCAGCAGCAGCAGCAGCAGCAGTTTTATTACAAGTTTTTTTTTATCTCATAAGAGGTGGAAGTAGGTTCTTCATGATGCCGATAGTTAAAATCTAGATTGGTTCATGATACCATATGATTAAATATTCTCATATTGTTTTCTGTTATACAAGAGGAAAGTATATGTATAATATATATATACTGCAAAGGAAATTATCCTGTACAATTTGTTTCATTCCAACCACCCAATGAAATGCCAAAGTAAATCAAACACGCCCCATCATGATGTAGATGCTATAATGAAAAATGAAGAAGAAAAAAAAGGAAAGATTAAACCAGTCCCAATGACCCCGTCATCAAGATTGGCCCAAGTAACTTCTTCATGAGAGTGGTTTTCTTTTCTCTATAACCCGTGACGAAAACCCATCCCGAAATGTCCCCTCAAAACCCAATGGATGAAAATATGAAGCTTCGAATTGTTTTTGTTTCTTTATGTGTGCGTATGCGTGGAATCACTTTCTTCGACTGTATAGAAATGTGTGAGTGTCCATGAGTTGATACATGTGTGAGTGGTGGTAGTGTGTGTCTATGTGTTTATATGCGGATGGTGGTGTTTTGAGTTTGAAGGGGTTATAAGCAACCGGATGTGACGGATAAAGGTTGCATGCCATGCCGCCATTAGTGCAGAGCCTCAGGCGGGCAATCTGCTGCCAATGGCTGACATGGGCGGGAGAATGAAGTGCATTCAGCAGCTTGCTTACTGGGCCTGCTGCTGCTCGCGCTCCTGCTCAGCCTTACGGGCAGCTATTCTCTTCTCCTCAGCCTCAACCATATCTAAAGGAAGTCATGTTAGCTAGCTGTTTTCTGGAGTTTATTGGTGTAGTATAAGAGGGGAATAACTTACCCATCCACAGATCTTGTCCCTCGTACTCCTCGTGGTGGATTCTCTTCTCAATGAGGTGCTTGTGCTCGGGGTCGTTGGGGTCGAGGACCATGACGGTCTCCCAGCGGCCCTTTGCGTTCTTGGCATCGTTCATCTCAAAGGCAGCTGAGACGATGAGCACAGCAAGGGTCAGACCCTGAGCGTAGACACGAGCCTGCACAATCTTCTGGGGGGTGCTCATAGGCGCGCGGCTGACGATGGCAAATGCAACGGCCAAACTAGCAAGCCATGAAGCGCAGACAATGCTGTAACGGTGCTCGCGACCATAGTTCATGAATCGCTCGTATGCGGTCTCGTTCTCACGGATAACCTCCTGAGCACGCTGAGAGGCATCGCGATAGGTCTTCATGGGGTCCTTGCCCTGCTGGAACTTGATACCAGCTCGATCAGCCTGGACAATGGCTCCAAAGGTGGCGGTGGATGTGACGAGGAAGGTTCGGAAGGGGAGTGTCAAGCCACGGAAGCTGGGGTAGCGCCTTGAGGCGTAGACAACACCAGAGACACCAATGGCAAGACCAAGAGTACCACCAATGAGTCCTCCCTTGACGACAGCGCCGTAGTGGGCGGCTTCTTCTTCTTTGGTGACGACCTTCATGATGACTGTTGGGGGTTGGTTGTGTAGGGGAGTGCGGTGGTGACAGCTATGGGGAAGCTAGAGTGGAGGGTATGTGGCTCAGTAGCGAATATATATCTCGAGCTTCGGAGCTTTTGGTTTCTACTGCGCGGAAAGCGGGGTTGCGAAAAGGCCGCGAAAAGGCTATCTCTCCAGTTGACGTAGGCTGATTAAGGCCGGCTCGAGCGGTAACTGTGATGGCTGTCGGGGCTGTTTAAGGAGTAAAAAGCCTGGTTCTAGGTAGTCGGGCGAGATTTGATACCCCAGAGGAACTCAGATGGGAGAGGGGTGGTGTCAGAAAAGCTGTGGTGGATCCCAAAGCAGCAAGAGGCAGCGAGTTATGGGCCGATCGGTAGAAGATGGTTGGTTCTCCTCGGAAGTGTAGATTGGAGCTGTTTGGGGATGGTCGTGTGAGGGTTTTTATTTAAAAATGTAGATTGGATAGTTGAGTTGTTGTGTTGGTTTGTTGTTTGTTTGTTTGAGTGAGGATGTAAAGATGTGATTGGCTGTTTTATGTGTTGTCGAGTGTTGGTTGTATTGATGCTGATGGCAATGCAAAAAGCCCGAGATGATGGAAGCGAGGCGCCTGTAAATATAGTGCTGGTCCATCCCACCACAAGCCTCGTCTAGCGGCATGATGTCAACCTGAAAATTTCTTGATTCCCCCTTCCGAGCCGCCCCGCCACAGAAACCGAGAATTCCCCACCGAGAAATTCCCGTGTCTTCGCCGTGCCTCCGTCCGGCCACCAAAAGAAGGCGCCCTTTTTTGTTTCCCCTGCTGAGATGATGCAACAAGAAGACTAGAGCACATGGAAACATTCTAATTGGAATCTTACTTTACGCACCAATGAGAACTACCCAATTTCCCCGGTCCATGACGCGTAGAGCTTCTCGTAGACAGGCAACATTGAAAGCTCGCGATACCTGTCTTTCTGCTACCAATCTCTCCTACATGCTCCGAAAGCTGTCTCTGTTTGCGGCGCGGCGGCCGCCTCCGGCTTAGGTAACCGGCGAAGCTGGGCCAGCAAGAAAATAACAGAAGGCGGCCATGGGCGGCGGCGGCGGCATGTGCGGCATCGATTTCGCGGCAAAAATGGAACGTTCATGCTGCGCTCTAGGAGAGCCGCCATGAAGCGCGGCCCTGCGGCGGTTTCGCCCGCGAAAACTCTCGTCTCACGTGCTCCCCTTGCTAGCAGAAAAATGCGCGCCGCAAAGGCTGACGGGAACCCCTAGCAGTGACGCGCTTAATGCTACGAGCAACGTACAATCGGGGCGGTTATGCCGCAGCCAGGACGGCCTTGGCGGCGCATCATCGTACGAGCTGAGCATGTTTTGTCATGCCGACTTCCACCCCGATTGCCTCGACGTCAACGGGCCGCTTTTCTCTTTTCTAGAAGCTCGGGGCGTTCCGTTTCATGCCGGTCGTACGATTTTAGTATTTTTAGTTTATCGATTTGAGTTGTTCTGGGTGTCGGTGATTTGGATTTCCATATTTGCAATACGTGTATGCATGTAGGCTTAGTAGCTCGCTAGTGAGGCGGCCAAAAATGGAATCTGTTGCGTCAGAAGGAAGAAAGACTCCGACGACCACACGCATACATCAAAGAGTATACACTATCAAAAACTTTCTATTTAATGAATCTCGTCTGCAACATTCATTCCATCTCATAAACAAGCTCAATCCAAAGCAGTCACAGAAACCAACACGCCAAACTCACCCACACGTGCTCACGATCTCCTACCCTGGAACCCCAGATTCGAGCCTTTGACTTACACCACTCCAACAACACTTTGCCACTACCCCCAGATCCTGTAGCCGCGATGCATGCCACTACCGATCGGTAACACTTGCCGAACCTCCGGTGTCAGCCGCATCGCCCTGGTATGCATGCTAGGGGAAGCTTTGGGGCGCTCCCCCTTATCTGGCAGCCCCCCGGCTCCCATGCCTCCGGGGACGATCTGACTGATCGGATATCTAGCTGATGTCAATCCTGCGTGATTCGGCAGGCAAGCTGAAAGATCTGCTTGTACGTGTATAGTAAATCTTGCGGAGCAGTCGCCACGATCCCTCTGCATGGGGGGATCCTCATGGTGGCTGGGGACTGCTTGGCACCATAGGTTGGTCACTTTCGCTCGATCGTAGCTACTCGTACAGAATGGCTGTCTAATTAACTTTCTCTGATGCACCACGCATGTAATTTCATTCTGTATACTCCCAATGATTCAGTCAGCAATGGTTCTCGTTGTGTCTATCCCAATATATACCGTAACATGGCCCCTATGTAGCCGGCATCCAGGCCATCACCACACCACTAACCTTTGCCATTGAGACTGTAATGTTAATAAAAACATGCCGGTCAGCTGGTAATGATAATCGTATAACCGTTTTCCCACAATAAAATGATATCAATTTCGTAGCAGTTGATGTCTGTATGTAATTATTCGCGTACTTATCTACGCCTATGAGTGTGCGGGTGGTGTAATTACACGAGACAAAGGCTGGCCAGAATACTCCGTAATTGGTACATAATCGAGTACGTGTTGGTTGCTACCATGCGGTCTATGCAGGGGCATGCGATAACCTTGTTCAGAGAACCCTTAAGAATCGAGATCTGCAGATCCGCTGGCCTCGTGTAATTTCTGACAGACTCTCAGCGATTAGCCCCGATGTTAATCAGACTGCCATCGAGCCGTGAATAGCAATACCAAGTGCAAAATCTCCTGCCCAATCGAGAATAATATGTAAGTCTGTGAGCCAATAGTCTGCCAGGCCCCCCCGGTTGTGTGTTATCTTGAGAAAGGCCTTGCATTGGCGACCCAGCACCAACACTAACACGCTATTTCTTGTACGGATTAATCACATTATCGGCGACACATAGCTGACACATGTAGTAGAATGTATCAGAGAAAATGGCACAATTACCCCCTTCTTTTCACCATTGGAGAGGATGCCGAGCGCCATGATCACACAACGCCCTCAGGACCATGATCCTATCATCGCACGGACTGAAGATGAAAGCTCATGCCCGTCAGTAGTAACACTCTTAGAGGTGCTCCCGGACTCCTTGTGCTAAAAATGGATGTTTAGCCCAGTAGCTCAAGCACGGTCTAGGTACACGTATGGATTGGAGCTCTGTTGCTCTCATTGTGGCAAAATACCTATGAGTTAGGTACTGGCCAAACCAGAGGTACCTACCACATTGCCAAATAACAGCAACGGAAAGGTCCTCATTTGTATATACCAGTACTCCGTAGATACTAATGGCTTTCGGCTAAACGGAGTAGACGGAGACCTGTGTTTATTCATGTACCTTGGCGAGGAGCCGAGGTGGAGTTCCGTTGGTCGGCGATACTGAAGCGACGATCGACAGCACCATGTGTGGGAACAAATGGCCGTGAGATGCATCAAGGGTCCAACATCTCCAACCAAAGCTCTGCAACCGCTAGCGCAATGGAAAAAAGCGGACGAAAGGCGAATGTCTCTCGTGGCCGATGGATTTGTGGCTGCCGGACCCCTGTCTAACGAAGCCATGGAAGGGGCCCATTTGTTCCATGAGATGCCGAAGTCTACCGCAGCACCCACTTGGACTCATGACACCAGCACAAAACAGGCTTCGGTTGCGCAGCCAACAGAAATGCCAGGAAAAAAGAAAGAAAAATCATTGTTGGTCGTTTTGACGCATTTTTCTCCTTCTTATTCTCTCCAAGCTCAAGCGGCTAGGCCCGGCGTGTGGGCGGCTAGTTCCTGGCTCAGTGCTCAAGACCTAACTTTCCACCACCTATTTTAAACTGAGTGGTGTGTCTCAGGCATTGCCTAGGCGGGTATAAAGTCTGGTGCGTTTCAGAGATCTAGCGTACTCAGAAGATCCCGTATTATGGTCTAGAGTAAAAGGAAGAAGAGAGGAGAATTCAAGAAAAAGGAGAAGGAGAGCCCCTACATTGTATGGAGCACTTCTATGTTTGCATGTGACTTCTTCGGTTTCTCTGGTTTAGCCGGTGTTTTTCTCCTCATTCATTTTGTAACAATGTCAGATGGGACTCTGTAATTTCGGTCTGCCAAGATGAGGCTTTAAACAGATTCCAATGAGTGAGCTTTCACACACACTCAACGGAACGCCTACCACTCCACATGCGAACTTGCAGGCAAGCGAGAGGCTAAAAGGTCTCAGGGTGTCTTTCATCTAAAAAGACCTTGATTAGTCGTGGTATTAAAAGGTTTGCGTCTCGTAATGGATATAGCAACAAACCCACGCACACGCTCTGACTCAGGACACTTGGCGGCAGAGGCGCATCCAGAACCGACGAGGATTAGACTTTAACCCAAGAGATGTCCCACCGCAAGATGGATCCCGCTTGTGCCTTGTGATGTCAAAATTGACAACTCGGGAAATGGGGCGACAGAATCGTGTCAGTACGAGTAGCCCTCAGTCCAGTTGATATTACAGAGTAGCATTCGGAGCGAGCCTGGAGCTGAAATTGGCGAGCTGCAGGTATCCTTCATTGATCGATATCCACGGCTATCGCAAATGCTTGCTCAAGGGCAATAGTGCACGCGACTGCGATGGAATCCTTGTCCTTCGGGGGCATTCTCGAGCGTTTGACAAGCCGGAATGTGACGCTGCAGCGCTGACGGCCCGAACAAGGGAACCTGAACCGTTCTAGGTTATGACTATGCTCCATGTATCGTACAGTATAATTTTTGCGATCTTATTTGAACTGGGGTCGAACATGTGGGCTTTTGTTGGGGATTCGGAGGCATTTGGCTATGATAGGTAGGTAGGTAAGAGAATGTGCCTGTCCGTGTGCTCGTACCTGTAGGGATGGGGCATCAAGAACGGAGCAGTATGAGATGAGACATTGAGGGAATTGTAGAGTATCAAAAAATGTGTTCTTCAAGAGGGCGTGCCAATCGCGGCCTTTCTGATACAGCTCCAGGATGCATGAGAAACACGGACATGGCCTTTTTACTTGTTGTCAAGCTCTGAGTGGCTCTGTGCAGGGCTCTGCTTGCCAACGTGACACTCGCATCACACATCGACCGCTCGTCACGCCTGTTACCACTCATGCTGCTGGAGAAGGGTCCAAGGCTAAGCTGCAGGTCACAGGCGCTACTCGAGATCTGGCGGTGTCCAGCCCGACCCCAACCAGATTGTCGGCAAGCCCTACAACGACGTCGACTTGTGCCTGCAGCTTGCAGCCGTTGAAGGCGGTCGAGGTCTTGGGGGGAGGAATACGGAGCTGGAGTGCAGTAGTCTCTGACATCACTGGGGAGCTTGGGCTGAGAGTCGAGGCTTGTGGGTAAAAATATAAGACGGGACAGCTGTTCTGTACTGCTCACCGTATTGCATAGTTGCTATTTGTAGTGCCGCGTTTCTCAATGCAGTGAGCTTTCTCATGCTGTGTTCTTCTGGAGATGCCGTGTGGAGAGGCACCTGAGCGGTGAGAGAAGATGGCATGGAGCAAGCTGGAGCTGAGACAAAAGATCAAGTAGGGCATCAAGATGGAGGTTAGTGGGCGATCATGTGGGATGGAGTTTTGTTGCCAAGTCGCAAGACGGGCATGGAAAGAGCGGCGAAGGCTCTTGACGACTTCTAGACTGCTGTCAATGGCATTTAGAGACATTCCCAATAGGGATTGAGCACGTTGCCTATCCCCAGATGAGGTACCGAGATGTCCATCCGTCTCGGTATGTACAGATGGGTACTGGCCTCCCGCTCACTTAGCTCAAGTTGCGTTCTATGCTTCCCTCGGATTGATTCCAGTTGACTGCATCTGCCCTTTCTTTCTCCCGAGTCCGTTTGCTCGTGCTACTGCTCACATCCGTACAGAACTTAACACATGTCAATATGTACGGTACATGCCGAACACGTACAAGACTCAGCTGACACGGAGTATTCCGTATAACGGCCTCCCTCAGTTACAGGTGGCAATGGAGGGCCATTCGGCGGTCAATGGCTATTACGATTGTCCTGATGCAAAGCTCCATTACACAGCAACGGCGCTCCGTAGTGGCTCAGCGTTAACGCGGCCCCGAGTAGCGTCGATGCTAGTGTGTATTGACCAAGGCTACAAAGCGCCACCAAAGGCTGGGCGAGTTGATGCCACTGCCATCAGGTAGCCCCAGGTACCGGCTAGTAAGGACTGCTAACAGCATCTCCGACACCTTGCTATTGTCGGCTCGACGTCCGTGGGTTTGGCTTTGGATTTCGCCTCAATTATCAGCCATGTCGGTGTGGCCAGACCAGAGCAAAGGTGCTTCATGTATACATGTGAACAGGATGGGAGCGGGCCATTTTGAGGTATTCGTACTGCTGATACTCCATACCTGGCCCCTACCTCTGCAGACGAAACAATGCGGAGTGCCGGCCAAGCAGGCAGGATGAATGCCTTACATGACATTCGATTAAATTAGGTCACCCATCCAATGCGAGTGGCTGGCGTCTTGGCACTGGTTCTGGTAACGACGGGCGTTGTTCTCCGTGATTGTAAAATGCCAAGCACGTACTCGTAATAGGCCTATGGAATACTTCCATGGTCCCGACCTGCCGACGACATAGTCTGGTTGAGCACTAGCCTTTCCAGGCAGACGAACCTAATATCTCTTGCTTTGGAGTAGCAGTAGCAGTAGCAGCAGTGTGTGTCAATATGATTTGATTCCTTGCCACTTGAAGAGTCAGGCCGTGCTAGTCAGCTCTCGAGAAACGCGGCAGAACCTTTTAGCATTACTGTGGCTAGGTACTTGTAGGTACGAAGTCTCCCGAATCAGGCAAAATGGAACGAGGAAATTCCGATCTCCGGAGAGGCGGAAAAAGAACCTCGCACTACTCGTACTGGGAGTTACCTTAGTGAGATACGTAATGCCACCACTCGTTTACACCTAGTCTGATGCCGGCTTGAGCTGAGTTGAGTCTGACTACGACCTACTGGGTAATTCATCATCGTTGACCTGCATTACTGCTTTAGTCCTGACCGAGCCGGGCCCTGTAGCTCGTGCTCCATCAGGTACGAGGACGTGTCGTGTCCGAGTCGCAGTCAAAAACCCCCACGGATACATGGTTGTGCCATACCACATACCCAGCTTGCCAGCACTTGGCTTGCAGGATCCCTTGCACTGTACGACGAGTCGAGAGATGGATGTCCGCTACTGAAGAAGACCAGGGCAGATGGATGAGAGATGATACCAAGGTAGTCGACTCGCATGCTCGTACACACATGTGGTAGCATTCGCCTGCCCAGTAGGTACTAATGTGCATCATCACCACTGTGTTCCCCTGCTCCGGCCAGGTTCCAGCGGGCACCTGTGCGGCCAAACGGACATGAGGCACAGGTCCATACTTTCAATCATTACTAGGTACGTAGTAGACTCGGTCAATGCTGTCAATAGGTCAGTACTATAGATAGATATTATCAGCGGGTGCACGCGGATGCCGCGGTCGAGATGAGACGAGACAGGCAACGCTTCTGATTCCCGTGCGTGTGAATACAACACCAGAGGTGTTTCTTCCGAGGCTCTCAAGTCCTTCCGCCATGGATGAAGCCGTCCAATTAACCGTTAGCGCCAACCCCTGTTCCTGTGGCACTGTGGCTACTGACACGCTGCACCGTGATCAGTGCTGCGAGCTTGCAGGGGCCTGAGGCCAGCTAGGATGCCGTGGATGAGGTGTGGATTCTCATCGTGGTGATCATGCCGTCAACCATCTTGGGCCTGTGTCGATGCTCTGCTCGCTCCCGGTTCTTCTTATTTCTCTAGCCATCTCTCCTACCTTCTCCTCCCCTTCTCTCTCTACTCTTGAGTTTAAATTGGACAGTGCCTGCTTTACTTCTGCAAGGCCCAGATCGTCGTGGAAAGAAAAACGGCGCTGGCAGCTTGGGAATCCCATCTCGTACATGTAGCGTGTGAAGATACCTACCTCACCTCAAGCCACTTTCTGTCTATCCTATCTTAGCCGTGCATGCGCCGCGCCATTTGAGCGACCAAGAACCGACCAACCAACCGACTTACACCCTTCGTGTCTCGCACCGAGTGCCTCCGGCCGCCATTCGCTGCGTTTGGGGACCAAAAGCCGTCAATCAAGAGCCGCCAGACAACAATACCAGATACAGGCCGCACCGCTCTTCCTGGGCGACACACACTACCCATCGATCCGGTCAAGCTCCCCAAGTTGTTGGCCACACGACTCGCGCATCCAGATCATAAATACATTGACCTGGAACCCCAACCGGTGACGAGTGACATACTCGTTGTTTTGCCTGTACTCGTACGAGCACCAGTACGAACGGCCTGCCGAGTCTCTCAGCGCCCTCCCGCCCCAAAGCTTCCACGGCGTCGGCGGAACCTTACTTGAGCCATCAAATTCATCATATAAACTGTGCCTCCAGCGTCCTGTTTCTCTGTTTTCCGAGTGTTTGGCGACGTGTTCGAATTGCATCCCGACCTTACGCCGTGAGAGCCGTCATATCCCAAGTACAGCCGGTCGATTACAGCCCGCCCACTTACACTGTAGGCGTTGACAGTACCACTTAGGTACGGTGTACTTTCCGCGTACTCCGCATTCACGGCTTAGGGAAAAAACACAAGTCGTGGCACGCCTTTCCACCGTCACCGTGCAGTCAGGCTGACCCAACCGAACCATATCGGCGAAAAAAAGGCCCAGCGCGACCAGGGGTTGGTGACCTGCTCTGCGTCGGGATTACTGCACAGCTGTGCTGCTATACACTCCGATTCTTGCTTGAGTTTGGGCTTGTTCCGTCAGGTGTCGTTCAAGGTTTCCTTATCTGTCTATCTGGCTGGCTGCCTGCTGGTGTCTGGTTTTTTATTTTTCACCTGCTCTGCTCTCTGCTCTCTGACTCTCCGTTTGATCACTTCTATCCATCAATCTGCTACTCCATACGCACCCGCCTCCACTCCATCTCCATCCCTTGCCTTGATTTGCTCCCTTGATCGGCTCAACTCCCTGTAACTCGGGAGGATGCAGAGCGCCCTCAGGTGGTTCCAGGGCCCTGACAAGGCCCAAGGGCCAGGCTCCACGGCTGCGGTCGCCCAGACCAGCGCTAGCCCGAATGCCCTCGCCCGGCCAGCCCACCACCGCGCCACTGCAAACGCCAGAGCCAGCAGCGCTACGAGCACCGCAGCGAGTGCCACGGCCAGCGCCAGCACCAGATCCAGCGCCAGTGCCGAACCGGCCTTGGCTGCCTGTGCCGCCTCGTCCGCCCTCGCCGAGTCAATGTCGCCAGCTTCGCTCAACTCGTCGTCACAATCATCTTCGCCCCAACCCGCAACCCCCCCCGACTTCTTCCACGCTGCACCACCCGTATCGTCTGCGTCCGCGTCTGCACTTGCGCCCGCATCGCTCTCCGCTGCTTCTACTCATTCTACACTCAGTTCCGGCTTCTCGTCTGCCCCCGCACTGCGCGCTGACCAAGACGCCTCAGCGCCGTCGCCATCCTCGTCTTCGTCCTCGTCTTCACATTCCTGGACCGCCGCCCTTCACCAGACCAAGCAGAGCCCGCAGCCCGCCAAACTCCTCGCCTTGCCTCAACTCGACCGCACCATCGATATCGACGTCGACTTGAGCGATTGCGACGACGCTACAATGACTACTGGCCCGGGCCTCGATGCTGCCATGGGCCGCCCGCGGCAGGACTCGTTTGTCAGCGCCGGCCCGAAGCCCATCTCCATGAACATCCAGAACCGCGACAATGTCAACCGGAACCGTCGCGAGAGTCTTGCCGGTAGCCTCATGGGCGGCATGAGCTGGGGCGGCATGTCCTTTGGCAGTTTTGTCCGTGATGAGTGAGTAGACCTTTTCTTTGTTGTCCCGCCCTTGCATCGTGCCTCAACTTTTTATCCTTATCGGCCTCAATCTGTTATCCTGTGGGCGCTACACTGCATGTAATCTTTGCCCCATCCGCACTATCGTCGCCGTCACCACCATCGTCATGGCCAATCGCTCTGTCTCGTCGTGCCTCAACAGGCGTCGTCGACTCTGTCGTCGGTAGCATATTGGGCCGATGAGAGAGACATTTTGGACCCTTCACCCCGCGTGCAACACCATCCTTTTTTTTTTCTGCCACTGTTTCCCCTCCTGTTCGCACCAAACCCCCCCGCCATCCCATATTGCATCATGGATCATGGCTATTATCTACTGCACATTTGGAGATTCTACAGCAATTTCCATCTCCTCCAATTTTTCCTCGATGCGACTGCTAACGTACAATTCGCCACAGCATCATGATGCAAGGCACCTCACCGTTTACGGGCGGCGCCCACCAGTCTCCATCGTTCCACTCCTCGTCCTACCTGCCGAAGCTCGAGGCCAGTTTTATGCGTGACTTCACATGCTGTGGCAAGATTTTGCCTAACCTGCATGATCTGCTTCAGCACTACGAAGAGGCCCATACACAAGCTAGTCCAGGTGCCGTCAGAAACAGTGCCTTCAACCAATTTGGTGCACTGGGCATTCAAGGATCGCCTAAGATGCCCAATTCGAGGACGACCCCGGCGCCTGGCCAAGGCTCACAGCAGTTGGGACAACAGCGCCAGATGGGCGGCCCTGGTCTCCAGATTGGCGGTTCTCAGCGGCTCGGCAGCTCCATGCTACAGATGTCTACCTCCATGAGCAACAACATGAGTGACGAGATGGATGCTGTTGCTGATATGGAGATGGACGACGCCCTTGGCACCATGGACCTGGATGACAGCCAAAAGATGCACCAGACCCGGCAGCTATTTGGCCAGCAACAACGACCGCAACTCAACATGAACACCTCTGGAATTACCCAGGGCCTCCGAACGTCGCAGCCGCCCACGCCTGCAGCCCAGAGTTTCGGATTCCAGAACAACCCTACCGTTTCCTCCGTCAACACCCCTACCCTCATGACACAACAACAGATGCCACAGCAGCAGTCTCAGCAGAACGAGGTGGACGAGGATCTACCCGGCATGCCCATGGGTGGTGATGCCACTGATCTCGGTGATATGACGTTTGGAAACGGCAACAACAATGACGGCAACGACTCCAATTTCTGCATCAACGATCCTGGCAAGCACCTGTTTAGCCCCAACGGCGCTTTCCCGCAAGGCAACCGATCTATACAAGCACAGCTCGCCCAATTGGGCCTGACCCACGGCCAGTTTGCCGATCCCGAGGCCAACAAGGTGTTGCTTGCCCGGTTGCAGAGTATGATGATGCCAGAGGAGCACAAGCCCTTCAAGTGCCCCGTCATCGGCTGCGAGAAGGCGTACAAGAACCAGAACGGGCTCAAGTAAGCTATACTTGATTTACACCATCTGATTGAAGTGCAATTGCTAACCCTTTTAACTATAGGTACCACAAGGCTCACGGTCACCAAACGCAACAGCTGCACGAGAACGGCGATGGTACTTTCTCCATTGTGAACCCCGAGACAAGTGCTCCTTATCCGGGCACCTTGGGAATGGAAAAAGAGAAGCCCTTCAACTGTGAGACGTGTGGCAAGCGATACAAGAATCTCAACGGTTTGAAATATGTAAGTCTACACAATATGACAACTCCGCCCCGTCTGATCCGACGCTGACCGCCGTCATAGCACAAATCTCACTCTCTTCCCTGCAACCCTGAATTTAAGCTTCAAGCCCTGGCCGCTGGTCTGAATTTGCCAGGCATCGGAGAGGACGTGATGCTACAGTGAGCAGTCGGTCTTACACCGCATACGTCGGTCGAGTCCCTCTGAACGGCATAGATCGGTTTGAGTCGCGAGGGGCGCTACGAACTCGCCAGTTATATCTCGATTTTGACGCCGTGTTGATCCCTGTGGGGGTGCCCTCCCTCTGGCGATGATCAGCGCGCTCTCCCTGCCTTGTGCTGTCCGCCTTGTTCTCTGCGGTCAGCCGCATGTATATGCACTCCTCTTCTGCCTTGATATTTTCTGGCATATGGCGACGGCGTTTCCCCCCGGGCTAGTTCCCTGAGAAGCATAGATTTAAGGCTGGCAGTTTCCTAGACGATCACCTCTCCTTCTAATTGAGGTTCCCACATGGATGGCGCGCGCTCACTAACCCCTCACCTTACGCGATCACCGAGCAGATCATTCCTGTCATCGGACAGTTGCGAAATACTATCGGTGATAGTGCACGTTACTGCGGCCCATATTCCAGAACTGGAAGGACCTTATCACACTCCCTGAGCGGTGCTGAAGCTCCTTCTCTCGACTCAATTATTCATGGCGTTGATTCTATTGCGGTACGCTTTCTATAGACGGTTGATTGGCACAGCGAACAAAACCCCTCTGGCCCCTGGAAAAAAGGTCCATCCAATAAGAGGATGCAGGAAAAGGACAGATTATAGCCTGAGTGGCGAAGCAAAAAAGGGAAGAAGAGGGAAAAAAACAAGGAAAAAAAGGAAGACTGTTATGAATTTGTATGATGGGGGGTTTTATTGTCCTTTATGCTTCTTGGAGAATGGGTAATGCACTGGACGCAAAATTGGGTGTTTTTATTGACTCGCTTGCTTTTTACTCGGTACGGTTGATTTGATGGTCGTTGAATTTCGGTTTTCTTTTCTCGTTACTACCCTCTTATGTTTTACACGGCTGGATTGCTTTATTTTTTCTTTTACACACTGCTCTCTCCTCACTCATTACCCTGCCATGGAAAAGTGGGGATGGCAATTTGTTGTGGGTTTTTTTGGGAAGGGACTTTGGAGAAAATTCTTGGGTGGTGGAACAAAAAACACAAAAGGGAATGGGAGATACATAAAAAGTTACGTTTTGTTACTTGCTCGTTTTCGTCTTTTTAAACAGGAACGGTCATAGAGAGAATTCAATGGGGAAAAAGGAAGCTATTTCTTCTGCTCTTTTTCGTGGTTTGCTTTGAAAAGTGTGAGAGGAGAAAAAGGTCTGGTACATAGAGTTCAATGTTCAGCTTTTCTTGCCTACATGCTGGTGCTGTCTCGTGCCTTTTGCCAAGGGGATATCCTTGTGTGCTACATGTTGGTGTTTGAGATAAGGTTGGATGATGTCCCTGTTCCGAACGAGGGCGCATCCTTGCCGCTTTGAGGGGGATGGGCAAAGCAAAGGTTCCTTTGTTTCATGTACAGGGCACTTTCGCTTCCATGCAAGTAAGTTTGGGCTGATTTGAGCCGCGTGGGATGGAGCGCTTATGATGATCCTTGGCGTGTCACGGATAATTAGAGCAATGACAAGACGGGGAAGGAATAATGAAATTGGAAAGCAAGTATATATCATTCATTGGTCTATGAACATCGATCGAATAGCTGGCTACCTAGTACGCCTCATGAACTTCATCACAAGCATACCGTCAAGACAAGACAAGTCAAGCAACCAACTCCCTGAAATGCTTTGAAAGGAAAGGAAAAAGAAAAAGGAAAACCGCATGTACATACAACAGGAGACAGAGAGAAAAACAGCCTTTACATCCTCATGCATAATCTCTAAATGCGGAACCAAGCAAAAGCTCACCCGCGCCGTCTCATAAGAAATCCCTCCGAACTCCTTCTCGGATGCTTATGGGTGATCATGGCCCGGAACAAGGGTAAACCAAACCGACATACGCGCGCTGCGCGACAGATATCATCTGGAATACTGTGTGCACTAATCGCTTTATGATATCTCCACGTCTTCGTCGTCGTCATCGACTTCGGATTCGACGATCTGCATCTGCGTGCTGCTGATGCTCTCTTTCCGGTTGCCATGACCAGAGCCGTCACTGTACCGGCCCGATACGCTCCCCCACTCAAGGTCGTCGCCAGCAACCACTCGGCCTTCCATGTCGATCTCCTGCGATAGCTCGACCAGGGCGTTGCGGGGGAGTCGCAAGAAACCCTGGGTACGGACGATGCGGCCCCAGTGCGTCATGCAGAACTGTGCCGCTCTCTTGCGAAGCCATTCCTCGCTGGCGAGTCCCGAGCAGTACCATATGACGCAGGCGTGCTCGACGTCGAGTTCCTTGGCCAGGCGGTTTACGCACAGTAGGCGGAGGTGTGGGATGTTGTAGATGTTGGACATGACCAAGAGGCCGGCCACGTCGGAGAGATCCGTCGTGGCGTCACTGTCTGTCTCTGTGGTACCGTGAATGTTGTCTGTGTAAAGGTACAAGAGGAACGCCTTGACAACCGAGTATGGCTCCGGGATGTGCATCTTCTTCGTGTGGAACTCTGCCATCTGAGCGTTGTACAAGCGCGCAAAGTGCGGCCAGCGCGCTTGCAGGATAAGCTTGTGCACATGAATGGGCATAGACGTTGGAACATCGGCAGACAGCCAGCCCTCGTCTCTGTTTGCATCATCAGCTCGAATCAGCCCTGAGCTGAGCGTTTCATCGCTGCCAGCATCATCGGCAAGAGCTGTGATGATGAAATCTGTGCCACTTCCGGACTCGGGTGGTTGATTGAACAGTTTCGCCAGATCCGCGCCAAGACCCTTGGAAGGTTGGTCGGAAAGCCTGGTCGCAAAGGACGGTCTGGATTGGGCCAAGCTTTCTGGTGCAAGGTTGTTGCCCAGGAAGCCATATCGTCGAAGGTCTACTTCCATGATGTCGCTACAATCTTCATGTCAGTACAAAAGATGGAATGAGCAGAGGCTGGTTATTTTTATCTTACCTGAGATATTCTTCATAGCCATTTGGCCCCAGATCAGTGGCAGCCGGATCGACCGGACAACCCAGGAGCCACGCCTTGGTGCCATCTTCGTTCATCGTACAGTAGTGCCATCTATATCCCGTTTTAAAGATTTCGCGACCATCAGCGAGCTTCTGCCACCTCAGAGTACTAAGGTCCAGGGCAGACAAGGAGCATTCTCTGTGAGTAATGGTCGCCGCAGGAGTCACAAAATCGAGCAGCGTTCCGGAGGAATAGGTGTGGAAATGGATGCCCGATCCCTGGGATGGAACAGTCGGACCAGAAACAAATTTGAGGGCGGAGATGGTTCCGGGGGCCATTGGTGCGTATGACTTTACTTGAAATGATGGAGGGTTTACTTGGGCCGTCCTGGAATTCGCGGCATAGCCAGAGGCGCCAACAACCGGGTTGGACGCCATGGTATAAGGCGGCCTTGGAGAGCTGCTGGTTCTGTGAGCAGCGGAATGGCGATCCAAGACGCCAAAATGAGGTCGAGAGTCAAATTCCGGGCTTCCCTTGAGGTCAAGCCACCACAAGTCGCTAATCTTGTCCATGTCTTCACTTAGGCCACCAAAAACCCAGACGCGATCACCCCAGATGTAGGCAGAGTGGTCAAAACGGCCAACGAAGCGCCACGCCTTGGACCAAGTAAACGTCTTGAGGTCGAGATAGCAAATGTCGTCCAACACATAGTTGTTCTGACCAGTGATGCCACCAATAATGAACAGTTTATCTTCGTGCAGCACCGCGGCATGTCTTGCCCTGCCTTTGGGTATCGGTCCCGATACCATAGGCTGCGTCCAATGTGCTGTTTTCAAGTCGAATATAATAAGATCGGATAGGTAGGTTCGATGCTCGTTCTCGCCGCCGAATACAAGAAGTTTGTCGCCTTTGTACAGAGTCGCTGTGTGACCTATATGGAAGTGCCGGTTAGTGTTTGTCAAGTTGGTGATGCAACACCGAAGAGGTCTATTGAATTATACTTACCCATGCGCACTCCGGGAATATCCCCATAGTTGTCCACCAAACTCCATTGATGGCTTGCCAAGTCCAGTCGCAAGACATGATTGTATACTTCGTCAGTGTACTGGTCAAAGCCACCGAAAGCATAGATCTGGTTGTTCCCGCAATAGGTCACAGACGCATTGACGAGGCACGCAGGCCTCTGTCCCAGCGTGCGTGTGACTTTGGGACGGTACCCATCAACCAGGGGGCGGGCCTTGAGAGGAGAGTTTGGCATGATGTAGGTATTGTTGGAGGAGGAAGCCGAGGCTGGCGTCTCAATGGCACTCATGCCGTCTGATGAAGTTTGGCTGGCCATACCGGACTGCGTCCCACCAGCATGGGGTGCCAGGGTTTGGGTTTGGCCAAAGATGCTAACAGAAGAAGATGCTGGGCCGGGGGTCGATGGTTGCGCCATGATGTTTCTTCACAGCCACAAAACCATGTCAGGCGTGACCTCGAACCGACGCAAATCGATGAACGACCGGTGCAGATGCAAAGGAAGGACAGCGGATAACGAGTGATGCGATAACGCACACGCCAACAGTGGATTCGACGATGTTGCGTCTGGACGGCGCATGTGAGATGAGGGTCGCAAATTTGCGGAGCAGCGAGACAAAGGCTGTCAATCCCACACCGACTGGGTACGTACCGTTGAATTTTTTCCGCCCGCTAGCCGCGTCGCGCCTTTCCCAATGCGGCTACCGCCGTGGCGGTTACCTGGTGCAGGGGTTGTGGCCGCCCGTTGCCTGGCCAACGAGGCTAAGGACCTATAGTTAAAAGTAAATAAAATACGCCATCCTTGTTCACCGTCTTCTGCACCGCTCCTCACCCAAACCTCACGTACATTTGACTACACTTGATATCGAATATCAAACATCATGGCTACTGCAGCAGTATCAACTCCTGTGAACAATCAGAAAGGGCTTGTGCCCTCACTCAAGGTCGGCGGAAGAGTACCTCTGACGCCTTCACCTCGCAACTCTATCAACCTAAACTCCTCACCTTTCGCTCCTGAGGACTACTCTGGCAAAGATGCCAAAGGAGCCCCCAAAC